CGATGAGCTCGCCAACGACCGAGTGGGGCGCTGCTGTCCTGGAGTAGTAGATGCAGAACGGCCGGATACAGAGGGCGAAAGAGCCGAGGAGCGACTCAATGGGCTCCTCAGGGGTATGGAAGAACGGCTTGCAGAGCCCCTCCGTGAACCATCAGATGAGTCCGTGTCTTTCCGGAAAGGTGAGGGCGTGGTTAGAGTTAACGGCTTGAAATTGTGCCCAACGACAGTATCACGCAGATGCGTGTCTGAATTCCAGCGAGGTTTGGGACCAGGTCTCTCGGTGGGTGTCTTTGAGCGTGCCTGGCTAGCTGCAGTGCCGGACATGGCGCGCGAGGGTGTAAAGTCCAAGCGTGCCGAGGTCATAGATTTACGAGAAACGACACTCTCGCCTTGGGGTATGCTAGAGTATCGCCGATTGGAAGGTGCCGACAATTTTGAGCTCGCAACACTTGACTGACGCGGCTTCTTGTTTGCAGGAGTAACAGCGGGTCCGTGTCCACTACTCTTACGGCTCATGACGACACTTGAAGCGGGAGAGGTACCTGGTGTGTCGAGGTTTGACTGTGGGAGTGAGGCCTCCGTCAGTACCGTGGACACTGAATCACGAAGCTTGCGCGATCTGGTAAAGTCATTCAAGATGGCGTCCGTGTTTCCAGTCACTTCTTCCAAGTCCTCTACCTTTGCGCGGACATCCTTTTGTATACGCAGAATCTCGCCGTTGACCGTAGACCTATGCTTCATCTCAATGTCAATCAGCTCAAGTACACGCCTCATGGACGGAGGGTAGTGGTCTCTCTTGTCTTTGTAGGTGGCAATACGCGTAGACAGCTTCTCCTCATCACTGTCGTCAATGGCTTGCTGTAGTCTCTGGATGCTCTTCATGCAGGAGTCGTACATGGCAACAGCCTTACTGCCAGCTTGACGGAAGCTGTGCACCCATTTGTCCTCGCCTAGCTCTTCTCTCAGCGCATTTGCTTCAGACTCAAGCTTCTCCTCTGCCGCTTCTAGCTGTTCCTTCCTCCGTAGGAGTTCGTCACATGCAGAAGGGAAGATGGTGCTCGCGCGCATCTGGAAGGCGTTCAGTCGCATAGGAAGGAAATCGAGCGAAGCACGCAGCGGTTGCAGCTTTGCAAAGAGAGCTAGTAGTCGCGAGTTCTCTTGTTCGATTTGTGGGATGGGTGAGGTGGGCGAGACGACGGACAGCGTAGGCGGCATACTAAGCCGCTTGCTGTTCAGTATAGCCTGCTTTCGGGGTATCTCTTCGACGATGGTTTCAAGCTCAGCGATATCAAACTTCTCTGGGGCTTCGGCGACTGAGTCGGAGATGACGCGGTGTCTGCGTTCCTCCATCTCAAACACCAGGCGACTGAGGTTCTCCACCTCGGCGCCGATTTCGCCCAGTACATTGTTCCACAGCTCCTCCCACTCCATGGCCACCTCGACCTGGTTCTTGATGCCCTTGAGCGTCTGCTTGATCTGACCCCAGTTGGTCACGATGTCTTCCATCTGACTTACAAGCGTGGTCTGGTCTTTGGTGGGCAGGAGCGCAATGTCGGAGCGCGACTGCAGGTCTTCGATGGCGCTGATGTAGACGTTGACGAGCCCCTCGAACTTGCCAATGGCGGCATCCACTTCCTCCAGTCCTTCTCTTCCGGCAGCTGCAGCCCATTCTACGTCGTCGTCTGCGTCAAGGCCACTCAGGACCTCTTTCGTCTTGGAGATCCATAGGCGGATGTCGTTTGCTGCCTTGTGTAGTGCGCGTCCGGCCTGGGTGGATGTGGGAAGGGCGGTAATTTCGGAAGCGATGGTCGTGGGAGGTAGCTTCATGGAAGTCAACTGCTGGATCTGGTTGGTGAAACTAGCTTTGGAGAGGGTGTAGATGGAGCCAGCGCGCGGGTAGTGGCGCTTCTGGAAGTAGGACTCGATGTCGATGCCATTGTTGTCGTCTAGGACGGATGGCTCCTCTTCAGCGACTGGGGCGGGTGGTGAGGGAAGGGGTGGTGTGTCTTTGGGCGGGGGAGTAGGCGCGGCGGGCTCTGTTTCGGCAGGTGCGATGGGCGCCGTTGCGGTCGGTGGTGCAGCTTCGGGCTCTGCAGCGGTCATGGTGCCGCTGAGGGCCTTTTCCGACCTGGTCACGTCGGGCAGGCGGTACTTTTGCATGTCGAGCTCCATGTCGGCGTCGGACTCGGACGGGAGGACTTTGTCGCTGGTAGAGACGACGCTGCTGTGGTCGCTGTCGAAGTCGGGCTCCATGACCAGCGTAGGGACGCTCTCACCCGTCGACTGAGGCACGAGCGGCGTTTCTCCAGCTCCTGGACCCTGAACCGGACCTGGACCTTGACCAGCCTTTCCACTCCAGGCGGTACCGCGGCGCTCAATTTCGAGACTGCGGGCTTTGCGGAACTCGTCCAGACGTCGCAGGCGGTCTTCCTCGATCCGGCCGACGTCGACGGCGCTCTTGTTGTTGTTGTCGTTGATTTGGTTGAGAAACTTCATGCGTGCCAGCAGGCCCGGGGAAACATTTCTCGCGAGTTTGGTGGTGCTTTCAATGTGGGCGGGCGTGTGCCGAAGGGGTTTGGGCGATTTGGGCGATTGTGATGACGAGGTGGTCGTCGGTGGTGGGTTCGGCGGTGGCTTCGCTGGCAAGTCAACGGCAGTCGCGGCGGGGCTGCTGTCGAGAACTGAAGGCGGCGTGGCCGTGTCGCTCATTGAGCATGTCTGTGTATGGACCTCGAGGAAACCTCCAGGTCGCGTTTAGACAAAAGAGGAGGCTGCGCAAGACTGGATACGCTGCATGCACGGATGCCAGTTCAATCGGGAGATGAATCGACGTTCTTTGGGATGGCGCCGAAATCGCGTTAGCCTAGTTGGTTCACGCGTTGCTTCTGTTTACAACAATAACGGCGTGGCGCAACAACAAAGAGATTGTCTTTAGAGTATGCGCGAGTGGGATGTGTACTTTAGGTGAACTTGGAGGAGACGTTCCCTCACCTCTCAAGACACCCGTTCACAAAACGTCCCGCTTGTGTCTCACCGGGTGCCGCTGTGCCCAATTTCCGCCAGCCCCCCCTGCTATCAGTGCTTTCATTCCCACTCATCCCCCATTCATTGGCACTCAAGCTGCAACGCCGCTGTCTGTGCCATCCTTTCTCCGTGGCCTCGGTCGATCTTATCGTTTGTGTTATACATGTTCACATGCAAGATATGCATGGCATGTGGGACCTCTTCGTCGGTCTGCCCTCGTATCGTCGTGATTGGATTGCAAGCACTTTCAGCAGAACATTGGGCGCGTTGGTTATTTCTAGACATTATTTACATTCGACTTGTCTGTATTTAACACTATAGAGGACTGCAAGTCGCTGATGCAAAGGGGTATCTATCTCAAGTTGCCACCTATCGGCGCACTCTGAGCGGAATGGTAAAAGAGCCCTGTTTCCAACCAGGGAATACTCTTCAAGGAATTCTATGGTGTGGAGTTGAGATTCGGGGGACATGAGCTTCGTGCAAATTAGATAAAGGGTGGTATGTGAAAACATGGACATGAAAAGAAATAAGTCGAGATCCATGGATATCTGCCATAATGGCCACTTCACAGCGCCTCGTAATTGGGGTCGATCTGTAGTGTAGGGGTTCTCGTTTGGTTCTTCTGCTTTTGCCATTCCGACGTGATTTCCTCACGCACGCCCTGGCTCCATTGCAGAATAGCAGCGTCAAACTTGTTCCACGCTTCCGCGTCTTCGCCGTGAACCACGCCCATGACATCAACGTCTAGTTTGATGTCCCAGCGCAGCTCCGCAGCCTTGACCCAGTAGCGCAGGTTGTCGGCGCAGCGATATGGCTTGGCCGTGTCGGTGTGGTACGTCTTGATCTCTTCAAAGTGTCGTTTTGACCTTCGGACAAGAGTGTTGTGGAGATGAACTAATCGCAGGCCGTTCTGTAGTTCGGCAAGGAAGGGTGTCGGGAGCTCGGCGTCGGGAGCGCTGGTCCACTCGGGAAGCGCGTCCGGGTTGCTGTCAAACGACTTGAGGAAGAGTAGTTCCCTCTCGCGTTCTTTGCCCGTCCAGTCACCCTCGCGCCACGACCAGTTTTCTCTCTCTGCATGTTCCAGGCGCTCCTTCTCTTCTTCGGTATCGAGCAGTGTACCAATGTCGACAACCCACTGCTTGAGTTGGGTGACTTCATAGGGCTGCACACCGTTTCCAAAGTTGCGAATGGCGAGACGCTTCAGGACCTCGAGTGTATCGTACAGTTCTTTTCGGATCGTCCGTTCCGACTTGATGGCGTAGAGTCGCTGTGGTTCTTCGTGTGCGGTGTAGTAGTTTTTCGCGGCGCGGATCGCTAGGGTAGTGACATCCAACAAGTTGATGCCTTGAACCTCGTGCCAACCTGAAGCTTCCTCACCACCGTTCTTTGCTGTCTTTCCGTCTGGCTGGACGTCAGAGAAGCCCTTCTCCAGCTCGTGCAGATGCTTCATGGACTCGGCAAGCGACTCGCGAAGTTCGCGGCGTAGGACGGTCATGTCAGGTGGCGGTGGGACGTAGACGGGGTTGTTCTTGTAGGTGCTGACGGTGGGCGGGAGCATCATGGGCTCGGGGTCCTCCCATGCCATCGACGCCGTTTCGTCGAGTGGTGACTCAACGAAGCCCTCTCCAAGATGATGTTCAGTCATTCCGTCTGGTGACGCAAGCGACAAGGACGAGAAGTCGGCATCGAGTCCTGGCGAGAGTGGTTCGTTGCCGCTTGCTGTTCGCGATCCGGGCTTGCGGCCTTTGGCGACACGTCCGGTCGCCGTGTCGAGCAGGCCAGTCCTCGCAAAGTAGTACTGCAGATGTGCGATAGTGCCCAGGTTCATGACGCTTTCTCTGTTCTTTGCCGACGTGGAGAACTCGGTGCCCTCAGGCCTCATGTATCCACGTCGCCTGCCGCCATCGGAGAGGCGCGAGCTCACTGAGCGCGCCGACGACACAGAGGAAGCTGTCGAGACGGAACGGTCCAGCGGCGGAATTGCGCCGATGGCCAGAGATGGGGTCGCCCATGGGTCGGGCGAGGTTGAACGTGCGGGTGGGGAGTTGGGCGTGTCCATGGTGGTTGACAGGGGTGGTAGGTGCAAGGCCGTCGCAGTCGTTAGACTCCTTATCAGCAGAGAGATTCGGTGTTTTCGAATCCTAGGCATTTACGGATCGATGGTGGGTTATCAAGCACTTGTCTTGTTTGTGGAGCCACCTGGGCAATGTCCGGTTGTTGCTGGGGGAGTCGGGAATTCGAAAGGGGCTGCGTTTGATTACAGTAGAGGTTTCAGTCACGGGGAGCGACGCGAGATTGTATCCGACAACAACGCGTACTAGCGGCGAGAACCGCCCTGAGCTTCCTCACCAACGCAATTTCCGTATAGCCGTGAACGCATAGTCGTTGCGACAATCGTCCAAAGTGCTTATGTGTCCAAAAGGAAATTCTCCTTTGCGGCTCTGCTTGCTTCCCGACTGACTAAGGGCTTGCTTCTGGCCCCGCATTCCAGGTGAAAGCTCGCAAGGGTACCTTCCCTAAGTAGCGTGTACTTTTCGCAATTGCGATGACGTCGCACGCTTGCACGAGCATGAACTCGTTATATGAGACCTAGCCATCTGCATGAACTCGACCTAACCAAACACAACTTCACGAAACAGACTCGTTCGTATGAGACGCTTCTTTACGACCACAGCCAGAATGTCAAGCAAGCGAGTGCGTTGTCCGCCCAGCTTGCTAGTGGCAAAACTGATGTAGGCACACAGATCCAGTACAAGGTCGAAGGCGAGGTACAGGGCGTCAACTTCCGGTCTTTCACACAAAAGCAAGCCAAGAGTATTGGTGTCACTGGCTTCGTCACTAATGCATCAGATGGAAGCGTGCGTACCTGTATTGGGCTCATATCTTGCCACCGCTCACACAAAACAGGTCCAGGGCGAGGCTCAGGGCAGCGAGGACAAGATCAAAGAGTTTGTCCAGCATTTGAACAAGGGACCATCGGCAGCATCTGTCTCAAAAGTTGACCACTCGGACATCTCAACCAAGGATGGCGAAAGCAGCTTCAACGTTCAGTAGCCTATTTACAGCTCCCCAGAAGGTCGAGACAGACATGAGCATGGCGATGTTCATATAAACGATAATTCGTCAATCATATACATCCTTGTGCTGCAGTAGCTCACATAGACACTACGATGAAGAACAACAACATGTAATGGGTACACACCACACATTGAGAGTCATAAACTGCAGCGTCTGTCATGAGCTTTGGAACTATTTGACTATCAAGACTGAGCTCTGGTATAATGACACGTATCGTGCACTGACGGAACTACTTGCTCAAACAGCCTCCTAGTGACTGTCGCGAGGACGTCTTTGCCGTTGAGCGGCAAACTCTTCGTCTTTTCTCGATCCGTCATAGGTGCGATGCTAGCAAGCCTTTATGCTAGGTGAAGCAAGAGCCCGTTGCTAATCTAACGATGGACGAGCCTAGCCGCCTTCCAGATGTCAATGAATGATGGATGTTTCGACTGGAAGAGTGATACTGGGACGCCGCTCATGCTGTTGCACCACCACAACGTGGGTTAGCAGCCACAAACGATAATTTCGCCCAGGGCTGACAGCGGATCCGAACACAAAAATCAGCCTCGAGGTGGACGCAAGATTGCCATCATATTGCAGCCATGTTCCGACGTTACGCTATCAGCCCTATCAGGGTGGGTCTGACGGCGAACGACGAGACCCCGAGTTCTGCGAGACCCCGACGAACATCTTCCGGAAAGAGCAACCAGATGTCCCAAACATCAACACTCCCCGTTGATGGAATGCGACCGAGAAAAAACCTCAACACACCTACGCATAATGTGGTCAAACATGCTTTTGTTTCTTTTTCTGTGTCGTCAAAGTCCCCTTTGAGCTTCCGACAGGGGGTATATTCGATGTCTTGGCAAAGCTATCCCGATTCCTTCCGTCAGCTGAATCACCACTTTGCTCAGCCGTCGCAAACTCGTCTTTGCACGCGACCGTGTACGCCCATTCTCGACGCCTTGCTGACATGCTCGGCCTCTCATACGAAGTCTATTTGCTCGCCGAGCCTGCCGTAGGACGGGTATGGCGCGGTGTAGCAGCGGCATCTCATGCACATTCCTACTTCACCCTGCTGACTGAGCGCGCCAGGCAAGCATTAGTACCGCGTGGGTATCTTTTTTAAGTTGTCGGCGTCATGTCTTTATTGATATAAAGGACGAACGTGTGCCTCAGTCTTGCCTCTTGCTAACCACCAGCACTTACCATTATAGTTGACAATATCTCTTACACTACTCGACACCTTAAAATATACACGCACATCCCTAACCGCAGATGATCTCTACCAGAGCAGCAACGAGGGGATCAACAACCTCAAGGCGGGCTACGGCTCAGCTTATCAAGTCCTTCCAGAGTTACAATGCTGGATTTCGACCTACCTTCGTCGCGATACAGCACTTCCAATCGCAAGTTAGCCAGAGGCACTTTACGTCTTCGCCTAACGGTGGAGCCAAGATTAAAGAGTTCTTCGAGAAGCACCCGACAGAGAAGGTTCGCAAGACACATGCAGCATGGCCTCATCCAGGTACATACCGTTCAAACACACAACACTCCCATGTTTAGCTAACAACAGTCAGTATACACCGAAGAACAAATGAAACAGGTCACGATTGCCCACCGCGAAGCGAAGACCATGTCCGACAAGGTTGCCCTCATCGCTGTTAAGATACTACGCTGGGGTCTAGATAAAGCAACTGGATACAAACATCAGAAGGCTGTGGATGTGGATGCTAAAGATCCACTGGCAAAGCGAAAAGCTTTTGCCATGAACGAAGACAAATATCTGATTCGGAACGTCTTCTTGGAGAGTGTTGCTGGCGTGCCTGGCATGGTAGCTGGTATGCTTCGACATTTGCACTCAATGAGACGAATGAAGCGAGACAATGGATGGTACGTATTATGACTTGTGGGAACAACAACGTGTCGCTAATTTATTACTCGCTAGGATCGAGTCGTTACTCGAGGAGAGCTACAACGAACGAATGCACCTACTCGTCTTTCTCAAGATGCAGCGACCAGGGCGCTTCATGCGTCTGATGGTGTTAGGAGCTCAAGGAGTGTGGTGCAACGCCTTGTTCTTCGCCTATCTCCTCAGCCCTCGTACCGTTCACCGATTCGTAGGATATCTCGAAGAGGAAGCCGTCATCACATACACCCGTCAGATCGAGGACCTTGATGCAGGCCGCCTGCCCAAGTGGGAGAAAATGGAGGCACCCGAGATCGCGGTAGACTACTGGCAGATGCCTGAAGGCCACCGCACAATGCGAGATCTGCTCCTCTATAGTGCGTATACCCCTGATCCCTTCATGCAGCACAGCCCATTGACACTATCCTAGTTCGTGCAGATGAATCCAAGCATCGAGAAGTTAATCACACATTCGGTAACCTCGATCAAAAGGAAGACCCTAACCCCTACGTGAGTGAGTACCGAAATCCAGAGGAGCCTCATCCGACGAAGGACCTTGCGCATATGAAGCCCACTGGCTGGGAGAGACACGAGGTTATCTGAAGATTTCCGCTTTGATCCGCTCCTTAGCGATATGTTTGGCATACAGGGCGTCTTCGGTCTCCATTCTCCCCTCTTTTAAAACTGTATCTTCGGCGTTACGGGGCATCTTGGACTTTGAAAAAGCTATATCCAGATCACGATGATTGTCATGAGGAGTAGACGCATCATGTATCCCTGGACTGTCGGACCTTTTACAGATCACATTCAATTTCAGTTTGAAGCGGTGTAGGTTCCATCGGATCCGCATCTCAATATACAATAGCCCAAGACAATAGCCGGTGGTGTTTCCAGGTACAGCAGTAATTCGATATTGCTGAGAAGTTCCATTGTCGATATCCGATGCGAAGGTTAACTGATGGCTCAAGACAGAGCCGGAGATTGGGTAGCTTCGGAGAAGGACCGTTCAGATCGGCCAGGGCGAAGCCGACGCTGACTGGCGGATTTCTCGCCCGAAGCCAAGGACGACACGAATACAACGCGTGCAGCAGCCTCGCACTTCAGTGTTCAGATTGTCGCTTTTGGAAGGCGGCAAGTTTCCGGTCATTGTTTTCCATGGAAATCTCCACATAAGCTCCAGCTCATGCATTCATGACGAGTTAGTCACATGGTGGCGCGTCTCACGCAGCCTCGTACAGCCTCAAAAGGAACTGCGCAGTAGTCTGCCGATCTAGACAAGTCCTAAGACCGCCAAATCTCTGTGCTTTCCTAATCAAGCTAATGCTGAGTATGATTCGGTAGGACACGTTCATTTCGCTGTTCATTATCCGATCGCTGAGCTTTTACAGTTTACTGTATTTAGTGATCCTCGGGAATAAAGTAACATTGTGAGACTGAGAGTCTCTTTTAGTTTGCGGCTTGCGGCCACTTAGCAGTCGATATAGTCTATTTCTACTGACAGGGTGTGTTCAGGACGCCATTCCATTCCCGCGCTTGACCGTTGCAACGACTGGTCCACCGTTCTTCCGTGGTTCAAGGCGGAGCTAACCCCGCACTTACTTACTCGCACTAGCCTCCATGCCAAGTTCTAACATCCTCTCAACATGAGGCACAACGACTACTGCACCCCACATCCGCATTCTTCCACGAGAGGTGTGCTATCGGGCTATCGGCAGGACGTCAGCGCCGCACGACCCCCGCAGATAGATGCAGCTAACACAGCTTGCCGCAGCTGCATAAGCTACCAGGACTATCATCCTTGAAGGTACTTTGAGCTCTGACAAGCACAGCATAGAGTGCTTGAATCTGTTTCGCGGCGAAGCAGTGTACGCCAAAGAACTCCGGTTGATGTTTTCTTCATACATCTTCTCGACACTGACTCTCATCTCAATTGCTTCTCGTCCGCTGCCGGCTCACACCAGACGCCTCGTTCATTCCTGCCAATGCGTGATACGCTGGAGTTCGACGCCTGGGGACACTATACCGACCTCTGAGCTTCGGGTCCGCAATGCTTACCCCCAAGAGTGGGACTGCCTACGCAACCGAGCATGTCTCCTTACTGGATGTGATGTTTCTCCGCACCCAACTAGCAAACATGCGACAACTGCAGCGTCTACCCCAGTCCAGTCTTTATCCAGTACCGTTGGAACGGTAGGTACCCCTGCCTGCGCATGTAGACCAATCACCGCCTGCGCACGTACCCTGTGGAAGTCCGGCAAACACGCAACCTGCCATGCGGATCCGCAAGTCTAACATGATGCTCTCCTTCAAATGGCCTCGACGGGGACCCTTGCGGTCTCATGATGTAGAGTCTTAGCCAGCGGCTAAGCCTCTTTGGTTGGAGAGGCTGGCCAAATGGTACATGTCCCCTCCTCTATGCATGCATTGTGCTGCTATCGGGTTTGACGGCTGATGGACAGCGCGTGGTGACACAGCCTAGATGGCGGGCCCTCCTTGAAGCCGAAGATCTTGGAGATGCGGGGTCTGAGCAGTTTAAAGAGACGTCGTGTCTTCGACTGAGAAGAGCATCATGCCCAGTTGACTTGCTCTCCTGCGGTCAACGATTCAACAACAGCACAGCATCGTTCCAATTGCATTTTTATCTCATTACAACTCTTCAAGATGACGATCCCAGATGAGGTCGACATCATCGTGTGCGGAGGTGGTTCGTGTGGTTGTGTTGTGGCTGGACGACTCGCCAATCTCGACCACAACCTCCAGGTCCTCTTGATTGAGGCTGGAGAGAACAACCTCAACAATCCATGGGTTTTCCGTCCGGGTATCTACCCGAGGAACATGAAGCTGGACAGCAAGACTGCCACCTTCTACTACTCCCGTCCCTCGGAGTGGCTCGATGGCCGCCGAGCTGTTGTGCCTTGTGCTCATATCCTCGGAGGTGGATCTTCCATCAACTTTATGGTAAAATACCTCAATTGGAATGAAATCTGAATGGTACTGACCGCGTTTTAGATGTACACTCGTGCCTCAGCTTCCGACTACGATGACTTCCAGGCTAAGGGATGGACCACCAAGGAGCTTATTCCCTTGATGAAGAAGCACGAAACCTACCAACGCTCATGCAACAACCGCGAACTCCACGGATTTGAGGGACCCATTAAGGTCTCCTTCGGTAACTACACCTACCCAATCAAAGAGGACTTCCTTCGTGCCACCGAGTCTCAGGGTATTCCGACCACCGATGATCTCCAGGACTTGACCACGGGCCATGGCGCTGAGCATTGGCTCAAGTGGATCAACCGCGATACTGGGCGACGATCCGATTCTGCTCACGGCTACATTCATAGCACTCGTGCTGTTCACCAGAACTTGCACCTTCTTACCAGCAATAAGGTTGAGAAGGTCATTCTAGAGGGCGACCGCGCTGTTGGCGTTAAATGTGTCCCGACGAAGCCTCTTCATCCCGAGCAGCAAATGTCCAGGGTCATCAGGGCCCGCAAGCAGATTATCGTCTCCGGCGGTACCTTGAGCTCTCCTCTCATCCTTCAGCGCTCTGGTATTGGTGACCCAGAGAAGCTCCGCAAGGTCGGTGTCAAGCCTCTTGTCGATCTTCCTGGTGTTGGTCTCAATTTCCAGGATCATTAGTAAGCAACCCAAAGTTTTGTCCCAATATACCAACTAACGGCTTTTCAGCTTGACCTTTGCCACCTATCGGGCTAAGCCTCACGTTGAGTCTTTTGACGACTTTGTTCGTGGAGACCCCAAGGTTCAGGAACAGGTCTTCCAGCAATGGAACATCAACGGCACTGGCCCACTCGCCACCAATGGTATCGAGGCTGGTGTTAAGATCCGACCTACTGAGGAAGAACTCAACATGATGGACAGCTGGCCCTGCAAGGAGTTCCGCTCAGGCTGGGACTCGTACTTCAAGAATAAGCCCGATAAGCCTGTTATGCACTACTCGGTCATTGCTGGTTGGTTTGGTGACCACATGGTCATGCCACCAGGCAAGTTCTTCACCATGTTCCACTTCCTCGAGTACCCGTTCTCTCGTGGTTCCACGCATATCGTGTCGCCAAACCCATACGAGGCACCCGACTTTGACGCTGGTTTCATGAACGACAAGCGCGATATGGCTCCTATGGTTTGGGGTTACATCAAGTCCCGTGAGACTGCCCGCCGTATGGACGCCTATGCTGGTGAGGTGCAGGCCATGCACCCCTTCTATGCCTTCGACAGCCCCGCCCGTGCCAACGACCTCGACCTTACCACCACTAACGCTTATGCTCTTCCCGGTAATCTGACGGCCGGTATTCAGCACGGATCCTGGACTTCTCCAGTCAAGAAGGGCCGCGCCCCCGAGCCCAACTTCTTGAGCTCTAACTGCCAGGAAGTTATGGACGATCTGCAATACACAACCGAGGACATCCAGCACATTGAGAACTGGACCAAGCGTATGTCTTACCCTTTCTCATGATCTGCCCTACTTCTGTGATCCAAGTACTAACATACTACAGGCCACGTTGAAACTACCTGGCACTCACTTGGTACCTGTTCCATGGCTCCCAAGAACGGCAACTCCATCGTCAAGCACGGTGTCCTCGACGAGCGTCTCAACGTCCACGGCGTCAAGGGTCTCAAGGTCGCCGATTTGTCCATCTGCCCCGACAACGTTGGTTGCAACACATACTCGACTGCGCTCCTCATTGGAGAGAAGGCTGCAGTGCTCACTGCTGAGGATCTGGGCTACAGCGGCAGCGCGTTGGACATGAAGGTCCCCAACTACCACGCACCAAGAGAGATTGCTGGTTTGTCGCGCTTGTAAAATGTCGGTGGGCTAGGATGTCTGTTCTATAGTTTATGATTCAGATGAATAATGCAAAGTTGTGTACATGTTGAGCTCTGTCTTCTCATACATGCGATGATTGACTGTGCTTGCTGACTTTCTCCTTGTACGATGTCGTGATCACGCTAGTGGCGTCTCCATCTTGCTTATTGGCTGTTCACTAGATACTAGTCGGCGACCCACAAGGCATGAAATGTTCAGTCGGAGGCATCGGAGGCACCACTGCCTCATCGTGTCGCCTTTCCGTCTGTCTTTACATACATCCACTTTTCTTTTACTTCATCAGCCGTTGCGGATTGTCGCCGAAACTTGACACCATGTCCGCACTAGCTCGAAACCGCGGACCGCAAATCGCGGCCAAGATCACGCGGCCTGCATTCCAATACTCTGTCCGTGGCCTAGCAACGGTAGCACCAGTGCAAACTGCAACACGCAATCACAAAGTTGTAGTTATTGGTGGCGGTTCAGCAGGCATATCTCTTTCACACCAACTCCTCCGCAAAGGAAACTTCGCACAAGACGATATTGCTATTGTCGACCCTGCGCAATGGCACCATTATCAGCCTGGATGGACGCTCGTCGGAGGTGGTCTGAAAAAGAAGGAGGAACTACGTCGTCCGATGAAGGATCTCATGAACCCTAAATTCAAATTCTACAACACCTCCGTGGGAAGCTTCGCGCCGGAGGAAAATTACATCATCACTGGCACTGGTGAGAAGATTGCATATGAGCAGTTGGTTGTTGTACCTGGTATCACGCTTGACTATGGTAGTGTGAAGGGCTTGAAAGAGGCGTTGAACGAAAAGGATGCCATGGTGAGCAGTATCTACGACTACAAGTATTGCGACAAGGCGTATGAGAATGTGAAGAAGTTCAAGAAGGGTGATGCAGTATTCACGCAGCCAGCTGGCGTGGTAAAGTGTGCCGGAGCGCCACAGAAGATCATGTGGCTTGCGTTGGACCACTGGAAGAATGCTGGATTGTACCCGTCGGGTATCAACATCAGCTTTGCTACGGGTCTACCTTCCATGTTCGGTGTGCCGAAATAGTAAGTCTCACAGATATCAAATGTTAGATATCAGGGACAGTGTATACTAACTTCCCTCGAGCGCTGCAGCCCTAGAAAAACTCCGCGTAGAACGCGGCGTAGAAGGCTTGTTCCAACACGACCTAACCTCCATCTCCGGCAACACAGCCACCTTCAGCAGCCCCAGCTCTTCGGAACCCATCAAAAAGCACTTTGACTTCCTGCACGTCGCTCCCAAAAACGTGCCCTGGTCTTTCGTCAAATCCAGTCCCTTGGCCAACGAAGCAGGTTACGTCTCCGTCTCCGATTCCACAACCCAACACACCAAATACGCCAATGTGTGGTCCATAGGCGACGCATCCTCGTTACCCACGTCCAAAACTGTCGCTGCTATCACTGCTGAAGCACCTGTTTTGGTTTCTAACTTGCTTTCGGCGATGGCGGATAAGCCACTGGAAGCTAGCTACGATGGGTATACATCTTGCCCGTTGCTTACCGGAAACAAAGAAGTTCTGCTCGCCGAGTTCAAGTATGGAGGTGTGCCGAAGGAGACATTTAATGGGTTGCTGGGTATTGACCAGGGTGTTCCGAGAAAGGCTTTCTATTGGTTGAAGAAGGAATTCTTCCCTTGGGTGTACGGAAAGTACCATGTCAAGGGAGAGTGGGCGGGACCGAAGGGTTTGGCTAGGTGATGGGAGTACCAGGAAATAACATGTTTGAAAAGTCGTGTTCGGTGTCGTGGTTAGGCGCTGTGGTGCGTTTGCTTTGGACTATAGTGTCGACGGAATACACCTGTTTTTCTTAAAACGCGACAAACATACCGTGCAGAGAAATTACGAGATCAGGCGAGACTGTGAGATGCTCAGTGGTTGACATTAAAACGCGAAACCATGCCGAGATATACATAAAGCAGAGACCTCGACAGCCGACAGTAATGATGATGACTCAGGGTCTCTTCGTACTGTTCACCCTCATGGAACACGAAGCGGAGCACATACCATATCTATCTCACTCCACATCCACATCCACATCCGCATTCGGCGGCCAACACGTCCATGGATCTCGGTGTTGGCCATTGACTTGTAAGTGAAAGCCCACTTCGTCCCAGTGAAAGCAGCACAATCTTCTCACCAAATCGTCATTTTGTTCCCTCTTCAAGATCTTACCCCTTGGACGCCCAACTTTGCAACGTCTCTTATTGGGTTCGGTGGTGGGTGCGACAGCAAAATTAGCCATGTCATTGAGTCGGTCTACGTGCTCCAAAAGCCATGTAAGTCCTTCAGTTTCGAGTAGTTGGATGAAGTTGTCGTAAGGAACATGTTCTGGTACCGCAGTAAGTAGGGGCTGAGCTGGATTCTCTCGAACTGCTGTTTCCAACTGAATATCTTGCGCTTCTAACCAGACGCCGGTTTGGCGATAAGTCCAGTAGAGGTGGTTGTACTCCTGGAAGGCAACCTCCAGGTTCCTTCTGGCTTCGGAGAGTATTGGGATCATGTCTGGGGTTTCACGTTGAGATGTTATGGCATTCCGACGCTGCTCAACAGGTGTACCATCAATCTCATATGGGCCCAGTTGATTCAACGCATGCGATGGTTGATGGCCTTTCCCTTTGTGAACGTTACCGAAGCCGTTGGATTGGGATGAGCACTCCTGTATAGCCAGATTGTTTTCGGGGCCGTCAAGTTCAAGAATCTCGTGCTGTGTTGAGTGAGGCATGGTGCAGCTGACACTTTAGTTTCGTGATATCAGTGATTGTAGGTATATGGCTGAGAAGGTAAAAGACGCTGAAGGCCTTTAAGTACCTATGTAGTAAGATTCTATTACGGCGACTGACAGCAGTTACTGTTGGCATCTGGAAGTGTCTCATCTGAATAACAAAGCCGAATCGTCTTCATATGAATCATGACGGACCCTGATGCAGCTTCCTACGTGTCCCATTTGCCTGTTCAAAGATGAATGTTGTGGCTTATAGGATCTTTGGTATAGTATCCTACAAAATGCGGATTTGTTGCGGTGTCACCGTAAGAAGTTCAATCAGCTGTTAAGCGGAAAAGAATCAGCATTGCCTCGGATGATACTTCTAAGTAGTCAGAAACTCATCACTAGTGTAGCCACAATACCATTAACACCAGTATGACCACTAGCCCCATCATCCAGCACTTGAGGGCAGATCTGGAATCCAATCTTTTCGTAAAAAGCTCTTGCGCTTGTATTCGACTGCACCATATCAAGATGCGCCCCAGTTGCACCCATACTCTTAACAGTTCCCAAGAAGTTATGTATAAGCACTTTCCCCCAACCCTTCCTCTGGTACTCAGGCAAGATGTCGATGTGCAAATGCGCCGGATATTGCTCCAACATCTGCGGCCAAGGTTGCAGCATACTGCAGTCCGCCTCATACACGGCCTTTCGGAAGTGCTTGATATCCGGTCTTTCCATCTGTGGATCCCCGGTCTGGATGTTCGCATGTGGTACAAGCTTTGCATCTATGGTCGGAGTGAACACGTCGCGCCAGCGCTGCGCGAAAGACGTTGTATCCGCCGCGCCAATGCAGTAACCCACCACGCGCCCGTTGCCATCATCTAGTACGTAACATGTCTCTGGAGTTGTATCGGCGTAGACTTTGTACCAGAGATGTGCGCCTACGGTTCGCGCTGGCTCCCAGTCAAGACCTGGGTCTATGGTTGTCAGGAACTGCAAGTTTTGTCAGGATGACGGTTGTCGATGAGATGCTGTGACGCATACCACGTGGAGACCGTTCTCATAGTCGGTTGTTGGGTCATACACCCGAACAAAGGGTGCTTTTGTCGCCATCGCCTCTTAGAAAGCGTAATAAATATGCTCTACGTGGAAACCTGCGTAGTCTAATGCGCAAGATCGACGTTCGCGTTTGAAGTCTTTCCGGCCTGTGGACACAAGAAGTACTGGGGACGAAGGCATGCAGCGGGGATGAGGGGTTCAGTTTGCGCCCGCTCTACGATTGGTCGTACAGCGCCGCGTCGCGTAAACGACACATTTGAACACCAGAATTCAAAAGGTTCTCTGCCGTCGTTCTCCTGTACATGTGAATCAAACCTCGCGTCTGAGCAACGACGAGAGGCGTAACCATGTCGTTCTTCCACGCGACAGAAGGACGGACCCTGACACTAAGCCACCTTTGGCCTAACCCTCGGGTTGGTGATGTCACACCCAGCCTTCGCAAACCAAACTGCGATGCACAAATACAAGGTTTTGTACAGCAACTAATGCAGAGTATCAGAACATGCAACGAAAAGGGATAGCGATTCTTCTAGACTACATGCCCTGACCCGAACGTGCTCAAATGGACTAACGACCCATAGTACTAACAAGACCAAAGTCACCCTCAACAAACGACCCATGAGGCCCCAGCGAATAAACTTGCGGCATATCCGCTCTAGCCACCTCCTCAAAAGTCTTTCCATCAAGCCCAACAAGGATACTATTCGTCCCCTCCTTGTTGATTGTAATCGTAATCACAATACCATCATCCTCGTCCGTCGCTCCAGGGCGTTGAATGAAAATAGGCTCCGTAGGACAACTCTCACCATTCTGCGGAATCCAAGCCTTGAACATACCGGTCTTCCAGTCCGACTTGAAGAGGTGGCCATAGAAAGACGCGTGAGTAATTCCTACCCCGTTTCCGAGACGCCCAATGGGGACTTCGGTGCCGGGTGCTGCGACGCCGTTGCCGGATACGCCGTAGACGTAGCGGTAGTTGGGGTCCATGGAGGCGGGCTTGGAGACACGGGGTAGTTCGGCCATCATACCGGGGATGGCAGCTTTGACTGTGCCGCGGGCGACGACGGCGGGGTCCTTGGTGTTAACGGCTGCGAGTTCGTAGCGGACGAGGCGGCCGACTTGGTAGGGCTTCAGGGGGTTGATGACGTTGGAGATGGCGTATTCGTTATAGGGGTAGTGTTCCGCTTTGTAGCTAGCGATGTCGACGTGGACGTTGGTGTGCCCGGTTTTGGGGTCGATGTAGTCGTATGCGTTGGCTGTGTGGAAGAAGTAGAAGTTTGGTACTTCGTAGGATGCGACACTGATTGGGTTAGTTGCAAAGTTTTGAATCGTGTATCGAGAACGCGGAAATGCTTACAGTTTGCCATCGGCCTTGTTTAAAACGAAAAAATATACGGGAGAGTCGTGCTCGCACTTCATCGCTTCGATGATGGTCTTAGTAGGATCACTAGTATCCATGGTAACAGGCTGTTTACATGTTAGCAACACAAGCTCGTCATTCTAGTCCTGCCGGACGCATCTTACGTTTCTGACAAACACGACGTACTTGTCAGTCATGGCGAGAGCATGCGTGTAGCATGGTTTACACGGAAGTGCAGATTTCCACAGGAGACGTGCCGGATTGGATGCAACGTCGAGTGCGAAAACATACATGATACCAGCTGCATCGATTAGGTAGTTGTAAGTTTGGCCTCGCTTGCGATCATGGACAGGATGAGCGCAACAACCAGCTCCAGCAAGCTCAGGGTCGATAGTCGCATGGGTGAGCAACCGCTTCGGCTCGAGAGTCTTTGCGTCACAGATTTGCATAGCATTCCAGTCGGTGTGGACCAGGATCTATGTTCAACATGAGCTCAGTTGGGTCTATTCAAGATTTGACAGATATCTGCTTACCTCCTGAGTGGCGGGGTCTTCCGCCTGGATGCCTCTAGAGTTGGGGTTCTTATCTGTCGGAAGGTGCATACCGCGGCGTGGCTGCACATGAATGTTGAAGTCGTCCGGCGCCGAGAAATCGTCAGGGAGATAGACGGTTTGCTGTGCTAAGATTAGGCTTCCACCATCTTGATCATGGCTATTTAACATTGACTTACACGAGCTCCAAGCAACTTCGAACACGGATCCTGAGCTTCGAAGAGAGGGGTGTTGGGGTTGGGGCCCATCCAGGAGTTTGTAACGTAACCATCTTTCATTGCTCGTCGCACGATTCCGCCGTGGGTGTAACGGCTCATGTAGTAGACACGACCGTCAATCATTCGGAACTTGTGCAGCAAGCCTAGTCCGTCAAAGAGATGCTGGATGATCACTCTGGGCGTTGAATCGTCTTCTGAAGTTGGGACGGTGAAACGCCCAACGCCGACCCTATGTTTGTCAATATCAACTTGTAAATGCGCCGATATATATATATATATATATATACTAGTAACACACCTCAAGAAAGAACCATGGAGCCACTTAGGCCACGTGCCACTAAGCTTACACTCGACCTCCGTTGTAGTTTCCGGAACATCTTGAAAGTAGGACGGAGCGTACTTGAGTTCCTCCTCGGTGATGATGTCCCACCGGTAACCTTCTGGTTTTTGATCGAATGGCATTTTGAGATTGAAGGAAGAGAATCAAGAAAGTTATGTTTGGTAAGCGTATGTCAAGGCGTTTCGTATGTGTAGGACACTGATCTGCTAGTTTGATGATTATAGAAGTTCTACGGTGTGTTACAGTGCCTTATATAGGTCTGCCTTTCCTTCATCGCGGAATGGAATAGAGCGGTGACTGTAAGCATTCAATCTCTGGAGGGCCGATTATGGCTCACCGACGAACAGACAAGACTGCTGAGCCCGGCCATGAAACATGGGAAGTTCGATGTTGTCCCTGTTACTGCGTATACAATGCGCCAAATTCGGTAAGGTGAATGACTACACGCAAGGGGGCTCAAGTAAGCTACATGGTGCCCAGGCTTTGACCACGACTTCGGGATCACTGCTTACAAACGACGCCGGAACGTGTAGCTGCCGTTTACTGTCTATGAAGCGGATACGGAATTACGCTACATTCGTAGTGTTGGGTCTTTGTAATTCTCAACTTCCAGTTGGGCGAAGCTGGCGGAGCTACAGGCGAAATCCACATCCGATCCGGTGACCGCCAAGTCAAATCCGTCCCGTCGCCCGCCAAATCCCTACAAACCTACGCTTAGGTTATATTGCGGGGAATATTGCACGGGAACGGTTGACATGGTCGGAGTTTTTGTGGATTCTAGCTCCTGTATGAGAATGTGCTCAGCCCTTATGGCCACTGCGCAATGTTAGTGACATGTAGGCTCGGCCATATACAAGAAATCTAAGCCTGTACTACACACGCGAGTTGATAGTGGTATGACGGCCGGTGTGTGCGTGCCGCGACGGCTATGCCATATGCATACGTCAACATACGCAGAAGGTAGTATTCATCCTCAGCCTTTCTCATATCGTTCCATCCAAATTATGCTGGATGCATACTCAAAACTAGAATGATCAGTGATACGCAAATAGTAGTGAAAAGCTCCAACAACAGTGACGCCCACCACCACTTCTTTTCGCCTCTCCTGTAACGTGTCTTTCCATCGTCGTAATGTATCAGGTAGACTACATCTTTAATCCCTTCAGCGCTGGACTAACAGCCTCCCTACTCTTCAAACTCTCCCCCGCGGCCCTCTGCGCAAATCCCACGATATCTTGCACTTTTCCACCTCGACTCAACCCATACGCCAACGCACCACAAAAGGTATCTCCGATGCCATTCACACTGACCACCTCATGTGGCTCTAGTACTTTCTCCACTGGGAACAATCTCACGTAAAGACCACCAACCGTGGCCGCGTCATCAGCAGACATGTTCCTTGCAAGCACATACTGCCGCTCATGGTCATCTCTCAGTTCCTTTGCATCAGCGGCTAGGAGTTTCGTCATGAGCACACCTTGAGGTCCAAGCTTCGTTAACATTGTGGGAAAGAAAGGGAGGAGTTTGATGGCTTGTTGGGGAATGCCTTGGTCCACTAGGTCGCCACCCACGGTGACGGCTAATGGGACTCTTAAGCCACCGTTGGGAATGCCCAGCGCGTCGATGACGCTGAACCACTCGGCTGACTCGAAGAGGGAAGATTGATTAGCGAAATCATGGAGGGCGGTCAGTTCGTAGGTGTTGGGTGTGATGATGTCTACAAGAGGTTTGGGGTAGACTGATGAAGGAGCGGTGGATGGGAAGATGCGTAGCGCCTTGGCTGTGGAGACTGGTTCGAAGATAGTGGTGGTATCTGCATGACGAGCGGCTTGGAGCCAGGTATGCAGGGCGGATGAGGACCAGTTGGCGTCTGCAACAAAGGCTTTAGGTCGAGCTGAAGTGTTGCCGAAGATACTGGTGGCTAGTTGCTGGATAGTTTCATCGGGGATCGTCTCTAGGATCGACATATCTGCCATGGCGAGTGCAAGATCTTTGTTGGTATTGTTGATGGCGACATATTGTGCTGTTCTAGAGGGTGCGGGGAGCGTCTTAATACCGGAAACTGGCATACCTTCCTGCTGCAATTGGCTAATCGCTGCGCGACCACTCAAGTCCTCACCCACAGCACTATGCAGATGAACGAACGAGCCGAGTAGATGGGATGCTTTAGCAATATTGTGTGCAACACCTCCAAGTGTTTGAGTAATGACAGCTGGATTCGAAGTGTGAGGTAGTGGATCTGTCTGGCCAGCAGAAGCTTTGAACGGAGCATAATCACAAGAAAAGTCAACCGCAAGAGCACCTGCGACAACGACATCGGGGTCTTTTTGAGGCTCGGTGCTAGATGAGAATGACGTAGTAGGAGTTGAAGGAGGCCCAGAAGGCGATGAGGTTGCATTGCGCAGCTGCTCATCTGCAGTAGACGGAGGGCTGGACGGAACGGGAGTGAAGTAAGAGGAATTCCGTCTAATATACTTACATCAGCGCCAGTTTACGATGGAGCAACAAGAGTGCTGGCTCACCCTTGGGCTTCTTCCTGTTTCGCCTCGAGGATGGCAAGTTCCCGTGCTACGATGGTCGCCCGCTTCACGTTGGATTCTATGAGGGCTCTGTTGGCGGGTATGCTCTTGCCCTTGCTGAGCTCCTTGATCTTGGCAAGTACAAACGGCGTGTTGTCCTTGCCAGAGATGTTGGACGCTTCAGCCTGTTTTAGAGCCTCGGCAATGATGACATCCATCTCATCCTTGGGTATAGCAAAATCGGTAGGAACGGGGTTGGCGAAGAGGAGACCAGACGAGATTTGGAGCGCGTGTTGCGCGTCTGAATGGTATCAGAACCATAGGTAAGGGGTGATGGTTGCAGACTTACATATAACAGCAGCCGCCTCAACCTCATCCGCAATGGTTGTCGGGCTCTTGACTCCACTATCTCTTGACCAGAAGGCAGGGAAGTCTACATTCCCTTGGCGACCATCAGCGAAGGTGCCTACACCCACACCTTCAGTCTCAAGGTACTCGATGGTTCGCGGTATGTCGAGGAAGCTCTTGCAGCCACTGGAGATGACGGTCACTGGGGTCCTCCCAAGCTCCGTCAAATCGGCAGAGATGTCCATGCTCGACTCTGCACCCCGGTGGACTCCACCAAGGCCGCCTGTTCCAAAGATCTTGATTCCAGCAAGATGGGCCAGCAGCATAGTGCCTGAGATGGTCGTGCCTCCGTTGAAGGACTTGTCGGTCAATCGCATACCACACACATAGCCGAGGTCTCGTCGCGAGAGCTTCATTGTGCTTGACTTGCCAGCAGAAGAAGCTAGTCGTATCAGCTCCTCTGGAGCCATTCCTACACGTGCTACACCGTCCAGGATGCCAATGGTAGCTGGAATGCCGCCATTTGTTCGGACTACGCTTTCGAGGAGGGATGCGAGGGCGACGTTTTCCGGGTAAGGGAAACCTATGCCATAGATTAGCACAGGCTGGGGCTGTCAATGTTCTGTATTCCTACCATGAGTGTAGATTGTCGTCTCGAGCGCGACGACGGGCTTGTTCGAGTTCAATGCTTCCCGCACCTCCTCCGAGACACGGAAGAAGCCATTGTTGGTCAGATGACGCCTGCCAGAAGCGGTCGCTATTCCACAGCGACTTGGAGATATCCGCGGCCGACCAATTGATCGTGCTAGTAGTCTCATAGTGACGTGCGAGAGTGTAGTAGACGATGTAGCGGACTATGGAGGGGTGAGCTCAAGCTGTCTGCGCACAGACGCGGAGGTGCCAGGGAACTCCGAAGAGAACACCTACGACGCAACACATGCGCCGCGTAACCACCAATTGACTAACCCGCCAGCCAACTCAATTCCCCCAACACCGACCTCATATATGACTGGATAGCTTGACTGCTATTCCAACAATGAGGTCCTCCCTCTTTACGAGCTGCATTGCAGCGCTTTCGAGCTTCGCCAGCGCCGAGTTGAACCTCTCTCAACCACTGCTATCTAAGCAAGTGCTACCTAGCACTTTCACACCACCGCAAGTGTTCAAGAATGCCAACCTAGTCCGGACGACGAACCTAGATAAGGCGTATCCACGAGAGACCATCAATGTCATAATCGAGAACATTGACGACAAGGCGCAATCGGAATACTATCTGCCATTTGAGTCTAGCCTGCTATCCAAGGTTGGAGGATTCGAAGTAAGAGACAAGAAGGCGGCGGAGAAGGGCATCTTCAAGGTCGAGGTAGTGGGCTTCGATGCAGAGAGGTAGGTCCATGGCGCAATTGGCATCATTTATTGACACTGACCGGTGCAGCTCTGTCGAGTTCTACAAGATCCATCTCCCTGAACCCCTCGCACCCAAGGCGCAGCAGACCATCAGCATCTCCTACTCCATTCTCTCGGCTCTGAAACCCGTTCCCGCCCAGCTTGCCCAGACAGACAAGCAGTACCTGCAATACGACTTCAGCGCATACGCACCCTCGGCCTACCTCACGGAGAAGCAGCGAACCAAGGTCAAGTTCCCCAACAGCGATGTGCCCGACTACACCACTCTCCCCTCGGAACTCAACGACGAGCAGACGGCCGACCCGCAGAAGCAAGGCTCGACCTTCACATACGGCCTCTACAACAACGTGCCCGCGGGTGCCCAGCAACTCGTAAGCGTGCGCTACGAGTTCACCAAGCCTATCACGCAAGCGACACTACTAGAACGTGATATCGAAGTCTCGCACTGGGGTGGCAATCTTGCAGCCGAAGAGCGCTACTGGCTCGTGAACCAAGGCGCAGGTCTCAAGAACCACTTTTCACGCGTAGAATGGCAACGCCAGTCCTACCTCAACCCACCTACCTTCGCCCTCAAGGGCCTGGCCCTGCCTCTGGCCCCCGGCTCCGTCGACCCCTACTTCACCGACGACATCGGCAACGTCTCCACCTCCAAGTTCCGTCCTGGCAAGAAAGAAGCGCTTCTGGAGTTGAAGCCGCGATACCCCATCTTCGGAACCTGGAAGTACAGCTTCCGTGTCGGTTGGAACACAGATCTCTCCTCGTACCTGCGTAAGCTCTCTACGGGCGATACCTACGCTCTCAAAGTGCCTTTCCTCGAGGGCCCCCGCTCCGGCGAAGGCATTTCCTACAGTCGCGTAAACCTTCGCGTCATCCTTCCTGAAGGCGCTACGAATGTCAAGTTCTCCACCACCGTCCCCATCGTTAGCAACCAAACCAGCCTCCACAAGACTTTCATGGATACCTTGGGCCGTACGACACTGGAGCTGACGGCTATTAACCTCGTCGATGAATTCAGGGATCGCGATCTCATTGTTACATACGACTACCCATGGACAGCTGGGTACAGGAAGCCTGTTGTCATCACACTGGGCATGTTTGCTGTGTTTGCTGTTACGTGGGTCTTGGGTAGCATTGATACTAGCATTGGAAAGAAGAAGACTGCGTAGAAGAGCAAAAACAGGATTGAAGTGTACAAAATAAGATAGAGAAGAAGATATGATGTTGGGAAAAGTGCGGTACCAGTGTATTGGCCTAATTGAACTGGGTTCAACGTAGGCAAGGAGTAACTCGCTTTTGATGGTGACATGTAAGAAGAATGAATATCAGGTTCCAATTTCCGACGATCTAGGGTATCACGCAACGATCTGTACAGTACACCGTCCAAGTGCTCTCTGATAGTTAACACCTCGTTCCCCCTTCTATACCAAGCAAGAGATTCTACCAGGCAATTCAAAAAGGATCTCGCCTCCCTTTGACACGATGAACATGCCGACACACAACCCTAACACCTTCTTCACACCCCATCCTCCCAACCTCACTCTTAACACACTGCGCGATCCTCTCCGCAATGGCAACACTACGATGCGTCCCCGAATGACAGCACACACTCATACTCACTTCCACACTGCCACCACCGAACCTCCCCCTTCTTTCTCCCTCTCCAAACCGCAAAAGCTCCTTCACGGCCGTTCTAGCTGCGCGTCGCGCCTCGCCGTCTTCCATGACCATGTCCTGGATCAAGGGACTGATGCCGGAGTACTGTGCGCAGAGAGAAGCAGAGGGAGGACGCATATCGCGCGCGTCGATAGTGTAGAGATGGGGAATTGGAGGACGGCGGCGTGGAACTTGCGAGGCGAGGAGGGTGGCTACCGAGGATTCGTTGTGGACTATGTCTGTGGCGTAGGTTATGATGTATACTATTGGGGGGCTGGGTATAGGAGGTTGTGATTGAGGTTGGTGAAGTGGTGGTATGCGTGTGTATGTAGAGTTTGATCTGGGTAGACTGTTGCGTGGAGGCGAGGAAGTGCGGCGGTATCTATCTCTGTGGATATGGGAATCGTATTCGTACGTCGAGGTATATGAGTGGTACTTTCTAGACATTCTTTCTTCGGGTTCGTGTCGTGAGGGGGGCTTGGATGGTGTGTCGTATCTGCTTTCTTGATCCCTATCTCTTTCTCTTTCTTTTACCCTTGTGCGTTCCCTGTCCCTCTCCCTCTGCCTTTCTTCCTCGGCTACCCTAATCGTCCTGCTCGAGCTGCCTTGAGCAGGCGGTAGGTCGAAATGTACGTGTCTGCTCGCCGTCTTCTTGAAGCTGCTGTTGCGAGGTATTCTTTCGGACTGCGGTGCTCCTGCCGGTCTCACGTGTCTCCAAGTTTCGGTCTGTACGGGCCGATGGGATGTGCTTGGTCGTGTATACGACGTTTCGTAGTAGGAATTGTAGTGACGGGGTTCAGTGTATGAGTAGGGTCTGGACATGCAAGTTGTGTCGTATGATCGCGCTGCGAGGTTGTGAGGATAGAGGGGAGGATGGAGGTATGTGGATGCGCATGGAGGAGGAGCAGAAGTATATCGATACATGATTGCTCCTTCTTCTTCCCATGCCTTTCGCGGTAGAGAGTGCGATACTTCTCTACTACACGACGTAAGTGATCACCGAGTCATGATCAATTGAGGAATCATATGTATAGTGTAGGTGGGATATGTTTGCGAAGGATTAAGAATTCTTCGCCTAGGTCGATGGTAGCACACGATACTCATAGTATAGCGCTCCGTGCGTGTGAGCAAGCCGATGGGCGGTCAAGACTCATGGGAGTCACAGTCGTACAGAACGACATGGTGTTCTTGCTTCCGCACACTGCCATGTGTTGGATATGCATCACGCTTGCGGAGTCTGAGATCTAGAAATGGAAGCTGAGGTTTGAGAGCGACATAAGTGCAGTTGCATGCTTCTTCCAAACTACTGCTGACTTAATGAAGTTGGTCGGGTGAAGAAAACAATGATAATGATGGCATTGAGAGAAGATGGCACGGATGAAGAAGCATTCGAGAAAGTGACAGCTGGGTGTAACGGCGACATAGCCAGCAGAAGGAAGGAAGTAATTACCTGATTACATGCGCGTGCCAACTCACTCTTACTTTACAGGCACTTGTTTACTCACACTATGAGCATCTTACGGTGTCGTCTACTCACGACTTTCAGACCTCGTCAACGAACGTTGATTATCCTTCTCAACTTACAGACACGATGCGGACATCTATGATCTCGCATCATCTTTATATTTCTATGCGGACGTCCTATTCGAGCTCTGTAGACTACCAACGTATTGTTCTGAGTTGACAGTAACCATACTGAGAGTCGCTTCGATTGTTCGACGAAAATTCTACAAATCAAACGTAACATGCGTTCAGTCAAGCTTTGCCATGGATACTGCAGTGGGTCATGTACTAGCGCTCTTCAGTCTCCATGCTGCACGACATATTTCTAGCTGGGCCACTCAACCTCGCTTCGATTGCAACGGTCTATCAAACGCACGAGGATCCTAGTCTGATACTTCGCAATGCGCCCCGTGTCACTATAGATCGCTTGCGTTGGGCATCATTGGAGTCAAAATCACTTGACCTTGTCCTTTGATGACTTGCTGATGATGTGCACAGCGGTCAGGACGTGCAGTGACATCTCGGCTGTATTTTGACATTTGCGGTCCGGTTTCAGGCCTTCATCGCCCGTTGGGCAGCAAACTCCCATGTCGTGTTCTTCGCACGACTCACTGACCGCTGCAACGACTTGTCAAAACTCAAGCTGCAAATGTTCAGAGTATGATCTTTCCGCACAAGCGAACAGTTGTGATTGCTTGCGAGTCGATACGCGGCATCGAAACATCGATCACGCTCAAGAGAGCCCCACCAGGTCCCTGCGCTCTTTCGAACAGCCACAGGAGCTGAAGTCTCGTTGTGTAGAAACTCTAGAGAGCATATATTGTGCATGCTTGATTCAGGCATATCGTTGCTTGAAGGCCCAGAACTTGCGGTCTGACATGTCCGGGACTGCTGAGGGGTCCGGCTCTGTGTATCGCGCGCCGCGAACGGTAACCCGAGCTACTCCACAATAACGTCTTTTGGAAGAATGGCTGAAGAGTGAGACATGGACAAGCTCTGTTGATTCAAATGAGGCTAACAAATGACAAGGAACAGCTACGTCTCTGATTGAATTGGAAGAGCTCGCCGTACCGTCTCATCATGCCACATTGACTGACACGGTGCCCGTCAACACCATGCACGACAAATTCCTTGGACTTCTTGTCATGAAGAAACCGCGTGTTGCCGGTGGAAGGGCCGAGTTGTATCAGCCATTCGATTGCAAATCCGATCCGTTCTGGAGCTCGTAGCGATACGTGCGGGAACAGAGTCGTCTCCGAAATGGGACCGACAGCCGCTTCTCATCGCCTTGATGGTACACGTGCTCGTCCCGAAAGAAAGTTGAACCGAGACGGGGAGATCATGACCGAGATTGCACGGATTGCACGCTCCATGAGACGCGTAGAGAGGGCGCTCAGAACATTGCAGGGTTCCTTCAAAACTCTCCGCTTGTACATGGCTCCACTGTGCACGACTTTCGACGTTGTGGTTCCTGACCGCCCCGCTAGGGATACCACGATGCACCGCCCTAGGCCCTAGCTGCTTACCGGCAATCGTGACCAGAACGGTGTTCCGGAAAATGTCTCCTAGTTGCATGCCATGATATTCGATAAACAGCTACCGCTAGTTACCGGGGATAAAAGCCTTATCTCGCATTCTCTTACGCACACCGATATGTTGCATACAAGCTGAGACAACTTTAATAATAGTCGCATAATGCGTATCTTGCGTTCGTACTGTTGCGGGGTATGTCCGTTACAATCTCGGCTGCAGCTGCAGTAAGGCGGCATGTGGCTTTACCTGTGGGAGGTGCTTCCAGCCGATGCGACGCCTGTCTGATCGGTGAGGGAGCATGCGTTCGATTGGCGAAGACTGGTTTCAGTGGGAGAGCACAACATGATTTGTGTTACTTTTGTTGTTAACGTTTCGCCAGCGTGGGATACGATTCGACGAGCGGTGTTGTGACACCAGGCAACCTCTGTGGGATGGTCCGGATGTGGGCTTGGCTGTGTAAGGCGGCATGTGGAATGTGATGACTATGAGCTTTGTCACGCTGCTAGTCACAGCCTTGGAGAGTTTACCGCTTTGCGCGCCTCACTTTCTCAAGGTTAATGACAACCATCTGGGTGTGTCATGTAACCTCTCTTTAGCCCGACAAGGTAGTCTAGTCGTCGTAGAACGTCAAAGGTCGCTATCGATTCGCAACGCGAACGCGAAGTCAGCAGTGAATGAAGATCATGTTCGGGGGTCTGTGGGATCTGCGGGGATGTCCTCCGCCCGCTTTCTGCACGCCTTACAGTTCAGCGTATGCACCTCGACGCATTTGATATCATGGGAAATTTTATCAGGAGATGTTGTTTGCAGGATGGCTTTCGCTGTGTTCTTTCACAGGTGGATGCGAAGCGAACGCGCTTTCGCAACCTTACACGCGACTATATGGGAGGATTTCGAAGAAGCAAACACGAAAGCACGTGCTAAACATCAAATCGTGCTATTGAGAGTCCAGCCTAGCGTTGAGTCGGTATTCGCAACCGACATAATCACAGCATCGTGATCTCTAGCAATAGACGTCGGGTTCGCGTCCAAAATGCGATGTCCCATTCGCTCCGAGCTAGAGGAAATGACGAGTACGATCCAAAAATGATGTGCACCACAAGCTTAAAGAGGGACTGGAGTTGCCGAAAGGAAGCGAGGTGTCGTAACCTTATCCCAAATGCCCAACGCCATCTTCACGTATTCAGGCAACGGGGTCTTCTCCGCAGCATCTCAATAACGCCTTTTCCGCTAATTTCCTAGCATTCAGGACAAGAGATAAGCTTGTTGCTGCCCAATGCAACGCTTCACCGTATCAAACCTTACTCCGTTTCCGTACCATGTTGCAGTCTGGAGCTGCGGTACGTGGAGATGGCGTCTCTGATACTCCGTAATTTTATCAGATGATAGCAAAATCAACGGCGAGGTGGGGAGAAGTCCGATGGGCAACCTGCAAAGCATTCCAACACTGCCCCATTTACACGCTATACCGAAAGACATGATCGACACTGCATTTGCGAAAAGCGCACCAAGGAATTAACTGGAGAGAGGACACTTGCAGATTTTCTTTAGGAGAACGCAGGTCCCTGCTTCATGCAGATACGCGAAAGGAAGAGGCTCTGAAGATCTACGAGTGTATGCAGACTGTTCTTACCCCAAAATGATCGACGCAGTACGCGCGACCCTTTTCATTCGTTTGCAGCGCTGCAGAACAATAGGTAATCCATCCACACGCACGCAAACGTATGACTTTCAACTTCCGAGTACCGATCCGCTCGTTACCCGAGCGAATTTGTGGCATCATAATCGCAAAGCTCGTACGATTTCCTTCACTGTAACTGCATAGTCTGGAATAGTTTGTAACCACAGGCAGCCCAGTATTGGGTAGTATAGATGCGACAACCTTGGTTAAGATGTCAAGATAGCACGTGTATAGTGTTAGCCAACGCCAAGAAAGGCGTCATCACGTTCTTGGAAAATCAAGTGTTAGTCAGGGTCCAAGCTATCGATTGCTTGGTTCACCGGAAGCCTGCGTCACGTTTTCTCGACGAGCCGCCGGGCAGAGTGGCAGATAGCGCCGGAGCACAGCTACACCAGGAACAAGTGTCGCGCTCCTGTCAGAATACTTGTCGACCAAATTCTTTGATTAGTAAAAGATGTGATGCAAGAAAAATATGTTCTGAGGTTGCATGATGTAAAATGCAGGTTGCAGTTCTTTTGCGGGATTCTTGCCCTGATCAATACTACTCAGACGTTGGAGGCGTTATTACCTGATTATGCGGGCGGCTGTTTTGTTTTGGAGGTGAAGGATTGAAGGGTTTGGAGATCGCCTAGTCAACCTACCGTCGCTGTCACCGTTCTGTCTGCAAATCGTTTTTGCGGTGTGGAAAAGGCACTAGCATGTCCCCCGTGAAAAACAGCGATGCCAGCCGGGCAGATATCCGGTGAAAATATGACAGTTTCGAGTTTTCATAAATCGTGGGTAGCGGCGCATACGGAAACGTATACGGCAGGTGGTTTGGCTTTGGTTCAAGGTCATGCTTTGTTTTTCTTATTTGGTGACGCGCCTGAGGTGGCGCGCTCCATGCAGAAAGGGGAGCACGTGGATATGTAGTACATACACACATTATCCACTCACTCACACCTTTTCGACATGTAGCTGATGCAGTGAAGAGGATGCGGATTGACTTGCATTGCATTGCAGGTATGTTGGGTATTGACTGGAAATCATGGTTGATCACTAGTATCAGGTGTGATGTCGCGCATACGGATGCTTTAGAGTCCGTTTGAAGTAGCAAAAGTAGTGATGGAAAAGGGAGATGATAGTCCCGTTCAACGCGCATACAACGGCCACTGATCATGACCCTCACAGACACCTTACTTTGCTTCTTTGCGGCCGCTGAAGGTACATACTGATCGGGCGAAACAAAGATCTCAATGTGACCCTCGGAGATATCCAGTTGCATAATCGACGGCATGGATTCCTCCAAGATAGAGTTTGCGATATGGTTTGAAACCATGCCGTGGTATTGGAATTCCTCTGATCGGTGTGAGATGATCGTATTGTTGATAATTACAAACAATTACCACTATTATATGTGAAGCTGTTCGCCTGCACGGGAGGAAACTCGGCGAACAACAGCCGCACGGGCGAAACGGCTAAGGCGCTGCACCCGTACGGACCAATCTTTCCACTTCAGGGCTGTCACTAAGACGGGGCGGGGCGTGCGACGCCACAATATTAGACCGAGGAGATACCGTTGGTCATCACACGAAACATGGTCATCATGCATGTGTATAAGCATACCTTGGTAAAAAGCAAAGCCTGGGAAACCGTTGGATGGGAGCAATGGAAAGGACAGCCGCGGGCCTGTAGATCAAGTCCGCTATTGCGTGAACGGTATGTTCGAGGGTCCGGCAACGAAAAGCAATGCAAACAATGGCAATCGGAATGCGATGTTAAACCGATATGATACATTTTTTGTGAGCCGCGGCAGGGTTATGTATGAGTGGCTTGGGCCTAGAATCCGAAGATCTCCAACCGGCAAAAGCTAGCGCGAATCGAAGCAAGTGGAGTCCAACTCCGAGTCCGACTCCACACCACCCTCCACAGCGTTGCACAGTTCCCTAGTCTGATCGGTGAACGATGACGGGGAATGGAGGGGGAAAGACGGAAAAAACCCTGGGTATATCCATAACAGTGGTCGGCGAGCATTATCGAGAAAGAAGCAATATAGTTGCAGTTGAGAAAACTTGTCCCCACTATCCAAGCCTTGGATGGGCGCGGGTAATATGTTAATTTAGAGACACGTGAGGTGAGGAGAGACCTGAGACCAGAAAGAAAGAGAAAGGGAAATAATGATCCCGAAATGCTTTGTTTCAGCGCTAACCGCCCAATGATGATGATGATAAGTTAAAACTTCCGTTTCGTTGCGTGTGCATGTGCCGCGTGCATTTGATAATGCATCTCTGTCTTCTACGATAGCTGTCCTGATTGATGGTGTGAGAATAAAAGGCGAGAAGGAAACCAAAAAGTAAATATGAGTATCCAGAAAGAAAGTGAGGTGCAGCAGCGCCGGGGTCTACTCATGCAAGTCATCATGCACGTCCAGATCGGCATCGGGCCGGATCTACCAGACAATGGCGCGCATCGGATGGCGACTGAGCTCGTGTAGTGGCTGCTGTGCAGGAGATACATCGTCGGATGGGAGCGTAGCGTGGACATCGTCATGCGAATGCGCCTGGCCGATGTTGGATATGTCGTCATATTGGTTGCTTCATTCGAGTCCTTGTTGTTTCTGGACGTTCTTGAGAATCTCAAGATCCATGCGTAGAATGGGCGAGTTTTGCGCTACGTCGCTAATGACCGCGATGGTACGTTTGAATAAGGCGGCGAGATTGGCCTTGGTGAGCCAGGTGTCGCTGGGTAGGAGGGGGTACAATTTGGACTTGTACACAGAGGCTAGGACGAGCATGTTTCCGAATTGTCTAGGTTGAAAGTTAGTTGGCTGTGTCAAGTCCATAGTTAAACATAGGCTTACGCATGAAGTGTACCAAAGATGTTGGTTACTATAAGCCTCTTCTTGCGCGTAGGCTGGAAGTAATGGTATTGGCTGCCAGGCTCTTCGCCTACACGATCGAACGCGATGGTACTCCTGATAGCGGCGTTGATACATTGGCAGGCGATCTTGATAATCTTGTGCTGGTCTTCGCTTAGATCAACCATCTGCACATTTCTATTGGAGGCCGCATTTCCGAAAGGCGAGGGCGGGTTATGCTGTGTAGCGCCAGTTGTGCCGGGAGGCGGAGGTGGGAACTCTAGCGTGTGGCTCGCAAGCTTGAGGTAAGGTCGCAACATCATGTATAGACCACCATAGTATTTGGCGCGTACACGAGCAATGTTGAGATCTGTCGAAGGGTATTCGTCATCCGACCATGCCAGTTCCGGTGTTAGTAGCTTCCGCCAGCCCTCGAGTATCTCCTTGTGGGTAAGTGCGTGGTGGGCAACTTCCTTGAAGCTGGTAGGGTCGAAGCTCATACGGCCACTGGGGCCATACAAGGCGTTGTGCGCTACGTTGAGGACAACTCGTAGGAAAGTCTGCGTGGAGTACAGCTTCATCATCAAGTCTTGCCTAGGACCTGCGCGTACTTCGACATCTTGTTGCACAAAATTGCTGTCTTGGTCTTGAGACCAGTTCTCGTTGACGCCTTCGGGGTACATAATCTCGCTTTGATGTGCAGAGATGCCGGAAGGCGGTAAAGTGCTCATCTCTGCTAGAATATCAGATTCCAGCTGCAGAGCTGTCCAGTAGACGCACATCACAAGATTGAGTCTGTACCGCTCCTTGGAACTCCAGGTATGCCTTCTATCACTGTTCACACGGAGCAGCTTGGTGTAGTCGGCTTTGATGAGGACCAGGGCGATCCGACAGGCGTTGTTAATCCAGCTCCAACTCTCCAATACTCGTGCATATTGACTGAGGAACAGCGCAGCTAGCAGCATAGCTTGCGCATGCGCGACCGTGTTGCCTCCTTGTTGGTTTCCAAGAATGTCTGTGGCATATGCATAATAGGCCATACCAGGTAGTAGATCGATGTTCCTCGGGCGTGTTTCGTCGGAAGTCTCGCTGTTTACGCTGTTGAAACTACCATTGGGGTGAGGAGAATTCCTAATATATCCCCATTCACTGTGGACGTACGGGTGTCGATCATTTTGCGGCGCAGGCAATGGCTCTGTATGCGAGCAGACTTTACCAAGGGCAAGAACGAGCAATACAATCGCGTTGCGCAACGACCGTTCAATCTCACCACGACCTGATGCAAGTCCATCGAGGTTGCTAGCCGAACGCTTTCGCTTCACTCCGTGAACGGGAGCAGGAGAGTGGGCGTTCAGAGGCTTCGCGTCAGGACTATATTGGTCACTGAAATCCTTGAACATACGTCTCAGTTTGTTCTCGTTCATGAAAGGATGGAAAATATGCATGGTCTCCATGTAGGACCTGAGCAGGTCAAACATGACATGGCGTCGAAAGTCGGGCCGACCATCTGCGCCAAGCCCGTTCTCCTGCCGTTGCTGCTGCTGCGGGAAATATTCTCGAGGTGTGCTGCCCGGTGTTCGTGTTCCATTCTCGGCTTCGGAAAATGGGTAGCCCCAAAGTCCTTCTTTGCCAGGCGCTGGTGAAGGGGCTTCTGAATCGTTACTGCTTTCCGGGCTTCCAGGTCCTTGCGCTCCGTCATTTAGGTCTTGGCCCTCGCCAACACCCCAGACACGCAACAGTCCGCGATCCTGCTCAAGCTGCATTGGGTAATCTGAGACTTCACGGCCGTTGTCTATAAGCCTTCTCAGGTACGGAATACCTTGATAAAAGATGCTCATTTGTTGCCATTCGTCCAGCAACTTGTGCGCTGGTGTAGTGTGATCACCTTGCAGGCCGGTCTGTTCCTTGGGACTAGTTTCAGTAGCATGGCTGCGGTCGGTTCTTACACTCTCGGCAGGTGTTGCCGGTTGTTGAGGAGGCGGCGCGAATTGCGATTCTTGCTTGATGGAAGCTGATGCTTGCGCACCCAGTGGCGACATCATGTTCGAGTGGGGAGCGATGGGTGACTCCATTTTCAGGTTGCTGTTGACACGGCCCATGTGTCCTCTTCCCTGTATAGGAGTAGGCCATCTGGATGTACCATGCTCTCTTGGGGGTGCGGAGAAAGAGGCTTCTGGCGAAGTGTGATTCGACATCATCTCGTGATTCCGCGATTGTGGAAGCCTACTCTCAACACTTGATTTCCAGCCGTTGAACTGGTCCACAAACTGCGACAAAACCTCGGAGATGCTGTTGACACTTTCTTGAAGTTGCATCATGCTTCTGTCTTGCCTAGGAAGGGGTCAGCTATAAACCAAAGAGAGGGAAGAGGCAACGCACTTGGGTGGCGGGACGTCCTTGTACTGACAGTCGAAGTTGTTCTCTCTGCAGAATTGGCACGGCCGAGCTTCGTCACATTTCTGTTTCCGCGAACGGCAATGGTTACAGGCCTGGGTGGCGCGCACCTGCTTTCGCCGTATCTGCTGTGCAGTGCCATAGTCGTTCATGTACGGGGTCTGCGCGTAAGGGGTGACAGGAGGGGCGTACTGCTGGGCAGGTGGTGGCGGCTGGGGATGATATGGCGGTCCATTGGGATGTGCTCCAGGGCTGATGCTGTGGTTGTATCCATTTGGTATGCTGCCATTAGGGCGATGCTCGTGGTTGATTGCCCACGGCTGGTGATGGCCGCCATGCTCCATGGGGGTCTGACTTTGGGACTTTACGTCGACACTGATACTGACGCTGGTGGACCGGGAACTGTGTGGCTCAGGTCCAGTGGTTGTCTGAGGTGTGAGTGGGGGGCGGTAGCTAGAGATTCTGTCCTGGGGGATCGTCACAGGAGATGCTCCAGTAACGCCATTGGAGTGCTGACGAGGTGAGGGTATGTTCCGTGGGTCCGCAAGGGCGCGAATATCAGATGGCGGAAGGGACGGTGAAGGAAGCGGTCCGGGATAGCCTTGGACGTGAGGAGTGTACTGGTTAGACGGAACCGGTAAGCCGTGAGCACCGTAGGGCGGAGACGCCTGGACCAAAGTGGGATGAGACGAAGGCCGAGTGGGTTGGGTATGAGGCGGTGGAGGAGGGGGTGGAAATCCGTGGCCGTTATACTGCGGATGATCAAGATTGCCGGGGCCCAAACGAGCTCTCTTAGACTGGCCGGGCGCGTCAGGATCAGCCATCCTTAGATATGCCAGACGGAATCCGCTATGGCCATGCGGCTATGTATGACAGACGACTACTGGGCAAAACGGATGGTCCCAGGACCACCAAACGGCAAAAGCCAGGAAGGTCGCGGGGGGTGGGCAGGTGGTGGAGAGGCGGCCTCGGCAGTCGCAGGGTCAGGAAAAGACCAATTCGCCAAAGTCAGCGAATGGCAGGTCAAAGATGATTTGCAGATGACAGCCCAACCCGCGTCATCGCCTGGAAGAGGGGAAGAGTTTGGAAAGCGTTGCAGGGCAAGTGCTCGGAGACCAGAGTGGGATGCAGGACGGGAGCTTTCCTATGCCGCGTGCGCGAAGAAAGGACCTAGCCTTGGGCAAGACTCTCTTACCATGGAGCCGGAGACAACTATCCGAAGCAGGTAAGGCCCAAAAGACTGAATCGCGGACGGTCTATGCTGTCGACGTTTCCTGGCTTGGTCGGCGAAAAGTGGCGCTATTGAGGCCGGGCCGTGCGAACGAAGGGGCCAGGGCGCAATCACAAGAGGCGCGAAACTAGATCAGTCGCAAAAAGGAACAGCTCAAAGCGAGACAAGACGGGGGGCGGGAGACGGCACAGCGCTGGGTCAGGCACGCTGTTGTTGTTGTTGTTGTTGTTGTTGGTGGAGGAGGGTGGCAGCGATTAGTAGCAGCAGCAGTAGTAGTAATGATGGGAATGGCTATAGTGTGCGATGGGTGTGTCGGGAGGGAAGAACACCATACTGAAGCTTGGAGAGATGGACGAGCATTGCAGAAGCGGCGTATTAGCGCAAAAGTGAAGGATGTGCAGCACACAGGTCGCTTGTGCCATTAACCCAGCCTACAGGACAAGGGTTTCGGCGGGGCCACCAGGCGCGCTGTGTGGTCCATCGACAAGGACGACATGGCACCGTTGTATCAAACAGCGCGAGCTGCCAGAGCCCGTCATGTGCCATAGGATGATGCCGTTGCAGACAGCAAACGTTGCTCCCGCCCGACGCGACCGCATCCATTGATAACTACTTGGGGGCCGTCTCCAGCCGTCGGCGACACGTCTGCTTGAAAGGATAACTCGGTGCTGCGATGCCAGGCCCGGCTATGTGCCAGTCACGGGGTTCGTTATTTCGTGCGGCGATGCGCGGTCCTCCGCTCTGCAACAATCATCGTCAACAACCCCCGTGCATCTTCCAACAGGCCGGCCGTCAGCAGTCATAGTCGGATAATTTCCGCCCAATTGCTGGCCCTGAAGATTCAGGAAGCTGATCCGAGCTCTGAGGCCAATTAGTCACTATCCCTAGTCTGCCAGCCTCCACTTTGCAGCGGCACCGAGGCATTCGAGAAGGTTGATAGAAGTGATGCGCTGCTTGTGGCGTGCAGGCCATATCTTGCAACGCCTCGTCTCACGCCTGGTACTGTCTGCTTACCATGAGCACTCGGTCCCGTCCTTTGTGCTGCAACGATTCATGCGCCGAGTCTCCGCGAGCAGCACCCGTCACTCACGACTCTGGCTGCCCAAAGATCAGCGTTGCGTTTCCGGGCTGCAGATCCTGACGAGACTCCTATAGGCAGTCTGGTGGCCACATAGTGAAGTAGTGTGTGTACTGCTGCACCACCCTTTTGTCCGCCTCGTTCGCTAGGGAAATCGCGGCTGCTACTCACTGGCAAATGCCGGAGAGGCGCCGGTCTCTTTACAATCGACGTTAGTTCCATCGTGTCCAAAGTCGGTCCCATAAACTAGCGCGCCGCAACACGCGACCGCCATAATGGCGTCAGGAACATTTACAAGCCGACATGTCGTAGGACCCCTCCATCGCACTTGGAGTAGGTTGTTACGGTGCACGCCGCAGTGGCCTGGACACCCTTGCAAACATGGCCAAGCTCAGGTAATCCGGCCGTGAAGGGCCTGCCGCAAAGAAACGGTCAGCTGTCCGGCCATATCAATCCAAAACAGCAATGCCTTTGATGCTAAGCTCTTCGCAGAGATAGCTATTGAGCCAGTTTGTCAGATGACGAGCCGACTCTGCCCGGCCCTGTTCCTCACCGACGCTATGGCAAGTTGCGGTCTGCTTCAGACTAGATGATTGATGCGTGAGAGGACCTGTCCGATAGACGACTCTCCACAACCGAGATTGTCTAAGCAAAGCCGGCCTGCGACCAGCGTAGGAACACCCTGGCTCTACACATCCTGGCGGCTGTCGCTTCACCACGTGGAACGCATGAGGCGTCCAGTAGAAAAACGGGGTGTCCCTTGGACTACCTCTCCACCGAGAGACGGCGCAAAAACGAGTCAAACTCGTGTCGACAAGTTGCCGTCGAGTCGGTGTAGTCGCTTCACTCTGCGACACGGGCGACTCAAGGCTTGCCATCGATCGGAGCAACAACACTTCTAGAAATTTCATGCCCCAGTCGGCAAGTAATGTAGTGGCCCTTGTTCGCCTGCCTGCCGCTTCTGGCAAAAAAGCATGCAGAAGAGGTTGGAGAATCGGCAAAACGGCGCGACACGGTGAACCTTGAGACGCACCCATGGAACGCATTCGCCTTGCCGTCTGGAGATCCAAAGTGTACGTGCTGACGCAAATGGAGTCAACAATGACGGAAGATATGTAGTGACGTCGCAAGTGACGATGTAGACAAACCTTCGTCTGGTCGCTGTCCACCTGGCGGTGCGCGCGGTTATTGCCTTGAATTGGCTCCTCGGAGACATGTCCTGCCGTGTCGTACCAAACGTAGAGAATTTGTAACCAGGGGACACAGCCTCTAGCATGTCCCCATTACCAGGTGACACGACCAGATCAGATTCCTGTTTGTGTTTCGTAGATGCGTGTAAAGCGCAAGTGTCACACAACTGGTACATGTAAGGAAACAAGTAGACGGATGCGATTGCGCCAAGCCTTTTTCGACCATGACTGCTTACGCGGGTCTATCTTACATTGCAAACACCACAAGAGAGAACGGCTTTATACCTGCCGCCTATCAGCTTGCGGCTTCATTTGTGTAACTCGATGCATCGCCAGGTGTTGCATATTGCACGCATACGTGAAGTGCGTCTGCTAGCGATCCCTTCGTAACCGAGGCGCTGAGACGCCACTGAGACAAGTCCAATCGCGCATATGTATACGTCACAACCCAATTTACACCCTGAAGACGAATAGGCACCACCGCAAACACCTCCAACACCCTCACTACAGTGCCTTCGATAGCGCAAGATCGCGTGGATCACAATCTCTTGTACCAACAGACTCATCCTAGCTTGAAGTCCCTTCAAGCAGAACATCATGGTCGCCACCCTGATCTTTAGCGTCATTGCGAGCTTCATCGTCTTTCAGATAATCTGGAGGTATCGTTGCCTGCAGCAAAATATTGTACTAGCAAAGAGCTCCGGACTACCTGTAGTTGCATCGCCATGGAACGTATTCAGCATCTTCTGGCTGTCCACATTCAAACTATGGACGCCGTTGCTGCAGAGGTTGATGCCAGAACCACTTAGAGGCATGTGGATGGAGTAAGTTTATCTGACTGGACCAAAGTCGAGTTGTTAACTTAACCCTGCAGTCTTCTACATCCAGAGTGGGGTTACATGAGCGGTCATGGGCCTTTCAAGAAGATGGGCATGGACGTCTTCATTGTCGCTTCTCCTACCAGAAATATTGCATATGTTGCCGATGCGGAAGCTGTTAACCAGATCACTAGCCGCCGCAATGACTTTCCCAAGCCTCTTGAAATGTACGGGTCGCTCGACATATATGGCAAGAATCTTGTCACTACTGAAGGATCAGATTGGCGTGCACATCGCAAACTAGTCGCGCCAAGTTTTGGTGATAAAAACAATGAACTAGTGTTCAACGAAACTCTTCATCACGCAAAGTCGATGCTTGGTCTGTGGGCTGGACCTGATGGTAAAGGCAACCAGACCGTGGCTGATCCATCCGTTGCGGCAATGAACTTTGCTCTCTATGTTATTAGCGGTGCAGGATTCGATGTACGCGTAGTATGGCCGCATGAGGAGGGCAAGAAGATGGAGGCTAAGAGAGGTGGAGAAGATTCGATCTTTGTTGGATCTGAAGCACCCCCAGGCCACACAATGAATTACAGGGAGGCTCTTAGCCAGCTACTCCACAATATTATGTGGACTCAGGTTATGCCAGTCAAGTGGCTCTGTAAGTTTTTTTCCCATGCCATCACCTGACTGATTTGAGTTGAACTGAGTATGTTAATCTAACACATTCGTCTAGCGCGATCTCCAGTCAAAGTCCACCGTACAGTTGGCGAGGCTGTAGGTGAATGGGGTAAATACATGGACGAGATCTATGAAAAGAAGAAAGCCCAGGTCGAATCTGGCGACGACACGAAAGGAGGCATGGATCTCTTTGATGCTCTGATTCGTGGAAGCGGTATCACCAAGAAGGAGGGTACGACGGTCACGAAGAGCGATCTGCTGGGCAACGCTTTCGTGGTGATGTTGGCTGGTCATGAAACAACAGCCAACACACTACATTTCTCAATGATATTTCTCGCTATGAATTGGGCATCACAGAAGCGGTTACAAGACGACATTGACAAGATATTTGCAGGAAAGCCGATTGATGAATGGAAATTCGAGGAGCATTTCCAACAGCTTTTCGGTAGCATGGCGGCGGCAGTCATGAACGAGACGTTACGGCTCCTACAACCCATCATCAACATCCCAAAGTCTACGGCGCCAGGTCGACCCCAACCATTGAACATTGGGGGCCAACAGTATATGATACCTGGGGATACGCACATCTTCCTCAGTGCCGCTATCCATCGCAACCCTAAATACTGGCCAAAACCATCCGGTGGATCGAACAAGGACGAGATCCCTGACGTGGACCAGTTTCGACCTGAACGCTGGCTCATAGACACCAAGCCCGACAACGACTTTGTCGACATCAACTACGATGATGAAGAGCTACGTGGACCATCGGGAGAAGACACTTCAGCTCAACTTTTCAAACCCGTTAAAGGCTCATACATACCCTTCAGTGACGGCTTTCGATCATGTATTGGACGACGTTTTGCTCAAGTAGAAATCCTCGCTGTGCTTGCGGCGATCTTCTCGCAGTATAGCGTTGAGCTTGCAGTCGATGACTTCGCAAGTGACGAAGAGGTAGAGAAGATGCCAAAGGGAGGCAGGGAGAGGAGGGAGTTATACAAAAAGGCTGAGGATAGAGCTAACGATTTTCTTCGGAATAAGGTAGCGAGTATTGTCACGCTGCAGTTAAGGGGCGTCTCGATACCGATCAGGTTAATGAGGAGGGGAGAGGAGAGATTCGCTTTCGATTAGATGCATACTGCATTTATCGAGTTGGACTTTGGATGTACAATATTATGGGAGACGACCTGCATGGTTAGAGGTGCCTGTCTTAGAAGCTACCCCGCATACGTCACAGCCTCAAAATTACCCCACTGAGAGCCGCTACATCCGCCATAACTCCGCTACGATTAGCAACACGCTGTATTTGTAAAGATAGTTTATACGTATTCCAAAGTTTTCACCCTCACGTCTACAATCGTAAACGGGAATCACCAACCCGACATACACCAAGATGTCACCACCAGTCTTCCCACCTGACGAGCTACGACAAATCGTCCAAGAAGTAGCTACTCTACTCAAAGAGCGCAAAGAAACAATCTCAGTAGCCGAAACAGTAAAGTCACTTTACTCTCCAAAAGCCAAGATTACCTACTGACGAATTCACACCAAGGCAGCAGGCGGTCTGATCTCCGCAGCACTCCTTTCCTTTCCCGGTGCATCGACCTATTACCGTGGAGGCCTTACTCTCTACACGCTCGAATCTCGTATCGCCTACTGCGGTTGGACTCAAGAATCTATCAAATCCTACAGCGGCCCAACCCCCACCATCGTCTCTGGCCTCGCAGAGCACACGCGTAAGACACTGGGTAGCACATATACTGTTAGCGAGAGCGGGACGGCTGGACCGACGGGGGGTACGAGTAGGAATCGCACGCCAGGCTATGTGGCGCTTGCTGTGGCACGAGAGGGAGGCGAAACGGTGACGAAGGAAGTGGAGACGGGGAGTAGTGAGCGCGAAGGCAACATGGTGGCTTTTGCCGTTGAAGGGTTGAAGTTGGTACGTGATGTTCTCCAGGGGGGTAGTGAAGGTAAGTTGTGAATCATGCAATGTTATCTTGTATCGATGAATCGCTCGAGGGAGTAAGTGGTGCGAAATTCAACATTACCGAGCATCTGGCTGTAACATGTTTCGTTGAACTTACCTCGTCTTGAAAGGGAAGGAAGGAAGGAATGTGTACTATTTATTGGCCTTCCATACTCGATACCCGAACTTCCAGTCCAGATCGTGCACGCACAACCCTTTGGCCATGTTTCCCTCTAGTAAGATTTAGCGATTTGCCGCTTTTCCCGCCATGGACATCATCTATTTCTCTTCTAACAACGCACGTCTTCTTCGGCTAGTGCAGGATTGTTAACGTCGATACAAATTTCTTATCCTCCGATGGGACCCAGCAACTTGGTATCACATCAACCACGCCGCGTATCGCCAACCCCGAACAGGGAACCTCAGCCGCAACGCATCAAAGCTCGCTTACCCATCATTCCGTTCCTTCATACACCCATGAATGCGATCTGGTGTATTTTGTTGGCGAGATAGCCGCCCAGATGCTGCCCAGCTGTCGATGCACGGGTGGGGCGTAGGCAGGATTTGCGGCGTGGACAACTCTCTGACCCGCTTCATGGACGTTTCCAAATTCATACTCTCCTTACAGAGCATGCGTGGCTGTAGAAGCAGGTCGTGGAAGGTGGGCGTGGGGCGAGGTATGCGACCGGGATGTTTTCAGCGCCACGTGTGATTGTATGCAGCCCTGTCTAGATGCAGAAATCACATGATACAGGGTAGAAGATATGGTCACGAGAGGACTCGGGTGTCAGTCCGGTGCAATGAACTGAGTCCCGGGGTAGGCGAGACTGCGGCGTAAGGGTTGATGTGGCGGAGTTGTTCGAGAGGGCGATGGTAGGTATGGAAGGGTTAAGAAGGATCAGGTGGCCTTTGGACTTCAGATTGAGGTCTTTTATGTTGCTCAGTTCCAGCTGTACCAGAAGACTTTCCCGAGGCTGACAGTCGTGGATGCAGTTCCTTCCCTCAGCGAGGACATGAAGTCTGACAATGCGCGTTGAGAACTTGCACACCTCTAATCAACAACTGACAGCTTTTAAATCTATCCGTAGTATGAACCAAAATAAAGAAATACGCATGGCACCAAATATGGACCTCAGGATTGAAGCACATTGACCTTTGTCACATCACCAGCATTTGGATATCTTCACATGATGCTTGTGTAAATAGACCAGCTACTCATCCAGCATATAGTATCATGTTTCCCTCTACACGCAAAATTTATCACTTTTACAATATACCTACTTCCGCAAATGCAAGCACCCTTCCAGGCAGTCCCATTTCCCGCACCGTCACCAGCTCTACTACCACCTCAACAGCATTTCCAGCAGTTGCAACCACAGTATCTTCTTCTCCCGCAACCTATACTGCAACTGCAAACTCTCTTACACCCTCAGCCCCTCATACAGCCTGAAGCTGCGATAGGTCAGAAAACGCTGTACGTCATCACCTACTCTTCCGAAGTCCTCAAACGCTACCCGAACGCCGAGACACAGCTTCTACAACACATACCCAACGGTGTACCAGCGCTCCTCACGATATACTGTCACAAGTGGCGCGCTCCACCACGCGCGATGTGTGAGATGTTCTCTGGGGTGAGTACGCAGGTGCAACAGTTTTTACTGGGAAGTCGAACGGCGGTTGGGGAGATGTAAGTACCGCCTACATGTTTTCATAATAGTTTGGAGAAGAGAAGTAGGAGATGATGGGACTGATGTAAGATTTGACAGTAACCAAGCCATCATCTCTATAGCCAACCACTTCAACGCTGGACATCAGGTTGCATCTATACAGACTACATGTCATGCGGGTACGCATCGGAGTGTTGCTGCAGCGGAGATTGTGGCAAAGGGGATGAGACGGCGGGGTATGAATGTTGTGGTTAAGCATTTGCATCGGAGGAGAGGAGCTGGTGATCCTTGGTAGTTTGATTTGAGTGGGAAACCGGTAGGTGGCTCTACAAGTGAGAAGCCAGGCTATACGAAGATAAAAGAAAGAAAGAAAGAAAGTGGGTTGTCTCGTAAGAGCCAATCTGGCGGCTTTTAAAGTGTTTCTCTATTCAGCTCCTCGACGCTTATTTCAGTCGCACGACCTCATCATACTGTGCTGATTTTGTTTTTGGCGACGGGATACTCAAACCATAGATTTTCCGTATGTAGGTTCTCGAAGTAAGTAGGAGCCGATGCCGTGAAGAAAGCATCGTGGATTTTTGAGGTTTATATGCAGTCGAAAGAGTGATCGTAGTGCAGTGATCTCAGCGTTTTAGTCGCTTTTTCGGTCTCGCAAAATCCACACACTCTCAACCACTTAGATTTTTAAATCGTCCTCTTTGATCCCATGCATGTCTTCTTTTCCATAAATTTTTGCGTGGCACCACGGCCAACGCCAAACTCTACTGTGACTGACTAATTAGTCCCTTGTTCTAAGCTTTCTTTTGAAAAGAAACAGCACAAACGTGCATGCTTGCCACTTGGATTACGAAAAAAAAACAAGACCATGTCGGGATCGCGCGTTACTTTTGGAAGACTCACAACGAGAGCTTGATATAGAAGAGTGAGGGTAACCGTAGAGGTATTTATATGCGATGACAACAGGCGGAGCAACTAGTAACATTAGAGGCAGCTATGGTATCCATTGTAAATGCGTAAGATGACGCGGATATCTTCCACACAGGATCCTTTACTCCTTTTTTAGATTCAGCACTGAGATGTTGCGAATGAAGACTTGTTTTTTGGGATCCGATTTGAAGACTGTGAGACTGTATGTTGAGCTTTCTCGCACATTTTGGAAAGAACAAGCATGACTTTAGGATAGCTTCTTACTCCACTCCTACCTCTTCGTTCGATTTTGTGATGACATTCTTTTGTGAACGTGCGGCAGACTCGAAGCTCACCGTGCATGAGGCAATGATAGAGGCTTTTGATGTGGCCAATTCGTCCACTCCCGTTCTTCTGACTTCGCAGTACGCATGTTTCTGATCGCAAAAGCACAGCACACTATGATTGAGCCTCTCAGTATTCTGAAGCTCGGTCAGGCCCTCATCACTAAGTCGAGTAGGCGTTCTTTTCGGGGTTTTCGCGTGGAAAGAAGGACAGGCAGCAACACATAATCGAACAATCATGTTGTTTTCGAAAAAGGACCAGGCACAGGAATGCACATACCTGTATACCTTTTTGATTTTGATAAGGAGACAAGCGTATTATGATGTAGGAAGGGAGTTGAGAAGGTATTATGGGAGTTTATATACACATTCTCACTCCAGCGTCATTGCGCGCTGAGTCGCCTCTGTGAGCCACCATAGCTCACAGATTCCTGTCATTAGCCACGCACGCACAAGACGAATATACGATATCTTTGCACAGGTAAAAAGCGATAATCATTCACAAACCCCTTACCGCCTCGACTTCCTACCAAGTCTCCCAACCATCAGCCCGCAATCATACTCCAATTCATACACACCCGAACCACACCGCTTGCTCCCCTAAAGAACGCTTCAGTATCAAGCAGAGTGCCACCGCATCAACCAACCATCCAAAGGCCGTGAAAGAAAGAGACCGTCCATTCGTTCGTCCGTCCGTCCAAGGCCATGTCCGACCCAGCATGATAACAATAAACCTTACAGCTACAATCCAGCCCACGCGTAGCAAAAAAACAACAAGACAGCCAGCAAAACAGAGAAAACCAAACCGCATAGCGCATTCACGGAGACCAAAGCAGCTCTCCTAGGGGCCAGTTCCCCTCCAAAACGCCGTTAAAACTGAAGAGTTGTCCACTCAGGATTCCGAGGTGTTGCGATAACATGCATGTTGGTATCGAGGTAATGTGAAATGAGGTAGGTAAGTATAGAGGTGCAGCCTCCAGGGCGGTCGTGCATGTGCGCGTGTGTTTTATAATATAGATGCCCATTTCCCTTCGCTGAGGAGAGAGAGAAGCTGATGGATTAGGATAAGATAGGGTTGTAGTGTAGAAAAGGTTATCGGAAGCGGGAGTTCGTGGTCATCGTTCGTTGCCGCTTCCGATGGGCCACAAGTGATCGTGTTCGATTGTGAGGTTGCGCAATTGCAGTGAAGTTTGGTCGTTTCGTGTTAGGCTGCCACTGCTCATGATGGCGCCATGCCCTCCATAGCTCCACGTTCAAACTCCTCAAGTCGCTTTAGCTTCGCGGTTAGCTCTGAGAAAATGTCGCCCATGTGGCAAGCTTGCTCAAGTAGAGGCGCACTGCCGAACGGCTTTACTAGATGACGCAGGGCGAGGGTGCTGGCACAAGTCTATCATCCTCATTAGCATTCGCTTTCTTAGTACTAAAAGTATAAGGGAACATACCTCGATTCTGGAGATCTGATGCTCGACGAAATTGATCAAGAATCGGTCCGTTATCTCGCCACCCCTACTCTTCATCCTTTCCAACAGCGCCGTCTCGGGCGGCTTCAACTCTGAGCATCCTGGGTTCTCGAGCGAACTGCACAGCATCTCCAAACGTAGACTAATATTCCAGAGATCCCATACGTCTTCTGTATCGATGGTGAGCTGACTACCCGCCATCTTCTGGCCCGCCGTAGCCTCTTTCTGTTGTTCTGCAGGTTTCTGTTCCGTCTGTCGTTGGATAGCAAGACGACTGGCCAGCGAGTGGGGGTACATGAGGTATATGTATTCAGGGTTCTCAAGTCCTTTGAGACGGCGTTCACCCAGATCTTTGACCTCGAAACCTTGGGAGCTAAGCGATCGTAGTTCACCACGGATCATCTGACTGTTCATGTCGTCGCCATATGCTTCTTCAGATCCGGCTGAGTTCTTACGATCGCCTTCAATGTGCGTCTCGAGCAGACGTTGAATCTCAGCGATGAAGTCGGACGAGACGGTGATTTGACCTCCATCAGCAACGGAAGAGATACGAGAAGCGCGATTGACCATGGGTCCAAAGTAGTCCATGCGCTTCGTGACTGGGTCGACTTCACACACCGGCGTGCCCCAGTGGATACCCATACGGACTGAGAGACCTCGGAAGATGACATTACCATCAGGGTCAACGACTTCCTGCCCATTGACGCTGTTGAGAATCTCTTGCGGCCACTGTACTTCGAGTAGCTGACTCTGAATCGTAAAACACCACAACAGAGCTGACGTTACAGTGCGGAAAGCGACCATAAAGGCGTCGCCTTCCGTCTTGACCTCGTAACCACCAATGATGCGCAGCTGTCGGCGCATGAGTTCGTTGTGCATCTTTATTGCAGAGCGCATGGCAATCGGGTACGTTTCCCAGAGTATGGTCGAGTTCTTTATATCCGTGAATACCAGACTGACTTCTCCCGTTGGCGCGTCTACCTCGTTGTCGAGTCGAGCAAGCTTAGAATCACCAACCAAATTGCCCTTCTTTCCACGTCTGCGCGTGGCAGCGAAATCAGGATCTGCACCAGGAGCGGGTATGAGAGACATGCTCTGAGTGCGGTATCGAGCACGCTGCTTGCTCTTGAGATCGCTGACACCAAGCAACATCACCATGATCTTGTTAGTCGCGCCGAAAGCGATGGCCAAGTCGCGGAGTTTCTGAGCGGCAACCATCAAGTCGTCGCGCTCCGATCGTGCGACATCGACAGCGAAGTCTGGAGTGAGATATTCCCACAGTTCTCGCGAAGCTATCAAGATCATTTCATCTCTGTCGCCAAGGGTAAGGTTGAGGATGTGTGGGGAAGCGATAACCGATGGCGACATTTGAACGTATCCAAATGCTCTTGACACCTCGAGAACGTCGTTTAGTTTACCCTGTCGCGAGACAAACCCGCCGGCTTCTCGTATCCTGGACCTCTCACCGGGTTCAGCGGGGTCATGTTTTCTGGTAAGAATCTTGTGTCCTCCTTCTGAACGGATCAGAAGGGCTTGTGCATCACCAACGTTGGAAATGTAAAGCTCCATCTCTTTGAGGAACAGTACAGTTGCCACACTTCCAGATGTCAGGTCATCATCGCTGAGGTCAGGCACAGAACTGCGTGTTTGTGTCGATGGTGCAGTGAGACCGTTCTTGTCCAGACCTTGACTTGCAGCGGTAGCTAATTCCTTATTAAGACCAAGGTAAGTTCGTCGCAAAGCGTCCGATGGCGTTTCGTTCGGTCGTAAACGCTCGAGCTCGTCGGCGAACCGATTCTTGAAGTGATCGTACAGGTATTTGGCGATTTTAGCTCCGCCGCCCGCAAGTGGTTGTGCATCAAACAGACCCAGCAACTGCTCGTCGTCATGGCTACGGAAGCGGGGTACAACCATGTCCATAGTCGAGATGTGTTCGTTGCGACCCAGAGAATCGGCCATACCGTACGCCATTGTCCCGACAGCAGAGCCAGCAGTGCGCACTCGCCGGTCTTCTGACTGTTCAGGTACGGATGGAACCATCATTGTGACATCCATAAGCCCAAGCACTCGAAGATTGATCAATGAGCTGAAGTCAGTAAGGTCGCGCCCTTCTCGCATGCTCATACCACTACCACTATACGAGCCGCTCGGTTTGATCTCTAAACGCTTATTGCCGGACAAATTCAGGTAGCGGAGTTTGTGGTTCCAGTTCCAATTCCAGTCATATGGCCAATTCGATACGTTGTATTTCAGCGAATTGCTAGCCACATCGAGAACAGCCAACTGCGCAACCTTGCCAAGTTCGGCCGGCAGGACCTGGAACTTGTTGTTGTTGATGTGGAGGACCTTGAGCGAACCAACTTCCTCCAGATCCTCTGAAGGTAGAGATGTCAAGTCGTTGCCCGACAAGTACAGCTCAGTGAGGTGTTGCCATCTTCGGATCGTGCGAGGTGGTACGTCGTAGATAAGATTGTACGCCAGATTCACGATTCGCAGCTCGGGAAGTAGACATAGTTCGTCAAACACGTCGTCGTTTAGCCGGTTGTCAGCCAAAAACACGTGTCGAAGGGAGCCCGCAAAAGTAGTCACCAAGCGGCTACTAAGGCTGGAGTCTTTGCGGGACATGGGTGTCACAGTTCCTTCGGTAGCCGCACGAGACGCGACCGATGTTTTGCGTGCCGTGCTCGAAGTGTTGTATGATGCCTGCGACCCTTTCCGTTGTGAAGAAGCAGACGATGCACCAACACTAAGACCCCCTGAAGCCTGACTCGGACGGCGATTCTGGAAGTCTTCCAGTTTCCCCAGCTCTTCGTAACTGGGACTCGAGGCCAAACCTGGTGTGGCAAGTGTAGACGCTCCATCTACTTGGCTCTGTTCGCCGTTTGTTACCTGTGGAGGTGATGCGCCGGGCTTGGGAAATGCGTCGAGGACGTTAGAGGAAACGTTTAGTGTCTCTAGTCGTCGAGCATACCAGAGCTCCGAGGGAAGTACGCTCAGATTGTTCTCACGCACATCCAGATACCGAAGCTCCACCAACCGACCGATCTCGGCAGGCAATACGTCCAGAGAGTTTCGTGCCACACTAAGATGTTCCAACCTGTAAAGCTTTCCAATGTTGTTCGATATTGACGTGAAATGATTCTTGTCGAGGATGAGCTTTGTGAGACCGGTCAGTTTGCCGAACAGATCTTCGGGCAGTTGCGCCAGTTTGGCTGATGCAAGATTGAGGACCGATAGTGACGGTGTTGCCTGATTGAGACCAAAACGTGTAACTGGGTTGTGGTTCATATGCAGGACGCGAATCTTTGGGAAGTAGCCTTCAAAAGCGGAAATGGAGTTGTGCCCGATCATCAAGTATTCCAGTCGCGGTAATTGGGACATGACATCCATACTATCAAGCGCGTTGAACCGCACATCGATTTCTCGAAGGTTGACCAAATTGCTCAGTGTTGGAGGGAAGCTACCAGTCAGTTTGTTGTTCGTCGCCCAGAGCCTTTCTAGACATGTCAATTGGCCGATCTTGGGTAAGCTCGATATCGAGTTGAAGCTGATGTCAAGATCCACCAGTGTCCGGACCTCGCACAGAAAGTCGGGGAACTCGTTCAAAGAATTCGAGCTTAGATTCAGACTGCGAAGCGCACGGTATTCCCCAAAGTACCTTGGTAGCCGGGTCAGCCCGTTATTGGAAAGTCGAAGACCTTGGAGACTTTGCAGCTTGTACAGGTCGGCATGGTCAAGAGATTGGAGACGGTTGTTCGAGATGTCCAGCATGGTCAAGCGGCTGGCAAGACTCAGACTGGGGGGTAGTCGTCGAGCGTCGTTGCTTGTGTATTTGATCTCCCTCAAGTTGGTGCATGCAAGGATAAAGTCTCTGGGAACATCAAGTGACAGATTGCGCGACAGATTGAGGGATATTATCTCAGTCGCTTTCTGGTAGAGTGTGATGGGTATGGTGATTAGGTTCCGACCTTGGAGATCGATGTGACTGAACTTCTGCATCTTGCTGAACCCGGGGTCCCGTTCCAGACTGGAGTATCCGCTCATCTTAGCAGGGAGGAAGGTAAATCTGCAGAGGTAGCTGTTGTCCTCACGCCCAACGTCTTCGAGACGATCCTGATCAGTGTATCCGGCAAGTTCTAACAATCGCTTTTGGATCAAAAGCGGGCGCTCATTACTTTCCAGTTGCCGCGAAGTATCATGTTTCCGCATCACAATGTGGTAGTTGTCCAGTTCGTCCTGCAGCACGGTCTTCTTTCCTAGAATTTGTATAATCTCTTTTACGGTCGTGTTCAAGGTGGCCGATAGTGTCGCAAATGTCGAATCAACTCTGAAGATGCGCAGACAGTATGTCTTGCTGTCACTCTCTTCCTTGGAAGGTGTTGTAGTCTCATCGGCGTCTCTCAGCTTGTCCATCTCGTCTTTCATACGCTTCACTGCCCAAGAGTCTGGCGCGTCCCAGGCTGCGGTACCGTCATCATCAGGTCCTGGTACAGAGATATCTTCGCCAAGGTTTGGTGGCTGCTTTGGCACTTCTCCTACAGGCGGTGTCATGGGCGGTTGTTGTGATGAAGGATTTACGATGCCTTCCATGTCGTCAAGATTCCTGTCTAGGAAAAAGACAGCATCGTTACCCGCTGTGCTAGCGATGGTATCGTTGGGGTCTCGTCCGGTGTTCTCACTCGCGGGTGCGCGCTTGTCTTTCCGGAAGGTTGGCAGACGGTGGTGAGGAGCTCTCATCCTTTGTTCCTTGCCTTGGGCCTCGACACCGTTGTTGATCGGCCGCTTCGCCATGTTGATCTGCGGAGACGCCTCTGGCCTTGGGAGTCGTGCCGTGTTGATGGAGGGATTCAGAGAGGTGGCCGAGGCCGTTCCAGCGGCAGCCAAGTTTTTGAGATTGTCTTGTGGCAGTGTGCGATCTGGCTTGTCCTTATCTTTGCCTCGTAATCGTGCGAAAAAGCCGTGTGACGTCTTGTTGGTGCTGGGTGATCGCTGCGCTATCCTCTCATCTCTTGTCATATCCGAGTATGAGCTTGGCGTTGGGCTTGAGGGCCGTCCCAGAAGGCTAGTCTTGGAGGCAAAGGCGGAGCTGAGGGCTGAAGGCTGGTTCGGGCGAATGCTGTATGTGGAATCTTCGCGGCTGGTGGTGGGACGCAATGGGTAAGGCTGGCTTATGTCTGCGCGTCCCTCCGGCGCCTTGTTCTCCTCCTTGCTGCCCTTGTGCCGGTGGCCAGTGCCAGGCAGCCTTACGTGCAGCTTATGGTGCGATCGACCCGACTTGGCTGAATGTTGCTCGGATGAGCGACGTCCTCCATTCTCACCCGGGGTAGGTACGTCCTATGAGGGGTTAGTGATACAGGTCCGAGGTCGGGGGGGTGAGGTGATAGGGAAGGAACATGAAGAGTATAAAGACAAGGTGCCTTCCTCCGTTGAGGTCCGGTGACCAATTAAAGACTCACCTTTGAGTCTTGGAATTCCCATGGCGTGACTTCCGAGGACGCCTGGGGTGTACGTGGTCGTGAACTGGTAGGCGAGGTCGGGCGCGACTGTTGTCTACTGCCTATGGTATTGCTGAGGGAGTTGCCACGGTTCCGCTGCTGCGTGTTCAAGCTCGTATCCGAGTTCTGACGGTCATCGGCGGGGAAGTCTTCTCCGAATACGTTTTGCAGGCGTTTGTGGAAGCCTCGACCCATGCTCGATTTGGAGCCAGTGCTGCTAACAGTGGTGGCGCTGGCTACAGAGGGCCGTCTGTCGTCTTTGATGGGAAAGCCCATGCTGTCCTCCCTGGTACCAGTTCCCGGGCGAAATCCAGGCGACGAAACGTCCTCATTCGAATCGTTGAAGAAGCTGCTCCAGACGCTGTTGGCCATGGTGCTCCCGTTGGGCGCGGTAGACCACGGCGCAACTTGGGAATTGGTGCTCGAAGCGGTGGGGGGGTTTCGCGATATCGACGGCACTCGTCCTCCCGACGTCTCCAGGACAGCCAGCTGTTTTCGGTGATGCCCAAAAGCGCTCGGCGCAGGGTTGTCCCAATTGGCAGGCTTGCGCGGCTTGTGCGAGGGGTCTTTGGGCGGAGGAGCTGGGGGGACGGTGCCAGGCGATATCTCGGACTCCCTCTCGACACTACATGGGGGTGTTAGCAGTGCTTCTTCCTATTCACAGAGGCGATGCACGTCTGGCAGTGAGACACGGCGAGACAAGGCCAGGCCAGGCCATTGTGGTCGCCATATGTCTCCCGCGTCATTTGGGGACCAGGCCAGGGCTACAGTCGAGGGCGCACAGCGCGCGCAACCTCCCCACCACGGCTTCCCGCTCTTGCAGCACAAGATGGAACAACGTACCGCGAATTGAGATTCTTGTCCGTCTTGACGGTGACGGGGGTGCCCCTCAGCGAACCCGCGCGTCCGTAGGGCCGTATTGTGTCGCCGGAGCGCGAACTCCACGAGCTCTCTACCGATCCATGGCGGCCGATGGTCTCGTTCCGCGTCATGATCACGGGCGGTGGGGGCGTGCGGTGGGTGAGTCGCGACTATGGCCCGCGCGGCTGCAGCGTTGATAATGGCGGCGACGGCGGCGGCGGCGGGCAGGGTTGGTGGAGACTGCTTGCGCAGAAAGGGCTGGGACGGCTACTTCATCGAGGCGGGACAGCAGCTGGAGGTGTGCAGCATGGGCGGCGGTCGGCAGAAGAGCAGCAGTAAAGGCGAGGCGAGGCGAAGCGAGGCGGGCGATAGGTAGCTATCTAGCGGCAGCAGCGTGGGGGAGACGGGGACGGGGACGGGGATGGCGGGCAGCAGGCAGTAGGAAGCGTCACAGGCGGGCGATGCGTCGTGGTTGTGAGGAATGGCTGACTACTCTCGACGACGACTCTGTTCCTCTCGGATGGTGCATGGGCATGGGGGCTCCACTTTGCTATGGAGAGCGGCATGCTCACCTGTGCATTGAGCAACAATGCGCCACCTGCGCCCACACCCTACCGCTAACCGTACCAGCTACCTACACACTACGGGGTCCTACCGAGCAGCCGTCTTCCTAGCAGTCCCATCCCCGGCCTAGAACACGAACCTGAACCCGGAACCGACTGCCACACGCATCTTTGGCCGCATGCAGTAATCTCGACGACGTTGCTGTACTTTTGATGGTTGCATTTCACTTGTTCTGTTTGCAGCATATGCTCATTTCAGTGCCTCTGACTTGTGCCTAGCCGTCGCACCTCTGTTCCCCCGCTTTTCAAAGCCACAGTCGCCGGAACATCATCATCATCATTATCATCATCATCGGCCTCCTCCCTTCGTCCATCTTACTGTACAACACGTAACCGCATTCGGCATCCATGTCTCCTCGAGGGCAGAACTAATATTATCGATAGCTCGCCCCAAAAGCGAATCCGATTCTGTGGCGTGACAAGTTACCATTTCTTATGCTTTCGCCCAAAACACTCTGTTTCATTATTCTCCGACGTCTAGGGTAGCTGTTGGCTAAGGGGGCTAAGTGGTTGGCTATTTGCCGTGTTGTCCGAGGAACCTTTTTTGCGCTACAATGCACCTACATGGCATGCACTATTATGTATCTATACTTTGTTGTGCTCGACGCTGACGTCATGGAGAATATTGCTTCAATGGAGGTCAATAGCGCTCACATCGAACCTCCGTGTTCCTACATTGCGAACTGCGTATCGTGACTGACTATGACAATGCCAGCCTGGGCATGGTCACATTACGTCCTTATAATCGATTCCGAACTGCTTCTTTCGGCAACCGGGTCGGATCATTTCACAACAGACCACTCATCGCAACTTCATCTAGTACGCGTGCATAAGAAGCAATCATTAAAGCTGATACGTCGCCGTGTCTATCTCACGTCCTTCTTCCTGCAGTGACGCAGTATATCTGCACTTCCGCACGTCGATGGAGAACTGCATCCAGTACCAGAGGCATGCTTCGTAAAGCTGCCATGGCGTGGCACCAAAGCAGCATTTACGTGCCACACCTCATACTGAAACAACATAATCTTACAAAATACCTGTCCGAATCGATACACTGGCGCTAGTTGGGGACTGGCCACACTGACGTCAAGCCTACTGAGGTGCTCCTCCGCCCTGGAGAGCTCGCAGTATATCTTGAAGAGATTGTGCTCCACCTTGAGCATTGCCCTGTTGCGGAGGGTTCGCAGGAGCTGCCGGTTGCGCATATTGCTGGTAAGGGTAAGAATACTGCGCCTGCGGTTGTGGTGGAGGCGGTGCAGGAGCCTGCGCTGCCATCTGCGGTTGTTGTGCTTGCTGCTGTCCACTCATGGCTCCTACGACTTGGAACCACTGTGCCCACGCTGCCAAGTTGGCCGCCTGATTCTGCTGTTGAGGTGGCTGGGCTGGAGCCGGTGCCTGTGGTTGAGGAGTGTACGACGGCTGATAGTTGTACGCCGCTGGTGGCTGAGGTGCGGGAGCGGCAGCATACGGGACTGCTGGCTGTGATGGCCCTGAGAAGGGTACTGGCCAACCTGCATTACTGTTGTTTGCATAAGCGTTAGCGTTTGACGGTCCAGAAGGTGTCGGAGAGGCATGTTGCTGTTGCTGTTTCTGAGGCTGTTGAGACTGTTGCGACTGCTGCTGCTGCTGCTGTTGTTGTTGTTGACGTTCCCGTTCTCTCTTTTCACGTTGGCGCTGTTTGCGGTTCTTGTTCTTGCCACCGCCGCCACCTGATGGGGACTGCTGGGATTGTGCTTGCTGAGACTGACTGCGGTCCTGCTGAGAGTAAGACTGGCTGCGGTCTTGCTGCTGGCGGACAGGTGATGCAGAGTATTGGTTCCTCTGCTGGTTGTTCTGTTGGCGATCGTTGAACTGGTCCTGTTGCCTGCCACGGTCAGATTGGTTCTTGCCGCCACGTCCGCTCTTGTCACCACCGCCTCTGTCGTTTCTGTTGTTGTTGCTATTGCCGCCTCCTCGGTCGCCTCGTTGTCCTCCGCCACCACGACCTCCTCCGAATTCACCTCGTCCGCCGCCGTAGCCTCCTCTGTCGCCGCGACCACCACCCAAGTCGCCGCGACCGCCACCTCCTCCTCGTCCACGGAAGCCGCGACCTCGATCACCCCAGGGACCTCTGCCGCGCCCCATGCCTCTTCGAACGTGGCTACGGTCTTCTAGTGGCGCACCTTGACCAACGATTTGCTCGAAGTGGTCCGGTCTGGCAAGCGGCTTGTACATGCCCAGGTCTTCGTCTTCATCATCGCTGTATTTCAGGCCGCCGCCCTGGTATTCCATAGGCCGGTAGATGGGAGGTGCGGGTGCGTCTACGTGTAGTCTAGGCCCGGTAGGGATGTTGACAGCCACCTGTTCGTCGTTGCCATCCGCCCTAGCGCGCTTCTTAGCCTTCTGTTCGCGCTTGTATTCAGCCTCCTTCTCGTCATCTGAGAATTCAACATCGTTTGTCTCTTCGTCGTGGAGGTTCGATGCATCGGTATGCTTCTGTCGACGAATAGGTTCTGTTTCGGTAAAGGTCGAGTGCTCGTCCACATAGTAGATGGGTGTATCTTTCTGAATACCTAGAGTCTCAAGTTCAGCAGCGTCGTTAAAGCCAAAAGAGTAGCGAGGCTCTTCCACGCGACCAATCTGCTCGGAGACCTTGCCGACAACAGTACGATTTCCTAGACATAGCGCAGAGCCAGATTCGAGCACTTGCTCGTCGCCAGACATGTTGGCTTTGATAACAACAAGGTTTCCGACGATGGACTCCACCTTGCCTAGTTCTGTGATCTTGGTGTTTTCGGTGACGGTGATGTCGGGCATCTCGTATTTCTCGTCCTGCTCGTTGAGCGTCTTGACTTTGACTGGACCTGAAGCGCCTGGCTCGTCGGCAGCTTCAGCCATCAGGAGGCGGACCTGCTCTTCAGGGTCCAGAAGCTCGCCCTCGTCTGATCCCTCATCCGAGCTGGAGTCAGAGCTAGAGTCGGATGATGAGTCTGAATCAGATGCATCTGAATCTAGCTGCCATTCGGCGTTCTGGTCAGCCCTGTTGGCTTCGGCCGCGCGCAGGAACTCGGCCTTGCTATCAAAAGCTACGCCATCGGGTGCAGGAGCATCTTTGGTGGTGTCTTCGATCTCGTTCTGGAGATCTATGGCTGCTGTGAGGGCCGCGTCAAGCTCACCGTCGGTGTCAGCGGCTGGTGTATCGGCAGCAGCAACAGCACCTTGGACAGAGGAGAGATGCGGCTCAGAGTGCTGTGGAGCCTCATCCTGCGCCTCACCCTGATTGGCTACGGGCGGGGCGGCTGGGATGCCGGCCTGCGGGTTCGCATCATGGTAAAAGGCCTCGTCATCTGAGAGCTCGCCGTCTTCAGGAGCATCGTCTTGGACGACTGCGCCGTTTGGTGGTTGCGACTGCGCGACCGGGGTCTCGCTCACAGAGCCGAGTCCAGGAAGGTGAAAGGCTGGCGCGGGTGCCGCCGTAGCAAACAACGACGTCGTCCCGTCCACCGCAGTAGGCAGCGCAGAGGCTTTGACGGGCGTAGTGTCGTAAAAGTCGTCGTCCATGTCATCGACAGGCGAGCCAGGCGCGTCGAGCGCAGATGCAGATGTAGATGTGCCATAAAAGGGAGCGTCCGCCTCCAACCGCGCCCTCTTGGCCGGTGGTTCCAGAGAGTCGGACATTTTCGTGTCTCTCTCTGCAGTCTTCTCTGAATCACGCGTGATCGCTGCGATATACCAACTGCGTTGTTTGCACCAGTTTGCTTAAGTGCGTGCGATGATAGTTCTGGTTGAGAAGATCACGTCGAGGGAGAACGTCGCCTTTTTGGATGCGCGCTAATGCGCTTGGCAGGCAGGCGCGAGCTCAGCCCTACGGAGCGCAAGTGCGTAATGGGCCATCGCGTCTCTGCCAGTGAAAGGGCTTCCAGTGTACTTTCAATGGAGATTGGTCAGCACATTGTATTCACCTTTTGCATGTCTCATCGCTGAAATGCCTACTGCGCGCCCGAAGATGGCGCCTCAAGCGCCTGAGTCAGTCCAGTTCCGTACCTCTTACAGCCAGCTAAGCTAACGTGTGCATTATGTATATAGTACACCAGAGAGGCCACCACCTCAGCTTAGTACCTTCGGAATCTTCTGCGTATTCTCCCTAGCCAGTCTCGTCGCTGCCGCCTTCTCTCCGATCCAAGATTGCGATGAAGTCTTCAACTACTGGGAACCAAGCCACTACCTCAACCATGGCTACGGTCTCCAAACCTGGGAGTACTCTCCTGACTACGCCATTCGAAGTTGGGCCTATACTTCCATACACTCGCTCGTAATAGGGCTCGCGATGCTGCCCATGCAGGCACTAGGTTTGGAAAGATCAAAGGTCTTCGAGTTCTATTTCCTGCGCGCCGTTCTGGCCGTAGTCTGTGCAGCGTGCCAAACTCGCATGTATACCGCTATTCGAAGGACATTTGAGGTGCGAGTCGCATCTTTCTTTGGCATGATCATGGTCATAAGTCCGGGCATGTATCATGCTGCCCCTGCATATCTCCCGTCGAGTTTTGCCATGAATTGTGCTATGCTTGGATTCGCGTCTTTTATGGACTGGTCTGGACGTACGATGAGAACTGCTCAAGGCATTACATGGTTTGCCGTGGGCAGTGCCCTGGGTTGGCCCTTCGCAGGCGCCCTCGCTCTGCCATTTATCGCGGAAGACATTATTGCCGGATTGTTCACTGGCACAATTCTAGAAAGTCTGCGACGAGTACTACTCGATGGCGCAAGTAGGGCTTTCGCTGTTGTACTCTTGCAGGCCGCCATCGACTCGCTGTTCTACAGGAAGCTCGTGTGCGTGCCGCTTAACATCGTACTTTACAACGTCTTCAGTGGCGGTAGTAGAGGCCCTGACATTTATGGCGTAGAGCCATGGCACTTCTACGTTCGCAACCTGGCCCTGAACTTTAACGTCTGGTTCTTTCTCGCGTTAGCTGCTCTGCCGCTGTTGCTAATCCAGTATCTTGTCTTTGACAGGGCTGTTTATCGGAATACGCTCACAAGGTCTATCACTTTCGTCAGCCCATTCTACTTATGGTTGGCAATATTCACAGTCCAGCCTCACAAAGAAGAGCGGTTCATGTACCCAGCGTATCCAGCCCTAGCCTGGAACGCAGCCCTCTCCCTACACATCTTATTAGCCAACTTTGGCTCCATGGACCCACGACATTTAGTAAGCAAGATACCTCCAATGGTGAAGCTCGCCATTGTTTGTGTTCCTGTGCTCTTGTCTTTAAATCTTGGTATTCTCAGAATTAATGGTACGTTAGACCACCTCTGATACTACCTACCGACATGCATCAAAATACTTCAAACATCCTGAGATGCAGTGTTAACCATATTTTAGGCCACATGTCTGCATACTCAGCGCCACTGAAAGTTTACAAGCCATTGTTCGACCCGACAGTTGCCCGCCCAGGAGACACCGTGTGTCTAGGCAAGGAGTGGTATCGCTTCCCGTCTTCGTTCAACTTACCTCAGGGAGTTCGTGCCAAATTCATCAAGAGCGAGTTCTCTGGTCTTCTGCCAGGCGAGTTCAGCGAGGCGGACGCCAGTCTCGAATTATTCCCTGGCACGTGGCTGGTGCCATCTGGCATGAACGACGAGAATTTGGAAGATCCAAGCAAATATGTAGGTAAAGTCTGGATATACAAGCTTCAGCTTCACTAACCCTTACAAAATAGACCGATGTTGAGCAGTGCGATTTTATCGTCGATTCCCGCTCTAATGGGGCTCCACCAACAGCTCTTGAGCCCGATTACATCTCCGATACAAAGAACTGGGAGGCCTTGAAGTGTCTTCCATTTCTAGACGCGAGCAAGACACACACTATTAGTCGTATGCTCTGGGTTCCAGATCTACCTGTCATTCCGGCTAAGTTCCGTCGCCAATGGGGCGATTACTGTTTGTTGCGACGCACGAGTCGAAAGGGCGCATAGCATGAACGTGGGACTTCAGACCATCTGGGACAATTTGCAGTCAATTGGATCTTCCGGATGCAGGAGAACAAGATGCGAGAGGACTATACTTCCTGAGTGTCGACGCGTACTGCTTTGTGGGGTCTGCTCGAGGCATCGACACCAGGCTCTCATCTCGAACGTCGACACGTTTTAAAACAGCCAGGCGTATTCAACAGTTACTGCACTTCCTAGTCACTTAGTGTACAGGGTTTGAGGAATTCTACCCCTGTTATCGAGGGTTACTACCAGGCAGGGTCGCTGCGCGTCGGTAGACACCAAGTCTAACCGAGTGGGGTATTGCTTTCCCCGCCCAGACTGGCAGATAACCACTACTGATGACACCTGCGCGACGACCCCACACTGTCAAGGATTGTTATCGCAGGAAGTCATTGGTCTGTACATATGTTACAATGATAAAAGGAAGTTGATTTACACGTTGCGCATGATGTACGCAGTCACTGGGTGCTACTGTATGCTGCTTTGGTCTCTTATCGATTTGCCTGCCCATGCATCTACTTATATAGCTAAAGTCCCGTCTTCTATTTTTGTTCGAGCGTATCTCGATAGTGTCGTTAAGTGATTTCTGACATGTCCACCCTCGTCACTCAACTCAAAGAGCACGCTAGACGTCTTGCACGTGATGTAAAACATCACTGCACCACCACTCAAACCCATATCAACGCTTTCCTTGCATCCACCAGCATCCAACCAAAAGCAGCGCTCTATGCAGTTCTCCTTTTCGCAACATTCGCATGGCTCACTATCGCTATAACCCGCCTAATCCACACACGTCGACAAAACAACTCGAGACCTAGTACACCTCACCTCGAGAAACGCTCCCCATTCAAAGCCCCAGACCGGCCTCCCGGAGTATGGTACCCCTCTCCATTCACCCGCCCAGCCGCATCCCCTTACCCAAACTGGTCCCTCACCACCACCAAACCCTTACCCTACCGCCCCTTCCGCCACGGCCCCAAATACAACATCACAATGGGCCTACGCAACATGTTGTGGGACGAATGGATAGAACTCGACAACGAATTCCTGTCTTACCACTCCCTCAAAGCGGCCAGGATAGCTGAGAGAGGGGACAAATGCGTTAAGACGGCTCCTGAAGCGATGGGTGCGGCGAGGGAGTTGCTGGAGGAATTAGTTGATTACTTGCCACAGCGGTATCCAACATTGTTCCAAAAGATGGAGATAGGGCAGGGCAAGGGTATGAGAAATTTAGCGACGGGCGAGGTCTTCGATGGGGCAATGTGTGAGCGGAATGGGGAAAAGGAGGATCCGATGGAGATGTGTGCTAGGATGATTCAGGATGATCTTGCCATCATGGTTGAAAAAGAGGATGGCCAGTACTACCTCCTAGCTGGTGCCATCCTGCTCGCAGGATTCTGGAGGTTGGAGGATAAGTTTGGGATGCCGCTCTCTACCATTCATACGAGTGGTGACGTTCCGGGGTGGGTACCCTTTTCCTTGCCATCCTTATTCATTGCATTGTCATTGCTGTTTCATTACTGCATCGTTAATCGAGCATGTGTGCTGACAAGACCATAGCTTCAAGGAAAAGCTGGAAAAACCTATGACCAACTTCTTCCGTAGGATACAACCCCAATCCCCCGTTCTCCGGAACAACTACTTCATCCAAGTCGACGATAAACTTGCGTGGAGCGAGAGTATAGGGAGTGAAGATGCGAAAGGAGAAGGGGGAATAGGATGGTTTACGGCAGAGAAGAATAAAGCGGTTGAACATCATTGGTTCAGGAGTGAGAGGCAGAGTTTATGGAGGTATGTTACTAATGCCTTATTATCCCACCAGTTCCTGTGTCCTCGAAGTACAGCTTCTGACGCTACTTGCTTAGACTGCCTAAATCCGGTGGCGTGGTATTTACGATTCGAACTTACTTCCACCCTGTCACGGATATTGCGCAGGAACCTTACGTGCCTAGCCGATTGGCCAGCGCAATTCGTTCTTGGGGTGAGGATGTAAGTCGCTACAAGGGTAAGGAGATGTATGGGGACGTGTTGTTGGAGTATCTAGATAGAAAGCATGCGGAGCAGGTGGGAGCGGGGTTGGATATTGAAGGGGAAGAAGAGGTGGCAAGGGGTTATCCTTTTTAGTGAGGAACGGTTTAGAGCTGGTTGTGCAGTTCGAAAGATTGTTCTCAGACACTTGTGTGAGCAGTTCTTGTAGTATGTGGATGGAAGAAACGTGAAGATATGTAAAGGGTATTTTTGCTCATCCACTCAAACTTGACCGATCGCATTGCATGGGCTATGCATCGCTGATCTAGTCATTAGTGTAGGCTCGTCCCTTTTGTGATGCTATTCGGGCCGGATGCGTGAGGCGATGTCGGCGTCTGCAGGTCGCGCCGAATGTAGAAGTTGTGCTGTGCATCAGGCAGTTCTTCGGTCGACGACGTACTCTACCACCTCTGTTCTTGTCGTTCAAGTACTCTGGGTGGTCTACTCGGGATGGGTCGGCACGAACTAGATGTACCGGCGCAGGTTTTCATGTGCGCAGAATTAGTGTATGGGCATTCGTGGGTTCTTACAGGTGTCAAGCAGAGGTGGCCAGATGCAGGACGATGGGTGGTACCATGGTTGATGTCGTGCAGTAGCTCGCGGTTTTGTGGGTATCCGGGGTGTTGCGATTGTGGAATTGCTGCCTGACGCGAAGAGCGATGATAATGTCGGTGATTATGCTGCTCGAGTCAGCTTGGACCGTGAAGTGCCAGAACCAATGGGTATTAAATTGCAGCAGCCGTTTGTATAAGAGTGGCCTGTTTCATAGCAGGGCTGTCATGACGATGCGGAAGGCCGGAAATGAGCCGACGTGCTGTTTGCAGGATGGTGAGGGATTGCGATGGAGGGAAACACTTGTTTAGCGAGATGATGAGGGTGGCCAATAGCTGCTTTGGATCGCCAGGGAGGAAAAGTACCGATGCAGTGGCAGATGGCGGCACTGGATGGGTGTTCGTCTGGAAGTGACTGTACCCTTGTACAAAATCCCAGAGGGATGACATGTTTGTTGATTATCGTATGCATTGTTGTTTTTGCAATTTTGTGCCACAGGGGACCAGATGGCTGTTGCGACTACGTGCGTACGACGGCGACACGAAGACTGCACCTTGACCCTCGGGATAGCTGAACCCTCACAGGCGAACCTTGAACCTCACGTGGACTGGAAGCTTATTGTCCGGCTCCCGACGTAATAGCGCAGTAGTGTTTGCTAGATCGCAAAGGTGCAGCGGATGAATGGCCACTGGAAGCGAGTGGCTGTGAGGCGAAGGCGGGCAGTTCGCATGACGGGGACAGGAAAAAGCAGTTCGCATCTGCGCAAGAAAGCGGGTTCCTGTGCGTGCCAGTGCATGTCAGCATGTGTAAACTTGTAATCCAACATCGATTTCCCTGTACCGTAGGCGGAGCACCAGAGTGAAGCGAGGTTCAGATTAGCCCGGTCTGGCCTGGGTCAATGCATGCTGGCGTTCAGCCCAAGCGACACGGGCGCTGACTGGTGAATTGCGACTGATGGCGCGCCGCTGGGCGATGTGACAGGGCTGCACATCAATCAACTCTAGTCGATTCCCTCTTGTCCTGTCTTGTAATTAAGACGCCTGCACAGTCGAGTCGTCGCTGGCCATGCTTCGTCCACGTACTCGCTGACGCCGGCAAACCTCGTCGAATTGCTGCGCGCTGAACTATGGGGGAGGATGGCCCTATCGGCAATGCAACAGAATGTCTTCCCTGCGCCGGGCTCCCCTGCCGAAGGGAAACGCGATATTTTGCCCGGGGCTGGTGTAGTTACGGCAAAACGGCGCGCTGATGACACGCGCCGCCTGCGAAGAGTGAAGGACTCGAGGGAGCAGCTCAAGAGCAGGACGAGGGCACGCGGTACCAGCAACGCCACCATCGACACGACGACGAGCAACTCGACCTCAGCCGGACGCAGCTACACGGTTGCGAATGTCCATAACGGTGTCATATACTTGAGGTACGCATCATCTTGGGATTACTATGGTGTTGGTGGTAGGACGAGCCTGCCCCCAGTAAACACCATGAGCGCAAGAGGCAGGAGCGATGCTATGAGGAAGGAGCACGTCATGTCTCACCTCCCGCCTCATACTGCCCCCATATCTCACCCACCTCAATTCCTCACCTGTAGAAACTAACACTCTCAGACCTGTCGCCCGTCCTGGTAACCAACGAGGCCGTCAACCGGATCCCTTCGTCTTTCCGCCCCAGACGCCGCCCGACAGCGCAACCCTCGACAAGCTTCGCCCAACCAGCAATGAGTGGGAACAGAGTGTGTATGGCTCGAGAACACCTCATTCTGAACCTACACCACCGCTACCAGACCTAAATGGGGGCAATGCCTTCCAGCAGCAATCCCAAGCAGATCCCACTTCTGGACGACTCGCACATGTGCGCTCGCATTCATTCTCCACCGTCGACGACCACACTGCCACCACGCTCAGCCACGAGCCGGGCACCTTCAAAGTTGTAATCGAAAGACCCTCGCATATGCGACCTAAGACGGCAGACACCTTGTCATTCCCGCTGTTGCAGGTCCCCATCCCGCATTACCGCTTGGGCACTCCGCGTTTCAGTACACGAGGGACCGCAGACCTGCGCAGTTCAGTCTACACCCGAACCTCAGGCGCCGAGGACTTTGCAAATTCGCTCCTGACGCCACAGCGAGGGGTGCGGCAGTCGTTCCTGTCGTCGCGCCCGCGTTCAGACGCCTATTCGCCCGTCCCCCACCGCTTCCGCGCCACCATGGACCGCCCGCCTATGCCCCCCTCAGGCCCCTCTTCAGCTCGTGTCTCGCACATGCCTATCAGTCCCCGACTCTACGATGCCCTCACTACCAACCCCGACGATCGCGCCGTCGTGCGCTTCAACGCCGAGGGCGAGATTCTTGCAGCCACTCCTTCACGGCTTGTTGCGCATATAACTTCTCCAAGCTTCCTGGATTATGAACTTCTGTCCGACTTCTTTCTTACCTTCCGCGCCTTTCTGTGTACCCGAGACCTTGTCGCATACCTCATCTCTCGACTACGATGGGCCGTCGACCGCCAAGACGACTTTGGGCGCATCGTTCGTGTACGCACTTTCGTGGCCCTTCGCCATTGGATCCTGAACTACTTCGTCGACGACTTCATGCCATTTTACTCCCTACGAACTAATTTCTGCGACCTTGTGAACAGCCTGTACAGCGATCTCCGGGCCCGAGAAGATGGAGGTGGGGGTGACATTAAGATTGTTGGGGAACTGAAGAAGTGCTGGAGGCGGACGTGTGCGCTATACTGGGAGACTGAAGATGTTATCGGTCAGAACTTTGCTGACGACGAGCTGCTCCCAGGAGGATACGATGGCTCACAGGCGGCTTACGAGGAGCCCCCTCCGCTTGTTCCAGTACCCAGCACCCCTCCACGAACCAACGTCCGGGACACCAAGGAAACTATCGGCTCAAATCCAAGTGATCACTTTGCTAGTCGGCATATGGACTGGGCGCAGAGAGCACGACATACGCCTCAAAACTCCATGAGCTCACCCTACATACCATCGCAAGAATTCGAAACTGCGCCCGCGCAGATACCCCTATCGCCCGCCAGTGAGCAGAGTATGCACGTTCTGTCATGTTCTATACCTATGCGAGGTCTGAACAAACACGATCAGGCCGTCGAGCTCCCCTTATATCCACATCCAGTGCCGGTTGCCAACCCAGCCCCCACTGGTACTGCTCGCTTGACAGCTAGTCCACAACAGCCAGCGTCCATCAAGAACGTCCACCGCCCATCACATGGTCACAAGCGTAGTGGGAGCTTTTCAGACGCTCTTAGAGATAGCAGAGCCCCGCTATCTATTCCCAAGAACGCACCCGCAGACTATGCCATGTCCGCTGTCACGAATATGCCTGGCACGCTAGTACGCGGTGGACTCTTCCAACCCAGTTCCCCATATTTCGAAGTCAAAGCTATACGTCCTTTGCGGTCTCAGTACCTACAAGAGATCGAAGATGCTGAAGCAAATGAGTTCCAAAGACCAGGACATGCTACCTCCCCAGGAATGAAGAAGATATTCGGCAGTGTACGTCGCGCACTAAGCACACGGCAGCCATTGAGCCCAAGCCCCCAATTAGGTAGTGTTAGCCAACAGCGCCAGCCACCATACATGCGAGCCTCCAACCCAGGTGCAATGTCCACAGTCTCAATTTCAGGAGGTGTACACAAACGACGTCCTGCTCGGCCAAGACCCCAGGTGCGTATTGATGTTCTGGCTGCTACAGTCGCGGAGAGCTTTCGAGCTGCAGTCCAGGAGCAGCTTGAAAATGAGAGTCAAGAACACCATGGTCTCGAGCCTCCTGACCTTGGTGGATTCGAGTTTGAGTTCGATAGGCGTGGCACACCAAACCCGAACGAACACCAGAGAGGACCCGATCCCCGCGTACATAGCGCCATTACTAGTGGCAGCAAATCGATAGTGATTATTGACGATACTGGACCACCGCCCTTACCCGTCATGTCGGATACCCTAGCACCCGATCTCGAGAAGGAGGCGATAAAGTTGGACAGCCATCAACAGGGGGACTCGATTCACGAATATTCAGCTGGGGAAGCCGCTTCTTCAGTACACAACTCTGATCTCTACGACGATCCAGAGCCTGCCTCAGCACCACAAGAGCAGCGCGACTCGCGTATGTCGACCCGGCGGCCTCCAACGAGACAAAGGAGATCCATCTCTGCAGGTCCAGAAAGGATGCATTCCTTCCGGCGCCGGGGCTCTACCAAGACGTCCTTGGCGCGTGCAGGTTCTCTCCGTCGACACGCATCTTATAACAGCGTGCTTAGCAGACATCAAGGACCTGCGAGTATTGCGACGTTCCAAACTATGTCGTCAGATAACGATCCCTTTTTTCTCGAACGTCAGGCGGCACCTGAAGCTAGCGGGCCAGCACGTCAGCTACGTAGACGACCAGGTGGTGACCTCCGCGCTGCAGGTAACGTCCACGATCTCGAAATTTCGCAACGCCCACACTCCACTGGCTCAGTCTCTAACCGCACACATTCGGTCACAAACTCGGTCATCCTACGGTCCGATCGTTTTATCGAGTCGGACGCAGAAATCCACCGTGTTGTGGAGGGACCAGCTGAAGCTGAAGTTCCAAAGAAGCCAATTTCATTAGTAGACACACACTCTTCGCAGCCCAACCTTAGACCTTCCTTCGAAGCTGAAGTAGCAAAACTTGCTGCTCTCCCTGACGATACAGACGACGAGGGTGGTGTCGAGTCAGCTCTAATGAAACTAGAAGGGCGCTATGAGAAGAAATCGCCTAGCATTCCCTCCCAACGGACTACGGTTGACTTGGATTACTATCGCCCAACTGGAGCTTCTGAGCAAAACACCCGACCTGATACTTATGAACAGGATGTTGAGCAACATGAGCGTTCCGGAACTGATGACGTTTTCCACCGTCCACTGGCTCCTCCAGAAGCGGACGGGCAGGGCATGTATCGCCTGTCTGCTGAGAACTTCAACCGCCACGTACCCGCGGTTCAGTCTGTTGGTGAGTCAACCGACTCTTACTCCTCAACACCTCTTCTCGACCGAGGCTTGAGCGAAATTGCAACTCCTCAGCGAGGGCATACGCTTGAAACTATGAGGTCTTCCGCCAAGCCATCGCCTCTGCAATTTGCTAGCGTCTCGCCCCAGTCTGGTCGTGCCCCAGGAACATCTTCGTCGATGGATTCATCTATTGACTATGTGGTTGAAACAGACAGCATGAAGCAGATACCACCAGGTGGGACTTTGCCGACGACCTCATACCCGCGCGAATCGTTCCTGCTTGATGAAGACGAAGATCTTAGCGACATGGGTTCCGCAGATGGAGCCAAGTCTGGCCATACTAGCCACGGTGTGAGGAGCTTCTTCGATGACGAACCAGCAACACCTGAGGGGGACCCCGACAATCTACCAACGCATCCCATGCGTCACCCTCCAACACCACCACTTACCGGAAACCGATTGAATGATGCCTTGCCCAGCTCGACAGTCTTCGACAGAGGTCTGCCTACACCAGGTCTTACCCCAACCGTCTCTCGAGCGAACCCACAACCCGGGCATCTTGCCGACTCTCCCGCTGACCTCGAAGGCCCCCGGCAAGATGCATCCCCGACCCGAACCGCACATTTGCCGTTCGTCTTGGCTTATGACTCCGAAGTCCTTGCCCAACAATTTACCATTGTCGAAAAGGACGCACTAGACGAGATCGACTGGAAAGAGCTTATCGAGTTGCGCTGGAAGCAGTCCTCCCCACAGATTCGCGACTGGGTACAATACCTCCGAACAGAAGAGGCCAGAGGCGTAGATGTCGTCATCGCGCGATTCAACCTTGTCGTCAAATGGGTTGTATCTGAGGTCTTGCTTACGGAGGACATTCATGAACGTGCGCGATGCATCACAAAGTTTATCCACATCGCAACCCATGCGCGACGATACCGCAACTACGCCACAATGTACCAGATCGCGATAGCCTTGATATCGAACGATGTATCGAGTCTCAAGAAGACATGGGCATTAGTTCCCGCGGCCGAAATGCTGGTCATGACAGAGTTGGAGGCACTTGTTCAGCCATTGAAGAATTTCCACAACCTGCGGCTTGAAATGGAGACAGCCACTGTCGATGATGGTTGTATTCCATTCATTGGTGAGTGTTGTTTTCACAGTCGCCCGTTCACAAGCTAACAACTACCAGGTGTTTACACCCGCGACCTCATCTACAACGCTCAAAAGCCTGCCTTCATTGATGCCCCACCAGTCGACGGCGAACGACTTGTAAACTTTGACCGACACCACACGGCCGCCACCATCGTTAAGAATCTACTCCGACTGCTCGAAGCCAGCTCCAAATACAACTTTAACGTCGAACCACACATACTCAGCAAATGTCTCTGGCTAGCCGCCCTCAGTGACGAGGACATCACACGGCGCAGCCGCCAATGTGAATGATTAGATACCCCGGTACCCTTGTTTTCTCCCTCCTTCACGGCGTTTGAGCGAGCGAGCGAAACCTTCATTATGGGCTTTTCCTTATCTCCTTGCTAATACCCATCTCGGCGTACTGGTTCTGTCAGCGTTGCATCAACCCGACACGATATCACGACTCATATCATATCATCCGCTTGTTGTTTTGCATATACTGAGTCTCTCTGCGACTTACTTGCACAAACCTCATAGTTACTGTCTAACTACTAGATCTAATTAGCTCGTGCCTGCACGAGGCCATGATGTAACCGGAAGCGTTTAGTATTCTAGTACAGATATAGGGATGTGCGCGGCACGGCGCTCGACTTGTACGAAGCTGTTGTACAGATCTGAAGTATATTAAGTCGTCAAAGATAATAGCGTAATCGATCTAAATATTGTGCATGTGGTCTTTTCCTGTGCTGACCCTGTGATCTGACCCAGACTCGTGCTATGGTCACCGCTAATCATTCTGGAAGTATGGACACGACTGTCCTCTATTCGCAGAAACCACCGTGGCGTACTGCAAAAGATGTACCAACAAACTATCCCTGCTGAATGAGTCTGCGAGGTTCGAAAGCACAAGAGATGCCTCGCGAACATCCAGGGCCCCGTCTCCCGTATTCGTTGGGCTGATTCCGCAGCTTAGCTTACTTTAGTGCGGGCGGCGACTGTTCACGCGACGCGAACCCCAGACTCGCAGCTCAGCCTCATGATCGTATCAGCCACAACAACTCCACCCACGTCTTACCTTCCTCTCGGCGCATCCACCGCACTGGTCAGGCCTCCAACATGTCTATACACCATCATCCTCGCCCGCCGTGACACAGTCATCGCGATTGCACCTATGTGCTCTAGGTCGTCATATCACAAGCTGGAGTGTTTGTTCGTCGTACCCGGTTGTCGTACTTTTATGTTTCGTTGGTGATCCTTGAATGCCCTCGCTTCTAGCTCACGACATAGCTCCGGCAGGCTTCAGTTACTTTGGGCAGATATCCGGCATAGCATGGCTAGTATGAGGATGAGCAAGTCGGATCCTCCGCCGATTACGGTTGAAGATACGGCCACAGGCGCAGGGCCGCTGCCGAGTCCTGATATGGAGGGTCTACATTGTGAGTATTCCCGACAAGACAGAGAAAGAGGAGGAAGAGACTATCGGAAAGAGAAGTCAGACTGGCATGGACCATGAATAGTGGCTAGCTTTAGTTATTGGTTTCTGGGAGTTGTCAGGCTGGGCGTTGCGCTGGCAAATGTTGCAAATGGCTGGTTGAAAGGATCCCTAGCTAACGTCTAGAACAGCTCCACGAGCCTTTACTACGTCCACGTACCCGTCTATCGAACGCGAACAATCACGCACAAGGCCACATGAACCCCACAAGGGCCCGTTTGGCCACCGTCGCAAGCATAGTCCGAATCTCGAATGGCGGGAACCCTGGACGAAGGATAGCTGGTCACAAGGGCGCGTGCTGCTTATCGACTATGTCGCAAAGGAACACTCGACGGAGGGCAGGCGGAAGATTATGGCACAGGAATTCTGCGACATTGACAGTTTGCGCCGTTTCTACCGCAAAGAAGACCTCTCGGCGCAAGCAGCATTGCGTGTGATACACGTGCAAAACGCGAGCTGGGCAACGCGCTACCTCCTCCGCAAGTTCAACATTGACGCTACAGATGATCTAGTAGGCACAAACTTCGGCCGCTGGGCCAGCTACGAGAAACCTCAACAACGCGGCGGCAAACCCGTTCTCAATGGCCGTACATTCCGCGCTCAACGCGACCCCTGGCGTGGCATCTCGCGCGCAGCCTTCGGAGCCGATTACCTCAAATCCTACGAAAGAGGCACTCGTATTCCACGACCAAACAACAACAAGTCCATCATGGAGCTCAACCACTACGACGAGACGGATCAGCCACGATACGGACATGACGTCTACGTACAACGATTAAGCGTATACGTGCAGCTTAGCGACGGCACACCAGGCCAAGCCGTCGACCCCGACATACCAAACCCATATGACGAGGAAGCATGGGAAGAGTACATGCGGTTGAAGAAGAGTTACGGCAATGTAGATGCCAATGAACACCAGGAACGATACATACCAAAGCTTCGCTCCCTTGACAACGGAAATACGATCATCCTGTTTGAGAACTCAGTCACTGGCTCAGTCAAAGATACCCTTATTGGTGCTAGACAAGAGCTTGAGTCCCGTTGGAGACGTCTGTCGTTCTACTTGCCCATGGAGGAAAACGACGAGACGTTGACAGCGGAGTGTATGGATTTTATCCTTCAAGATGTTTTCAAGGCGTTGAGCTATAATTGGCAAAAGTTCCTAGCTCTTTGCGAAACGCATGTAGGGATTCTTGAAGATAAGAGTGAGTAGCTTCCTCCGATTTGTACAAGTGATTTCATCCCACTGACCCCTACTTCCCCACTGCCAGTCTACGAAAACCCCGCCGACGAATCCCGTGCCCCCGAGCTCTGGAAAAACAGCGCGCAATGGCTCAAAATTGAACGCCTCATCTACATCCACGTCGACGTCATCAAGGAAATGGTTACGCATCTTCATGATCTCGCTGGCGCTGATCCAAAGGAATCCTCAGACCAGCCTTGGTTAGGCTCCGTGCCAGACGAACTGGATAAACTGACTGGGCAATGGGAAAGAGATGTTATTCTGCCCACGACCGCTCTATCAGACCTCATGTATAAGAGTGTGGGTATTAGGGATGCTAGACACTCTTTGCAATTAGGCTTGAGTATGTGGCGATTGAGTTGGATCACGTTCATGTACGTAAACCAAGCCCACCTCCTGCACCGCAGTCTCCTTCACTTCAAGAACTAACAAACATTTTCTAGTTTCCTACCCCTAACCTTCACCGTTGGTTTCTTCGGCATGAACGTATCCACGTTTGCTGAAAACCCACCCCTGAAATGGTGGTTCATAGTTTCCATCCCCGTCCTTGCTGTCGTCCTCATCCTCTGGTACGCCGTCAAACATAACCTTGCGACCCAACGTCAGAACCCCATGCGTCGAGGTGTCTATGAAGCGCTGTACCATGAACTGGCTACTACGCAACCGTCGCTGTGGAGTAGAAGTGGTCCGCGCGACGATGTCGTACCCGTGGGGTGGTGGGCAGGTCTTAAATGGCAGCTCATTACACGGTGGTTTGGCGAGGACAAAGTCAAGCTAGGGAAGACCGTGGATGGCGTTGAAGATTTCGGGGTCATAGGCCGGGTCAAGAGGGCGTTGGTGAGGAGATGGTTGGGCGAGTTGGCTGTTATGCCGCTTCCGCAACAGTCTTCATCTTCGTCGTCCGGGAAGCCGGGCGACTCTGACGAACGGTCGAGTAGCAGGAGTTCGGTTCGAAGTGAAGTGCAGTCTTTTACTATCCAGCCTTTTGACGGTAAGGAGAGGGGTGCTGTGGCGGAGTTGGCAAGGGTTGCGACGCCGGTTGCGCTGGCGGATGCGGATCCTACGGCTGCTAGTCGGTTGCAGAGGGGTGGGAGGGGAGAGAGGATGGGTAGTTTGAGTCCACAGGGGAGGAGGGGGAGTGCGGCGAGTAGCGATGGTGGAGGGGTTATGGTTGAAGAGAAGGGGGAAGTGGGGATGAGCGCGAGTCTAGATCGAGTGATGGGCGGGGAAGAAAGGAGAGAACGTTGAATGTACCGAGATAAGCGTGGAAGAGGTGGAGGTAGATAAGCTATCTTTCGAAGACGCTGGGTTGGGTGAGTTTCGCCCAGGAGATGATATGTCAAACTTCCTATCATTTCCACAGATCACATACTTGCGAACGCTCGGCTTTTGGTATCACAAGGACATATACGCTACTTTCCCATATATTGGCCCAGACTCTTGTGCACGTTCGGCACATAAATACTCCTCTTGCTACGCTGTTTGTCTTCCTTCCCACACTCACTTCATTTGCGTGACTAAAACTCTGTTTTCCCGACTCATAGATGCGCCGCTTCTCCTTTTCCAAAAATCACACTTCGTCCAATACATAAGCCAGTCCAAGTTATTGTTTTCAATTGCGAAAACATGAATCCGACGAGCCATGGGTCGCTCTGATTTCGAAATTATACTATTATCTCACTAGAAGTGAGGAGGTGCACCAAATCGAAAACATATACGCACCGTCCTCACGTCACCTCTATCGGTTCTAGCTCAACGTTTGCTGAGTGTAGGAAACCTGGCTGCTTGCACCTGGTGTCTTTCTTCTACACACTCACGTTCTCCTTTTGCGAGACTGAAAATAACACTCGTGTCTCTGATCTATGGGTGTGCTTTATCTAATTTCGTCCAAAAAAAAGATCCCCTGACATGTACAGCCTCATCCTCTCTCTCCAAAACTACGTATGCTATAACGGATGTGCTGCGTCCTCGGTTCTTGCTCTAGAAAGCTCAGCGAAGTGGTGGTTATTGCATTGACGGAAGTGTCCAAACGCCCAACTAGATCAGGGACCCTCTGCGCAGTTCGATAGTCTCTATTGCAGAACAAAGTGATCAGGTGAGATATGCCCATGAACAATGTTACGTCCGACTAGTGGCGACTGTAACAACGGAGACAACTAAGGTAATGCTTGGTCGAGAAATGACGTTTTATGGTCACCACCTCAAAGGAAATACGAGTCCCTTGGCGTCCCCACTGCAGCTAAGCAGGTAAGTGAATGGCCAATCGAGTGGCGGTGCGACTCTCCTAGACAACTAGTTGACCGACATACTGCCTGTACGTAAGATAGGCTCAATTCACCCTAAAATGGTGAGACTGTTCACTGTTCGCATCGTGATAGAGGCATAGACGTTGTATCCAAATATAGCGGTATGTGGACCGTGGTGCTTGAATTGCAGTTAGTGGCCGGAACAGCCTTGCCTTCACGTTAGGTTGCTTGCTGCAAAGAGCCGCCTCGGCCGGCGATCTCGGCCTGTTTATGACGTGCACTGCCCGAACGAGTAAACCTTCCCGCATCTACGGCTATTTACCGTATTAACGATTTAATTGATCGGCACTACTATGCATTGTTCAAGGGTGTTACTTCGTATTGGCACGACTGTTCGTTGTATATAAGGTATTCGTCTGTGTTCTTCAGTTTTTGTATCTTTGAACGCTCACTCTAAACGCGCGCCGAATTCACTCACTACTCTCAATTCTTAATACAAACTACCAAAGCCTCGTTTTCATAATGGTCTCTTTCACCGCCCTTGCTCTCCTGGCAACCTCTGCCATGGCCGGTCCCGTCGCTCGCCAAATTGCAATCCCTGAGAATTGGAACTGGCAGGTCGAGAACTGGGAGGGTGGTTGCAGTCGATCTGGCTGCTACTACAACTTCAACGTCACCGTACCAACTATCGAGGGAGAGATCGCAGGTGTGAAGGCATACTGCCATGGCTACGAACAGGGATATAACAACAGCTTTACGATTCCCTCAACATACGAGTCGTGCCAACTGCTCGAGGGTGTCAACAACGGTGTTGCGGCTAGGTTATCGCTGAGGGAGAAGGATGGACAGGGATTTGGGCCCAAGGAGATCGAAGTTAGTTTCTTGTATGCTGGATACGAGGACCGGTGAGTTTCTACTTCCTCTTCGGAGTCGTTATGAAGAACGTACGCTGACTTGACATCGCAGTCCTGCCTACAACTTCTCCGGCACCCACGAGGCCAGGTACAACCAGTTTGTATCGTCACCCCTTAACTTTACCGTAACTCCCACAAAGGTGTTCAGTATCGCATAGATGGTTTACCTGGATGGTATTGATACGGAAGTAATGATGACAGCGTGCTTGGTTAGCCATATCCTGTCGAATAGAACCCGCAAATAATAATGTTAATGATCGCAAAATGTACCACCATGGAGAACTTCGTCCTACTATATATATCCCATGATGGCCATGACCAATTGTCCCTTGATATCTTCGAAAACTGGCATACTGCCTTTCTCAATGCTCGATCAGCGGCATACGAGGATACAACTCGCGCACGTCGAGCGATAATATATATATATGACCTCATGACAACCACGAGCACAAAGTCTTTGCGCGTGACTCTTTTCGAGTACAGCAAGAAGACTCACGATAAGGCGTGTGTTTCTGATAGCCTCTTAGCTGAGACATGACTATTCATTCTGGAATGTTCGCAATACTACCCAAGTGTCTCATATGATAGTGATCACGTATTTGCAATTACCATCTACTGAGTCATACTCGACCCATTACTCGTTCTTGATGTGTGGGAGCTGGCTACAACCCTCCAGCCCCAAGTCTGTAGGCGAGATATGAAAGATTCCTAACCTTCGGAACTGACCGTGTGTTGCTTGAGTAGGAGCGAGTAGAAGAGTATATATGTACACACCGTCTTCGAAGAGGAGCAGGCAGTGCAGCTGGGACGATGGAGGACTACGATCAAGATTGAGATTGCGATCATCCAAGGCGTTCCAACGTCTGTCAAAATTGATGTTCCAGGTATCTTCGAGATCTAGATACAGCTCCATTGTCGCCAGTCAATCGGACAGTTGCAGAGCAGCGCCAACGACTGCCCCTGTCTAGTCTGCTGTGGCAGTTCTGAGTTCTGACGTCACGACGGATGATATCGACTAAGGGTCTCTCTTCCGGCTTGTCACACTCGTGCCAGAATATTAGCCCATTCAGACATGCCCATGACCATCAGAGCGCGCGATAAGTGATGGAATCTAGAGGTATAGATATTGTGACATACCAAAGCAATCCTCGAACGAGATCAATCCTCCATAGCCCTGCGCAGTATTCAATGTGGAGGAGCTGCTCGGTATACTTGGCAACCCCGGATAGGACAATCAACTTGTCGCTCAGGAATGTCAAGTCGTAATCACTATAGTCCCACGCGATCTCTCTCCACAGTTCCCTGAACTCCTTCGTGTTGAGTTTCTTGTTCTCATCCGTAGAGATTCGCAAAGCCGCAATGTCATTGGTCTACTTGAAGCCAAAGATTTCAATGGCAGCGTGCCCCGGTATTGAATTCGCCAACGATCTGAACATGTTTGGTGGTAGGCTGGTAGGCCAAGTCTCACTCGCCTTCAAGCCATAACATTCCCAAAACATCTGACTGCCACAGAGATGAAGCACCCTGGGAGCCAACTTGAGTTCCTGTTGGAACCATGCGCGATTGTTCAGGCATATGCTCAAAGTCATCGTACCAGTAGAACTTCCCGTAAAGGTAGTAAGTCCCGTTCGGATGATCGGTCCATTCAGTCTGTACGAGGTAGGGCATAACAGTCGAAGCTTTTTGACAAAAACAACCGGCATCGCTATCAATCACAATACTGGCTCCGATGTTGAAGAAGCTATTGCAGTACGCTTGGCTCATGGGTGCTGATTTCTCCTGCCAATCATCTTTGGAGTCCTGGAAGATACAAAAGGAGTCTACCTAAACCAACTTGATCCCGAGAGTCTATGCGGTGAATACAGCGTCCCGGAATGTCTTCACCAGCTCAGAGACTACCGCACCATTCCTTAAGCGTTGGAACGAATCTAAGGTCAAGCTGAGAGTTTTAAAAGTTCCCCAACAGTGGCTGCGTGTTGCATATTGTAGAGAACTGCTGTCTAGCTCAGAGCGCAGCCCTAAGCACACTCTATCAACTTCTGGTTCGCCAATTTAGATGAGACGTATAGGGCAGTATGCTATAAACTTGGAACGAGATGGTTGACAGTTGGTGTGACTACCCATGCATTCGACTAACTATATTCTCGCACACGCTATCCTAGCAGCCCAGTCTAAATAGTCGTATGGCTTATGCGCATCAGAGTCTTTGGAGTCCTCTGCCCCATATGTCAGCGTATAATACTCTTTGATGACGGGATGAGCATACCAACCACAGGCTCGCAGATCAAGCTACTCAAAATGTCACTAGCGAGTGAATTGGCTTTGATTTTCAATTTCAGGGCGCTATTGTCGTCCTAAGGTTTCAGTCTGGTCTCTTTTGATCTTTGAACATGCTCTGAGCCAGGTCACAACTGATAAGAGGTATGTTTCCATAGAAGGCAGCAGATTTCGCAGTCCTCGAGAGCGGATCGTTGCAAATTTTGGAGAGAGTCATGGTGCTCAATGTAGTCCGTAGGAAAAGGTCCTCGGAAGAATTTCAAGCAGATTTCACACGACGTATTGAAGGCCTGCCAGAAGTAACAGAAGCAGCTCATCTTGGAGGTAGCTGAGAGCACGGTATATCCCTGTACAGGGTCTGAAAGGCGTGTGTTGTCATGGAAGGTGAAGGAGCTTCAAGCAGGGACGCTAAAGCGGGATCATAGTGAGGCTGCATCGCTATGTGTTCAGTCTGTCCTATTAGCATCAACATACTGTTATGAACGTGCTAATGCTTGATACTAGACAGAACGCCATTCAGTAACTCGGTATGGCAACCGCAACGCAGCTGTTTCCCCCAAATCCTTGTTTTTACTGTAAGCAGCTAAATTTTTACCCTTTCGATCTAACGGCTGGAGGCATTGACATCAAGGAATAGTAATCATCCACTCCGCAGCCTCTCATGTTGATACGCCTCACCAGGCCTGAGCGGCATAATACAACCCGTTTACGTTAGCGGCCCAATTTCTGTGCCCGATCTGTCACTAATATTTTAAACTTTACAAGTAGCGTCTCATTCCCGTGCCTCAGACTGAAGCGGTGGATTCAGCTTGGCACAAAGCCGCACATCTCCATTATCGTACGATGCAACTATGCAAGGTCTCAATCAATGCAAGATCATACATTTGTAATTTTGCTCCAAATGTCGATACTGGTATACATGCTGGTATTCGTGGGGGTATATTCTACGCTACGCTACTACACTACAAGAAATCTGTAGGGATATATGTTACAAAAAAATGGGGGTTGCTTGCTTGCTAGGTGGATGTTCAAGGTGGGGAAAAAAAGAGACGATGGAACCCGCGGAATACTTCCTGCCATCGAGAGAAAAGATCATAGGACATCGTCCATGTTTTGTTCATTAAGTCTTCTCGCGTCCTGTGCGCTCTATGGCGGCAACTAGCGTGATGAAGTTCTTTGTTGCGACGTTGAGTGTCATTATCGTCACCGCCTACCGCTCGGTCCCCATGGTGGCTGTTTTGTACTGTCTCTCGGGAACAAACCATAGTTATTGACGTCTGGTGCTGCGTTGCCCCAGTTGCCGACGCTGCTTGTTCGTTTACTTCGCGTGGGTTGCCGAGTAATATTTCCGTTCACGTCTTTTCGGTTGAATATACTTCCAAACCCGAGAACTTCTGGTCGGTCGAGGTCGAAAGGGTCCGATTGTCGAACTGTTCGACTAGTTGGCGCTGGAGTGAAGAAGTTGGTAGCAGGTCTGCTCGGTCCTGGCTCTCCAAAGAAAATATCAGAGTCACGCGAGGCGAAGGTTGAGGTTGCATCCACCGTAGACAGTGCATTAAAGCCTGGTAACGCCATCGACGAACGTCGGGTATGGCTCGGTAAGACAGCTTGGGTCGGAACAGGCGGTGCATAAGGTGGGTCTCGGAACGGATTGTCTGCCGTGTAGAACGATGAGGGGGGATGTGAGTTCAGTGCAGATATTGAACTCATAGTACGTTGATGATGGTGAGCCGGTGCTTGAGCCCATGCTGGTGCAGCTCCAGGCGGATCTAGGATAGATGCGAATGGATCCCTTGGTGCCGCGTCAGCAGTCGCTGCAGGGACTTGTGGTGTGACAGGCGCGCTCCGTGGATCAGGATTGAGTACCAACAGCGTGCTTTGCTGACCCCGGTCCGCGAATGGATTTGGTGAGCCTGTGTCTTCGATGATTCCTGGGAATCGGTAGTTTGACGATATGCTGCTTGGCTTCTTGCGAAGCAGGTTCCTTTCGCTCTTCTTGCTCGATCTGCTGCTGTTGGAGCCCGCACGCTTGACTCCGAAGAAACTTTGCGGCTCGCTGGACGATCGGCCCCTACCATTGGAGTCTCTCGAGTACACCGAACCAACGCTAGCTTGCGCAACATGGCGTTGGTAGGGATTGCTCACCGAACCAGCCTCGCTTCCTTTCATCCTCGCAACGAACTCTCCCACCCCGCTAGGTATTGTCTTCAACCTAGCCAGGAAGCTTGGGCCTGCCTCCTTCTTCTCGTTCCATCGTACCGGTCGCGACTTCCGTTTCCGCAGACAGAAGAAGAGTAGTACGCTGATGATAACCAATGCAGCGACACCACCAAAGACTCCTCCAATTATGCCACCGATATTTCCACTGTTCGCAAAAGTCAGAGGACCGTCGTCGCCAGTGGAACCCTCCGGTGCAATGATACCAGCCGACCCTCCAGTTGGTGTAGAGTCAAGCAATGAAGTAGTCGGTTGTGGCCGTGCTTGGGCAGGCGAGTCTGTCACGATGGATGGTTGTGCCCTCGTATCGGTTTCGATAGGCAGCTGGGGGCTCGTGTCCTGGGTAGGACCGTTGGATACAGCCGGAGCTGTGAAGCGGGCCGGTGTGCGTGAAGATACAATGAGTGACGTTGGAACAGCTAGTTGTTCAGTGTCAGAGTTTGTTGGTACGGAGTTCAGAGGCAGAGCTGAAGACACTGCAGCAACTTGCGAGGGCAGAGACAGAGTAACCACAGCGACCGGAGAAGATACTTCTAACGGCGCTTGAGTCTCTGGTGGCTGCTGCGCAGCTGCCGTTGCACGTTCTGAAGACGACAGAGCCAGTGGTGTTACCCGCTCAGAAGATGTAGGAACCGTGCTAATCGTACCTGTCGCGGACGTTGCTGCTACTTCTGTTGTAGATGTTGTGGGCACTGTGGCCGGCTGCTGTGCTGGCTGGTCGGCTGGCGTAGTTGTTGAGGCCGGTGCCGTCGAAGAGGGAGGTGGCGGCGGCGGAGGAGGTGCTTGGGCGGTGCTGGTCTGTATTTGCGATGTCTCCTCAGTGGTTGTGGACGTTGTAACTTCGGGAGGGGTGGCCGATGATGTTTCTGTAGTTTGAGAGGTTGTAAGGGCTGTTCGGGCTCGAGAACGAGTACATCGTCTCCCGTTTACGGTCGTAATTGACTCTTGAGGGGTGGCCATACGAGCAATAGCTCATGGAAACAAAGGCTGTCGAGGGCTCAGAAAGAGAGACGAGGAGAAAGTATACAAAGCGCCGCAGACGCTTTGTGCATATTAACTGGAAATTGGGGTTTGCCGCTACGTGATGCTGAAGGAATGATTAACGAAGAGAGATGTTAGTAGGCGTTCGAAGAACGGCCGGGTGATAGTCAACCGTTGGCACAGTATGTTGCGCTTGTATCCGTCTGAAACGCGGGCGGCTTCACATCGCGCTTCGAACAATGCACATGAAGCGCGCTGAGCCTCGCAGAGTTGAGCGGCAGCGGCATGACCGTCTCAGCCGACTGCCGTGTCGCCCGACAAAGCACTCTGGTAGCCATTCTTGCGGACGCGATGACATATGTGACGATGCGCGATGGGCTTGAAAAGGAGCGTGATGTTGGAGGCTTCTGGTGTTGTGACAACTGGCGAACGGGACGTCTTCGAGCACGTGATTGAACACCAAAAGCAACTCGAAGATGCAAAATACTTCTATTCGACCTCTCGCACCTTGGGGGTTTCTTGGAATCATCTCCCCAGTTATTCTACGATTCATTCAGTCAAAGTGACAACACTTGACAGTTGTCTGTACGATAACGCATCAACAAGCTCTTGGGTTCTCGGCAGCTACGCTAGACGTAACTGGTGGGGAAGAACTATCACAATCTTCACTTCTGGCTTGTCTAGAGTTGAATATCATGCATCAGCATCGTGTGCTTGCGGAATGCTTGTAGGTAGAGCTGCTGATGGGTGTGGAGACGTTGTTGCGCCGGGTGCGCACGTCCAGTTTGAGAAGATCCGCTGGCCTCGCTCGACCTCGACGTCCCATCGCCGATTCCAACACGTCCCTAAAAATCACGGTCCTCGTACCACGATCCTGTGACCATGTTCAGTTTCAGTGGTAAGTACCTTGCTCGTTGATTCTCACTTGGTTCATTGTGGCCATGTTGCTTTCCTATACAGGGGTCGCATCTGCCCGCTCTAAGTGGAGCCCACGTCAGCAACAGCATTACCAGGCGCCGTTTACCATCGCATTTGAGGCGGGTTTTCACTTTCGCATATTTGTTTACTTTATTCTGGTCTTGAGCTGCTTGTTGTGGAAGCTACTGGGGATGCTTCTGTCTGTCAAGTGGATGTATATTCCACACATGTTTCGTCTGAGACGTGCGCCGCACGTGCAATATTGTTGCTGATATAGGACATTTTGTTCATAGGTAACCTACTTGCGGGGCAACATGATACACAGAAACAGAGGTCGCCACCTTCGAAACCATCACCCGTCAAGTTTCCCTCCCTTGAGCCGCCCGAGCCATCAACAAACACGCTGCCAGCTTCCTGGACCGAGCCAGGAGCCAGGATCTCAGGGCACTTCTTACGACTGAAGAAGCCGTCCGACGTCAGTGAAGACACCTTGGCTTTGCTCAATGTCACGTTTCAGCCCCAGTGTGACCTAGAAACATTATTGTCATCCTTGTCAAACCACGCAGAATCGTTCTTACCCCCAAATTCCTGGGTAGATTCGCCTGGAGAGCAAGAGGCAGTACAAACAGGATCTGCAGCCACACTTCTGAGCAATGGCAGAAGGTTACCAGATCAGAGGGAGTTCTACGTCCGGGCAAGAGAACTTTTGTTCAAGAATGCCGATGCTTACTCGACACTCACGCGTAAAAGTAATGGAAGTCAACCACCGGTTCGACTGGCTCATTTTCGAAAGTTTTGGGAAGGTCTTGATAACTTGGCTTATTACTGGGATACGTCTCTAGACGAGTATCTTCCACCGGTCCAAGAAGCTGGTGGTAGTAGTAGAGAAACCGCAGTCTCAGACTCCCTGCAAGAGCCCACAAATGTCGAGAGTCGGGAAACCAAACGTGAAACGGACTCGGACCGGGTGTCGATAGTGAGGCAAGGGTCTCGTACGTCTGAAGAAGAGGAGCCTCGCAAGAAGGCCAAGGTAGAAGACACTGAAAGTGAAAAACGATCAGCCGAGACCCATAGCGCCAATGGCACCAGCAACGCGCCCGTGAGTGCACAGGTGCCATCAACTTCTCCAAATCGTGTACTCCCAGCTCGGGCTGCACCGCCAAAGACCCCGTGGGCTGCGAACATGGAGTCTCAGAGCAAGGCGGTTGATCTCTCGAATGGGTCATACCGAGGGTATCGTATTGGGAATGGTGCCGAGATGCCTGACCAGTATCGCATTGACTGCGTGCGTAGTTTCTTGGAGCCAATCGCATGGGCGTTTGGGGTGACACTCTTACCACACCGCCGTCCTCCTGTCCTCACAATCGAGCACATTCGGTTCCCTGTTCGTATGAGCTCAGTCGCTTGGCAAGCACCCCAGGACAGGGCCAAGGCTAGACATGGCTATTTGGAAGGTCCTGTATTGGGTGTACAATGCAGAGCAGACGTCGGCTTTGGTTTGACAGGCAACTTGGAAAAGCAGTCCACTCTTGATGCCGTGCGTGAGTTGGGAGGATTACTATTGTTGGCGCAGGAGAGAGCTAGAGAAGGAAAATCGGAGCGAAGAGGTGGCGAGAGTAAGTGGTGGACGACGAAAGAGCGCTGGGGTGGAGGGCCTGGCGGCGAGGTTGGCGAGACTATCGGGGCCACCGAGATACTCTCTAAAGAAGCAGCTGCTAAACCTGAAGGGAAACCCGCTGAAAGGAATCGTGACGGATCCAAGGCTCGTCGCAGGCCATCACCAGCAGAGGTCTGGAAAACGCTGCGACCCGGGAATCCACTATGGGATCCCAAAGTTACCTACAAAGCCATTGGTAAAGACAAAAGTGTTGAGTGGGACGATGTAGGGCTTTGTACAACAGCTCTGGGAAGCTCGATTTGCTGATTCGTTATTCTAGGTCTTCATGGTTTCGTCATTGAATCACCACATCAGCCTGTTAAAACTACGCATACATCCAGCTTATCTCGAATACATTACCGAAGGTAAACTCTCTAGCGAGGCGCCATCAGATCCCGACTGGTTTTCGCCAAAGCTGCAAAGAACGAGATGGTTTGACTTGTTCAACGTCGATGATCGCGCCGAAGCAATGAGAGGTATTTGGGGCATTATGTCCTATCTCATGCGTGCGGATACGAATGATCACGACGGCACTGCTACAAACTAGTGATAACTGGCTGACATCGGTGTGGCTCTTCTTGCGCGATATGGGATGGCCAATGAAGGACGATCTGGATTTGTAAACACGGAACGCAAAAGTAAATACTGAAGATTCATCACTTTGAGAGACCGGAGATGCTCGGGGTGTGAGAGATGGTGTTCAACCTCTCGACCTGTTCACGGTCTCGATCGTCTCTAAAAAGTACCCTGTTCCGGTTTCCGATTCTTCAAGTCATCTACTCGAGACACTGAACTAGATTTAAGAAGGCCAAGTTTTTCAGTGTCACGATCAATCCAGAGACGAATCTTTATTGCGCTTGCTCCACGATTGATATTAACCTGGAGAAAGCACCTCTGCAGCCGTGATACAGCAAAAACATCTCTCTTTAGGGTATATTTTTGCTCTGATGCACCCAAAGCTGCATAGCAAAATACACAAAGATACTGCGCGACGATGCGGGCATCTTTTCTCAAGCTTGCGTCTGGCCCACCAATCCTAGGACACCACCAAAGCACAGCCGCCCAAAACGGCAAAGCTAATGCAACAAGGCCACAATTGCATCCACACCTGTATCGCCGTTGGCCAACACTTCTTGTTTGAACAGCCAATGGCGCAGTCCTCTAATGCGACGGTGTCACTAAGAATATCGACATTCTTCCACCAACACGTTTGACTAAGCTCCGCCTCGTCCGGTAGAACTGTGGCGCTTTTAGCCAGTTTGTACTCAAGGGGCGCCTGACACAACGACGCAAGGCGCCTGTCAGATTATCGATGCAATTTTTCCGCTTGATGGTCGCTCGAACACTAGCCTGCAGCACAAGGTCTACGTCCATCAATCAATATGCAGTCCCTACCCTGGACCCACTCATTCCCAACAGCACCTCTACGGCCCCCAAGAAATGCTCACAGGCTTCATGTTGTTACACTAAATCGGCGTCTCTTTCCAAGTAGGGCCCGTATCAGCGAAGAGCAGGTGATGAAGCTTCCTCAATCACACGCCTACGACCACTTCTCGTTACAAGCAAGTTTGTACAAACACTGAAACTCGCCAGTGACAGCCAAAGAGTGCAGCATAGCAATCTATCACATCTACTTCTAGGCAAGCTACGTCACGCGCTATGTTGACCCCGGTTCCTGGTCCGATGCAGCCGCACACATGGTGTGAATCTCGAGCATCGATCCGTAAACCGGGTTTGCAGGCAAGTCAGAAGTACCTATGTATCTATGTACCTTACAGAAGCAGCGACTACACGGGGTCGGACCGCTTCTCACATCATCTTCAGGATGCATGTCATGCCTGAATCACCAGCTCAATCCTTTGGAGGCAACAGTGCAATCAGCAAATATTTTCTATTGAAGAGAATATTGAGACATATGGTCACGACACAAGCTGGGTGGGGACAGCGCTCCATAGTCAGAAACGCTCCAATGACCGATCAACCTTCCTAGCGACGCCTCCATCGGGCAAGAGTAACAGTGGCTTGAGAGCATACGACGATGAGCAAGACGGAGCGGTCAGCAGCCCATCTCTCTCGAACACGCCCTTGCCCTTCTTCCTCTCCACTGCATCGAGTCCCAGCCTTGTATGCGGCCCCAGATCTATATAAGTCTGCATGCATGACTTGGATACAGGGCATCGAAATCGATAAACTTCACTTGCTTACTACTATTTACCCCATTTCAACTCAGCCCCAAAGTCAGCACGCCTTATTCCATCTCTCTACCCTTGCAAATAGGATCAATTGCGATCTCGTCTATCTCGCCCCACTTGCCAACATCACATCCTGTTGTTCAATTGTTGGTATATAAGAGCATATACCCATCATCTCAACATCCCGACATCCCAACCATCTACCTCTTCAATACTCTAAACTTCCTACCTTTCCCCTCAAGTACACACATCCCCGCCGTCACCATGTTCACCACCTCCATCCTCCTCTTCTTCACCTCCCTCCTCCCCACCCTCATCACCGCAACCGACCTCCCCAAATCTCGTACCGTCAACCCCTCCCTAAATGCCGCCCTCCGCATGGCAGCCACAAACTTCGACCGACAAGCCCTCCTGCCCGCTGACACAGACTGGTACTACGACTTCGATTCAAACCCCAACTACGACTCACCCAACGGCGCCGTCATCAACGCCGACGCCGCCAGCTTCCCTGCTCTTACTGGCATGGGATCTAGCATCGCCTTACTCAAGCTTGCTCCCTGTGGAATGCTGCCACCACATCTGCACCCTAGGGCTACCAATTTGGTCACCGCAATCACCGGTAACACGACCAGCTATATGATTGGGGAGAATGGTGTCAAGACACGGAAGGTGGATTTGATTCCTATGCGTGTTACGATTTTCCCGCAGGGAAGTCTACATACGATGCAGAACAATGGTATGTTCCTCCCTCCTTTGTCTCTTTTTTCCTCATTATCTACTACCCGATCGGGGGCATGCGGCTCTCAGCGCCAAGATATACTCGTCTTTTACCCGGCCTTGATTACATGCATTCGTATATCGGGCACTTTACTAACCACACTCACAGATTGCGAACCCGCACTCCTCATCAGTGCACTCAACAGCGATGATAGCGGTACCCTCAATATCCTACCCAGCCTCTGGACTGTCCCGCAAGATGTCATCAGCGCTGGTTTCGGTGATGCGTCTCTCAACACTGAAAACCTGGGCCAGACGATTCCTGCCGTAGGTACCGGAGCTATTATTGGGAGTGCCGAGTGCAAGAAAAGGTGTGGTATTCAGACCTAAGGCAGTCAGTCAATTGAGTTGGTGGAATCCAGGGTTGGGTAGCTACTACTGCTACTGCTGCAGTAGCGTGTGTGGCGCAGACGTTTGTAACGGCTTTGTTTACTTTTCCCAAATGTCTTTTACTCATTCTGCTTCAGTTCTGATAATCTTTTCGCATTAGCTTTGTTTTGTGCTTGTATGCTGTGGTTTTGCAGAAACGGTATTTTAATGGTACTGCTTTCTTGATTTGAACATCAGGGTCGATGTTATGATGCATGCATGTATAAATACGACAGAAAAGAACGAGAATAAAAGCTGATTGTATTTGCATGCCAACGAACTTCATCTATCTTCCTTGTTCGATCTTGCATCGATCGTGCATTCGATGTGCGAACCAGGTTGCGGGCCGTCACCCCGCCTTGTATTGGGGTCCAAGATGCCTCGGCAACATAGCCAAGTTGGTATGCAATAGATCAAAGAGGGCTTGGATCAGGTGTGTTGGACTTTCTTGGTAGTAAGACATGAGTTCTACTGATGGAAGCTAGTAGATGGAGGGTTGTATAATAGCCGCCGTGGCTTGCCTGCACCGGTCTACCGGTACAGATGCGGAGCAAAGGGTCAGCATCTGGACCACACCGTTAGAGCCATGTGGTTTCTCGCCCCCACAGCAGGTACAGGGCTGATGACGGATCTTTGGTAGCCGCATGCAAGTAAGCCGCATGTAAGACATACTGCTGCTGTGTACCGAGGTGCCCGAATTTTGACCGGCTGCGGTCGTGCGCTGCGTCTTGATCTCTTCGGACCGCGCCTGAATCAACCGAAAGACATCGATCGCCTTGGCGTATGAGGGCTTGATCGGGATACCATTCATCGTGCATTTTCCGAGACTCTAACGGTCGAGAAAGCGACATCAGGTCCTTCTCCGGCAAGCTTAGAGGACATGCTGGTAATGACTTCGTCCGACCAACGAAACGCATCTACCCCATGGTAGTCCAGGAGAGAATTCAGCCCTCTGAGTATCCATGCTTGGACTTCCGGTATGCAATATTCGTATGCGACAACAAAGCTCAAGCCTGTATGAAATGCGCCGATTGGTCTACTGGCCCAGGCATCCTCCCATGTCTTGCAAATCTCAATCGCGACTGACCGACACTCAGCTTGCAAGTCATAGCGTGCTTGATCAAAGGGTGGTAGAAGTCGCATCAGGACTTTATTCGTCAGAATGACGACAGACCAGAAGCAGTTGTAGGCAGTCATATCGCGCCAGTTATTGAAGTGATAGGCTGTCTGCATGGGACTGTTCTTTTCTCTAGCTGGTGTTTCGTAGATGGCAATGCCGTTAGTGAGCTTCGCGTTCATATGCTCACCTAGGCTGCGAACAGCGTCTTTGAGGTTATATACCTTGTACAAGAGTGCCGTCCGTGTAGGTTCGTAAGGGTATGTGTATGGACGTGCGTTGTTCGGGTAAGAGGTTTTGATAGGCCGCAGATCTTCAAGGAAGTCCATGTCTTCGAAAGAGTCGGTAGAAAAGTCAAGTGACGGGGGCGTGTCAGAAAGTGATTGGCACATTTCGTCGTTGGTGCCGAATTCGAAGCTCGTAGCGTGTGCTGGTTGAGAAGCATAGCGCTCGCCTGCTTCCTTCAAAGCATGGAAGATACCCGGCAACTCGGCCATGTACTGCATTAGGTCGGTGTTCAGGCAGTCATCGAAACTAAGGCCGGTCTTGTCGAAAGCGATTTCTCGCCATCCAGGAGATGCGAGAAAGCATGGTTTGCGCTCATATATGCACGTAATGATCTGTCGACGTGTTAGTCTTGAGTTAAGATGCCCATATACATCCAAACCAAGAGACGCGACTACGTCACCGTAACTCTGTTGACTTACTATTCCACCTCTATTGAAGCGCAGTATCTCTTTTGTGAAAGTATCTTTATATCTAGAGGGCCCTTGTAATTCCATTAACCGCCCTGCACCGCCTACGTGCGTTAGGTATCGATTGCCTATTCTTGGACCTGCAAAGGCCTAGTCATGTAAGTACTGTCACAAGACATAGACTAGATAGCACTTACTTCAACTAAACCAAGAAGTACCGATGCGCAGAGTGTATTTGGAGACATGCCTAGCTGTGGGTCCTCGAGGCATGACTGCAGCGTTTTAATGGCCCGGATATATAATTCTGGGGAAACAATCTCGTCCGCAGTCTTCTTGAAAACTAACGAAGTATGGACATTTACAAGCACGGCTACTGCCGCATCAAGGGCAACGTTGTGCCCAATTCTAGCCGGCACTTCTTGGATGAACGGACCAAATACAGACATCCGATGCCCAGTACTGCCTATTGTGATAGCTGCAATCAGGACGCGTGCGAGTTGCTGATGCTGCGATGACGACGGTTGTCTCAGGAAGGGCGATTTGGGTGGGCTCAAACTGATTGAACTCGATCGTGAAGCCGTTTTCCGAGGCGTAGAGCTCTTGTTCGAGATCCTGAATTTGTGTGTGACCGAGCCATTTTCGGCAAACTTCTCATTCAATTGTGTCAAATGTCTATCTCGTTGATCTGTGACTGGATCAGTATCATACTCGTTTTCATTTCAGCCGAACTTACCTGACGGTGCGGTTGTCTCTTCCACAGCGGAGTTCGTGGCACCGCCATTCAGCCTAGGACCGAGGTCTCTGAATGTGTGTCGCGCGGGCGGTCCTGGACATGATTTTCCATTTTTCTGGCAATTCAAGCAAGCTGGCCATGTCTCGTCTTAATCGTCGCTAGTCAGAACGTTTGAGTCGCGCTGGTCTTGCGGGACTAGCCTTACCGCACTCTGTCCTTAGTCAGGCGATATTCGCAAGGAAGAGGGGCGTGGTTCACTTACTAATCTTCCTCTTACGGCAGATGAGGCACCCAGTACTTTTCGGAACTCCAACCATGCTTCCACGATATGCAATTGTTGGGGATTGTTGGCAAGCGAAGTGAATGACGTGAAATTTCAGACACAGAAATTAATAAGACTAGGAAGAGCTGAAGCTGGAGCGTTCGCTGTCAACACACATCGGTGGCCATATGGCTGTTGAACGATGCTGTGTATGATGTATGCAGACTGCTTGCCCTCATTAGGCTTCTCGGAGAAGTTCCATACCGTGGCTGCAGGCAAGGCTTGGGCCCACAGGGCTGGCGTCTACACCCTGGACTGGCGGTGGAGGTTTGGCTGGACAAGAAGCTCGTCAACCCACGTGTTCGCGGCATAGAGCCTGATCAGGCTAGATTGGACGCGGGGTATAGATGATTGGCCAAGCTGTATATGAGCGCAAGACATAGAGATAGGAATCGGGTGGTGAGTTCCTCCTAAGTGGTCACATTACTGCTCGTCGAGTAAGTTGCACCTGTCGTCAGACCGCGTATGCAGCGTATGTAGAGAAGAGTGCGATAGGCAGACCGCAGGAGCGACAGGGGCCGCCAAGGCACTAGAACACAAATACATCATTCTACACGAGGAGCGTGGAAGCATGCGAGAAGCATCAGTATCTCCTCCTATCTGATGAGTGAGCGGATGCTGTGGCTTCGCGTCTGCTTACCGTTCCTACTTCACGTCACTCGTCACTTTATCCACCCAACATAACGTGTTTACTCTGCAATGAACCAGACGAGTCTCTCAGAGATGTTCAAGATAGTAATTGTTTATTTCATTAGATGGGCACTGCTTCATGTGCCGCAGCCTAAACAACGTGAGGCTTGTAGCTTTCATAGGACTGATCGGATGTGAACAACCCATCACTAGGGACGGTGAAGAATGTGACTTGAATAGTGTGACAGGCTTCAGCTGGATAGGATCAGTCGTCCGTAAGACAGAAACGCTCCTTCATGCACACCACAGACAACACACCGGCTGCAGCTACCCAACATCAATCTCACCCCTGGCCGAGCCGGGGCGTAGAGGTTGCTCAGACACCCGCAGTTGCTGCGGACGAATATATGCTTACTGATCCTGCTATGAGTATCTGACCAGTAATCACATAGCAGCAGACGCAAGGTAAGCCTTCCTATGTCCAATACGATTCACATAGCGGATCGGCACACATATTCGGCATAGACCGTCGGCATGTCCGCGACTCCATGAGACTTGACTGTAAAGTCATGCCTGGCAGTGTACTATCCTCAAGGCCAAGTGACGCTTAAGCAGTAGTACGCGCATGATGATAACCTATAGATTTGCACGGCACATACTCAAAGCATGTGCCTAAGAAGATACCCTTGATAAAATAAAACGGGGTATCGCATAAAAAGGCTGAGACCAGGATCCGTACATTTAGCGCATATTCAACCCGCTTTTCTTGCTCTCATTCCACCACTTCCAACTTGCAACTTCCATCAGATAGTCAATGGAATACACTTGAGCCGGAAGCGTTGCCAGAGGGCAAAGTAGTTTCGTATACGCCATCCATCCCATCGATGGCGCCGGTTGATATGCTCAAGCGACAGTTTCTTATTCCTCCATATCCTCATCATCCTCACTCTCATCCTTCTTCTTGGTCGCGCGCTTCTTCTTCGGCTTCGCATCCTTGATGGTTTTCCTCTGTACCTGATCGCCAACGCGCACACGCTCGGCTGCACCCTCGTCTTGGAGACGCGTACTGAGCGCCTTGAACTCGTCTGAGCTATTGTCCATGCCGACTAGGCTCTCAAGCAACTTGATCTCACGAGCATCGATACCCTTATCCTCTATCTTCTTGCCGTTCTCGTCGATGGTGTCGACAGGTGTTTCGAGAACCATGGGAAGGCCATAGAATCGCTCGTCGTTCATAAGGTTGTGAAATGCTTGAAGACCTAGGTATCCGGTTCCGATACGGGCGTGCATATCACGGTAACTTGCCAATGGGGCCTTGCTATCGTTAACGTGGAAGGCTTTGAGGTACTCTAGTCCAATCTCCTTGTCGAACTTTTGCATGGTCTCAGCGTAGGCTTCAGGTGAGCGCAAATCATAGCCAGCGGCGAAAACATGACAGGTGTCTAGACAAACACCTACACGGCTCTTGTCCTTGACAAGGTTGATGATAGCGGCGAGGTCGGAAAATGTGCCACCGATGGTATTACCGAGAGATGCCATCGTTTCAAGCACGGTAACGACTTTACCAGTCGCTGGATCCGCATGCGCTCGGTTGAGGTTCTCGGCAATGATCCGAATGCCCTCCTCGCGGGTAGTCGCATTTGCATTGCCAGGATGGAAGTTGTAGAGCCTGATGCCAAGCGCATGACAACGTGTCAGATCATCGAAGAACGAGTCGTAGGCCTGCTTCATGCGAACAGGATCGGGATGAGCAAGGTTGACCAGGTAAGAGCCATGGGGCAGACAGCACTCTGCAGCGTTGATGCTGTGGTCTTTACACCCTTGAATAAACAACTCTGCATGTTCGGGATCCATGGCAGAAGACTCCCATTTACGCTGGTTCTTCATGAACAGAGCGAAGGCGTTAGCCCTGTGAATGTTAGCGACAACTCGACACTGTAATAAAGTGAAGATCCAAGACATACCCGATGTATACCATGTTGACAATAGAATTGTGCACACCTAAACGACGATTGTCCGGTCCATGTTAGCCAATGATCTTTACCAACAGCAGATCATGGGTGGAATCATGACTAACCTCCGGCGATGCTGACGTGTGCACCGATCCGATGCTTGATGTCTTTGGTGCGCTCTGCACGGGGTGGTTGGATCTTTGCAGTCTTGGCTTTGGTCTTAGCCTTAGCCTTGGGCTTCGGCTTGTCTTCACGATCGCTATGTTCGTCCTTGGCCTTCGTCTTCTTGCCTCTGATGGTCTTCTTGACGGAGGTCTTGGTTGTGATCTTGCCATCTTGACCTGCATCAATTGCAATCTCGGCATCGACTTCGTCCTCCACCATATCGCCTTCCGTCATGGTCTTCTTCGTAGCGGCGCCCTTCTTGTTGAGTCTCACAACGACTTTTTTCGATTTTCCCTCGCCGTCACCACTCTCTTGAGCCACGACCTCGTCTTCAACATCTTCTGTAACCTTCACCTTCTTGATCGCGCGCCGCTTGGGTCGAGACGACAAACCAGCACCCTCAGCAGCATCCTCGGCGTTGACTTGCTGTGCTTCAGTCCTCCTTGTGCGCGGGGTCGTCTCAGCCTTTCTCTTCTTGCCGTTCGCTGCTGGCTGAGCTACAGTAGCGGTCTCGGTGGCTGACGCGATGTTGTCAGGAGGGGGTGAGAGCGACGATTCCGAGGACACAGTAGAGAATTCCTTTGCCATGATTTGCGTTGGCAGATGCTTGTTGGTGGTCCTGATGGAGGTAGCTGAGATAATTAAGGCGGCAGAAATAGTAAGAAGTGGAGTGAAGGAGGGACAGAGGTTATAGGACGAAAACCTTCTTGTATAGAGGGCAGGAGCACTAGGATATGCGTAACGGCGGTGAGGGTGAGAGGAGCGGGCTGATAGTAGGTGAGAGAAGACGTTTAAGGTGGCAGTCCTGATATCATTTCTTGACGATGGTGGGTCAGGTGAAGGTCGAAACAGAGAGCTTGGTTGTAGATTTAGGTATTCAGAGACACGTGTTGCGGTGCGGGAGTGAATGCGTTGCTGGTAAGGACTGCGAAGGTTGGAGGAGCTGGAAAAGGAGCGTGTCAGCAGTGGTGGGTATTTCAGGAGGGAGTGACTGTTTGCAATGGTTCCAAAAGAGCGGAAATGCGATGAACGAAAACAACCAGGGAGTGGATTCACGAAGTGTATTCTCATACAGAGATAGTAGAAAATGCGAAATGGTTGTGAAGATGCAATGAAGGTCGCCTCAACGTCATGAGAAGCAGACGCGCCACGCTAAGTCGCGCGCTCACATGTCTTAATCCCGCGATAAGTCCGCAACACCAAAAAATATCGTCCCCAGATCCAACAGCCCACGCCGACCCATCGCAAGCTCGCCCAATACTCGCAGCCACCAAAACTGCACCCCCAAATCCGTCGCAACGTCTCCAAGATCTCGCACGATCTTCCAGAACACACCAAATCCATAATCGACTACACCTAAGCCTCGACTACCTATACCACCCAAGATGCCCAAAGCAAAGCAAAAGCGCACAAAAGCCGTTGACAACAATGCCTCTCCCTACGCCCGTCCAACCTCAGCAAAAGCCTCTGCTGCGCACTCAATCTTCAAGATGGACAAAGACCTCGGCCAGCATATCCTCAAAAACCCTGGTGTCGCAACGGCCATTGTACAAAAAGCACACCTAAAGCAAAGCGACCACGTCCTCGAAGTCGGTCCCGGAACCGGCAACCTGACAGTTCTGATCCTCAAGGCCGCTAAACAAGTAACAGCCGTAGAAATGGATCCCCGTATGGCCGCTGAACTCACAAAGCGAGTCCAAGGCAGCCCAGAAGAAAAGCGGCTCACAATCCGCTTGGGCGATGTCATAAAAGCCGAACTACCACGTTTCGATGTCTGTATAAGCAACACGCCCTACCAAATTTCCTCACCTCTGGTCTTTAAGCTACTAGCCCTCCAACACCCGCCCCGCTGCTGCATACTCATGTTTCAGCGTGAATTCGCCATGCGCCTCTTCGCTCGGCCAGGAGAAAAACTCTATTCCAGACTTTCCGTAAATGTACAGATGTGGAGTAAAGTCAGCCACGTAATGAAAGTCGGACGTAACAACTTCAACCCCCCGCCGCAGGTAGAGAGCAACGTCGTGCGCATCGAGCCCAAGAACCCGCGACCACAAATCGCATATGAAGAGTGGGACGGCTTGCTACGTATCTGCTTTGTACGCAAGAACAGGACGCTGAGGGCGAGTTTCCTGGGAACGGCTGCTGTGTTGGAGTTGCTGAGCAGTAACTACCGTCTTTGGTGCGCGCAGAACGACATCGAGATTGATGATTCACCTGTCGATCCTTCTGAAGCAACTGCTGACGACAATGGGGATGCGGAAATGGACGTTGATGACGAATTCAAAGGCTTCTCCGACCCTGATGACCCAGACGACGAACTTCCAGACTTCTTCAAGCAACTCCAGGCTGAGAGTAAGAAGAGACAGAATGGCGTGAACAGGAAGAGAAAGGGCAGGCTGAGCGAGTTGGTTAGGGAGAAGGTGAGGAAGGTGCTCGAGGATGAGACACAGTTGGCGGATAAGCGGGCGAGGTTGTGTGATGAGGGCGACTTTTTGAAGTTGTTGTATGCGTTTAATCAGGAGGGCATACATTTCAGTTAAGACTGAGACGTAGAGCAAATAGGAAGAGATGGTGGAAGGGTGGGTGGGTGGTGCATTTCATGGCGTTTAGTGAAGATTGGGGTTTGCTTGCTGCATGACGGGCGTTGGGGTATACCAAAAAGCGTAGCATGAGGGGACAAGGGCGTTTTGACATATGATGGTTCACACAATACAAGGTGAAGAGGGGTACGTACTGGCAATCAAACGCTAGTTACTCGGGGTATCTAAAAGTAAACCACCTATCCAACCTCAACTTGTTGTCTTCGCCTTTCGTCTCTTTCATCAATGACTTGCTCAGTCCTCGGCGAAGGGATTAGGCGGAAGAGAATCGGCCCTATCCGTTTCCTCTTTAACCCCATTAACAACAGGCTCATGCCCCGCGCCATTCACCTTGTCCTCCCCCTCATCCGTCTTCACTGCACTGATCTCTTTCCTCTCCGTCGGTCTCCACAACCTAATCGTGCGATCCAACCCCGCACTAACAATCAGCTTCTCGGTGGGATGCGTATGCACAGAAAGCACCGCATCGGTGTGTCCTTCTAACCTCTGCAGCACATTCTTACTACCAACATCCCACAGCACAACCTGCCCCTCTTCATCTCCAGACGCAATAAATGCATATTCCTGCCCAGTCTCCGTCTCGCCATACGTGCCAAAGGCTCCGGAAAGCGAATATTGCTTGTTGACATGACCTTGATACGTCTTGACACATTTCCCCTTTCCTTCAATGTAGTTCCAGAGGCGGATGCATGAGTCTAGGGTCCAGGCCAAGATGTATTTCCCGTTTGGAGAGAAGATGACGGAGGAGACGGAGGCATTGTCTTCGTGGACGAGGGTGCGTAGACATTGGCCTGTTGCTGTGTCCCAGACGCGGATCAGGCCATCGTGGGAACACGAGACGATGAGAGTGCCGTCACGGACAAAATCTACACCGCCGACGGGGTCGGAGTGAGCGGGGAGAGAGCGCATTACTCGGGCGGCGCGCACATCCCAGAGGTAGACTGCCTCATCGTAGGAGCCGGAGACGAGCATGTTGCCTTTGGGGCTGAAGGCTATGCTGTAGACGTAGTTGTGGTGACCAATGAAAGGGGTTGGATGTGCTAGTCCGGTTGTTGTATCCCATAGCCGTATGCTCTTGTCGTCTGAGCCACTGGCCAGGATCTTGGAATCCAGAGACCAGCATATTGTGCTGATACCGGCGAGGTGGCCTTCAAGCGTGTGTTCGAGTGCTCCTGTCCTGGCGTCCCAAATCTTGATTGTGCAGTCGGCGGACGCAGAGGCGATGTAGCGGCCATCTGGGGAGAATTTGACGCAGGATATGGCTTTCTTGTGGCCGCGCAGGATGAGCGTAGGCGCATAGTGCAGGGAGGTAGGTTTCGAGCGCGAGGAAGTGTGGCGCCGCCGCGAGGAGGATGAGGAGCTTGAACGTCGTGACCGTGATGGCGAGGGTGAGTATGAAGGCCGCCTGTCTCTGTACTCGCGTTGCTCCTCTTCGCTGTCACCTCTGCTATACCGGCGCGCGGGTCGTTCCGCTATCCTGTAGCTTGGTGAGGCATTGGGCGGCTCATGGGAAGCGGAGCGTTTGCGCGGTCGTTCGTCATCGGAGCCGTCTTCATCGTCGCGTCTTCTTTTGGGTGGGGTTGACCGCGTAGAGTCCATGTTCAGTACTGAGTTGGTGGTTGGATGTTGCGTAGTGAATGGGGAAAACGCGACTGATCGGCAATAGGAAAGTTAGCGTGCAGGCGGTAACTGGCATCCCTGCAGCGTCTCAGGTACATTTTCCCCAGTTGCATCATAGCTCGTCGGTGTAACTCACGTCAACTCTCACAATGGCTTCACAACCCGCCTCACCACCTTCCAACATACGCATCTTGTCGCTCAATTGCTGGGGACTCAAGTTCATCTCCAAACTTCGCAATGAGCGTCTTACGGAAATCGGTGTCCAGATCGCCGCAGCCAATCCGCAGCCAGACATTGTAGGCCTCCAGGAGTGCTGGACACAGCAAGACTACCATGCCATTCGGGAAAAGACACGACATATACTGCCGTATGGGAAGTTCTATCACAGCGGATGCTTCGGTGGTGGTTTGGTCATTCTGTCACGATGGCCCATTGTCGAGAGCAATATGGTGCGGTATCCATTGAATGGACGGCCTGCTGCATTCTACCGCGGAGATTGGTTCGTTGGCAAGGGCGTTGCATGTGCGAGGATACAGATGGGTCCTTCGAAGAGGGACATCGCAGAAGTGTTTTGTACACATGTATGCCACTCTCTCATATACAATGCACACGTACTGATATCGGAAGCTTCACGCCCCTTACGAACGCGAACCACACGACTCCTACATCTGTCACCGAACAAGCCAAGCATGGGAGATCACAAAACTCATGCGCGCCGCGGCCGAACGCGGACACCTCGTCATCGGCATGGGCGACTTCAACATGATTCCCCTATCCCTCGCACACCGTATCATAGAAACGCATTCGCCTGTCCAAGACGTGTGGCGTATACTCCATCCCGAATCCTCCATCGGCGCAGCCAAAGACAAAGTTGAGCAGTTACGCGGCGTGCCAATGCCATCGGCACAGTACAACATGACTGTCAATGGTGCAACATGCGATAGTGAGCTGAACTCTTGGAGGTGGAACAAAGGACAGCAGAGGCGTCTCACCAAAGGCGAGAATGTGCAGATAGACCCTGCCGTCCCAGATCCAAACGCGAAACGACTTGACTACGTCTTCTTCAGCAGCGGCCGATACCACAACCCGGAAACAAAAGAGGAGAAAGCTGAGTGGACGCTTAGAGAAGCAAACGTGGGTATGGCCATGCGTCATCCCACGCTACACTGTTCCCTGAGTGACCATTTCTCGGTCGAAGCGACATTGACAAGGACCACTACTGCGCCATCAGCCATACAACTATCCCCGTGGGCATTGCCTGAACGCTATCTGCCAATCGAGGTCTACGACGAGATCATGGCAATGATACTCAAGTATCAAGTCCGAGAAAGGATACAGCGCAAGCTGCGCATAGGCCACTTCTTCTACCAGCTCTCCTTCTCGGTTGGCTGTCTAATAGGTGTCTGGTGGTCGCCGAAAAACTACGTTTCCTTCATACTGATGTTGCTGAGCACACTGGGATTCAGTGTGGGTGTAATCGATGGACTAATGGGGTTGTTGTTTGTTGGTAGCGAGATGAGGGCACTGAAGGAATTCGAGTGGGAGGTCCGAAATACCAGAGAGCAGGCGCTCGCAAAGGCCGAGGCTGCGAAAACGGGTTCTGAGAGTAGTCAGATACCTTTTGCATCGGAAGAATAGGTCTAGTTAGACATTGAACGTAATTGGGACATGTTACAATTATCCTTTGTGGGCTCTACAGTTGTGTTGTGAGGCAGGACGCGTGCACGTGCGGTACAAACGCGCGACCTGGTAGTGGTCGAGTGCTTGGCCTTCCATTGACCATTACTCCAAACCTCATCACTCCCCAACATCTCACATCACACACCAAATCTCCATCTCCGCCCACACAATTTCTAATCGCAGCAACTACGCGACACAACCACTACGTCTTCCCATACCAAAGCTCGTATACGACTCAACCTCCCTCCAACGTGCGGCTCGGAAGTCCGCTGCCCTCGATATGAGCGATTCCCAGCCCCAGCAAGCCAGCGGCGGCCAGCAAGGTCAACAGCTGCTACGGCCCGATGATATACTTAAGCTGCAATGTCTCCCAGAAGACGAGAAGCAGAAGTATCGCTTAATCATGCAGAACTTCTGGACCATCTTCAATAACAACCCGCAAGGCAGTCAGGAAAATACCAACGCGCGTCAGAAGCTAACGGAATGGTCGCAAAAGTTCATCGGACGCGAACGCCAATACCGCGCCAAGATGAAGGCACAGCAGCAACAGGGAAATCAACCCCAAGGACAAGCTGGACAGTCTAGTGCAGCCGGCCAGCAGAACGCTAACGCTGTCAAGCAAGAAGGGGGTCAAGCTCAAGCCCAAGGCGTCAGCGCGCCAGCCAACCCGCAACCCCAAGGACAGCAGTCATCCAACCAAGCCCAGAACCCAGGGCGCGGCCAAGTTGATCCTGCTATCGTTAAGCATGTCCACGACTTCCCTATGCAGGGACCAACGAATGGACCTACGCCGGGCACACCCGAGTACGAGAATAAATTGAAGGAGTACCGGACTGGTTATCTGAACATGCTTGCCAAACAAGCTACCTTGACCGAGCAAAGACGGAGGATTATCCAAGAATTGACTGAACGGCAGAACAACGGGCAGGAACTACCTCAGGAGCGGCTCATGATGAAGAACAACATCGAGAAGGAAGCTGCCAAGATCAAGGCTCAGATTGATAAGTTCAGGGCCATGCAAAAGCAGTGGAAGGAGGAGCGCGAGCAAAACTCCCAAGGCCAGGCACAACCTCAAGGTCAGAACCCAGCGCAATCGCCCCCTCAGCAACAACAACAACAGCAGCAGCAGCAGCCACAACCGCTTCAGCGCCAGCCTTCACTGCCTAACATGCCTGCGCAACCTCAGGTGAAAGAGGAGCCGCAGATCAAGATTGAGGGCGGACAGGCACCACAACCACAACCACAAACTCAACCCCAACCTCAACCACAGTTCAATATGCAGACAGGCCAGGCAAATCACCAGCAGGGACCACCACAGCAGCACAATCAACAACACAATCAGCAGCTTCCGCCTTCACTTCCGCAACAGCAACAAATGCAACAACAGCAGCAAGCTCGACCTCCACCAGCGCCTCACTCGCAGACGATGCCACCAAACCAGATGCCGCAGTTTGCGCAACAAGGACAGCAGCAACAGAACTTCCACCAACAGCAGCAGCAACAACAGCAGCGACCTCAAATCAACCCCATGCAAGCGAATACGCACCAGCAGAGCAACTCACCACACCCACAATCAGCCGCATCGAACGCGCCTGGTCCGCCAGTCCCTCTCTCACACCAAGCCGCAGTCAGTGCCGCGAACCGATCCTACACTGATCCCCAACGCACAAATACCCCGATGCAGCAAGGCGGACAGGGCGGCAACTTTGGAAGCCGCGAGCGCGAGCAGCTGAACAACCCAAAGATGCCTATCCCACGCCATCTGAACGTGACTTCACCACAAGCCGTCCATATGGGACAAGCTCGACCTACCATGAGCGGTCCTACAAATGGCGCGCCCGGTCCAATGGGTCAGCCTGTCATCCCACGACCACCCCCATTCCAGCTCGAAGGTGAGGGCGACCGGGTACTCAGCAAGCGCAAATTGGACGAGCTCGTTCGGCAGGTAACAGGCGGATCAGAGGAGGCGTTGACACCAGAGGTTGAAGAGGTAAGATATTTCCAACTTCCTTTCTTGCACATAAACATCTCTAACCAGTCGATTTCATACAGGCTGTCCTTCAACTCGCCGATGACTTCGTCGACAACGTCATCAGCAACGCCTGCAAACTCTCCAAGCTCCGCGATTCACCCCAGCTCGACATCCGCGACATTCAAGTCATACTCGAGCGCAACTACAACATTCGCATTCCCGGCTACGCATCTGATGAAGTGCGGACAGTGCGCAAGATTGTTCCTGCACAGGGTTGGGCGAACAAAATGAGTGCTGTCAATGCTGCGAAGGTCATGGGCGGAAAAGCGGACTTTTAGTCTGGAGAAAGAACGTCATATCGTGGAAGACGAAGCCTTCGAGCTGAAACTCGGGACTTTACTGCTTCGAGAAATACAACCCAGTTCCACTAGTGCTACTCGCGCTTCTTCGTCTTCGGAACAATATCCTCGTCATGATCGTAATCATCCTCACACGACGAGAGGCTTTCGTCAACCCGGAAACCAATCCCGTCGCCGAAACCATCACTACATTACCGCCTATTCCAAAACTCTATTTGCATATTCCAAGACTACAGTCACCTGTTCAAAGAATTCCAGTCGCCCATTCCAAAAACCCAACCTAATTTCCCTAGTATGACTCGCACTTCCTCTTCTTCTTCGCCGTCATTAGTGAGGATGTGTGTACCTTGCACAGAGAGTGGCAACAGCAATTGTAATGACGGAACTGTCTGCACACCCTGTATTGCAATCAGAGACAAGACTGTATGTGTCTATGATACTACAAGCATGGGCCGCAGAAGAAATACAAGGTCTCTTCCCTGTATCCCCTGTCGGCGTCGACATATTCTTTGTGATGAGAATAGGCCTTGTGAGTATTGTGTCAGGGTCCCTGAAAGGTGGAGTAAGCATAGATGTTACTACAAGAAACGATTAGTGTGCAAGGAATACAATTTTAGAGTTCATCAAGCAGTAATCGTATGAATTGTTGTATAGGGCTTTACCGTAGTTTCGTGCAAGTCACCATATTGGAATTATATGTTAATTGTGATAATGTGTTGAGGCATTTCACGATTCACTTAGCGGAAGCACTGTACGCAGAAAAGAAAAGAGAAGAAAAGAAAAAAACGAAAGATATGCCTCAATTCATGCTGTACACTCTATACTCATTCACATCGTGCACCAAAACGCCCATTAATGCTGCTAAGCCGACTTTTAGTCCAATATCATAAACCAAAAGTACGCCGATGAAAATGCGCAAAACACGTTTCAATGACCTTGATCTAGACCCGTCAACTCTTGCCAACTCTTCATGGCCCGACGTTGAACTTGAGTCTGACACCCATGCTGGCCAACTCAATATCAAGGAACTTGAGCACACCAGGGACCGCGACCACGGCAACGTCTTCGCCGCCAGAGTATCGCAGACCCTGTGCATCCATCCACAGATCGGCCTTGCTGCTGTTGTTGTCGGCCAACACGGCACACCTCCTGCAGCGGATCGTAATGTCCTTGCCGCTCCTGTCCTTTTTGCGGCCGTACTCGTTGACGGTAGGAGTTGTGCTGAGGAAAGAGCCGCAGGTACGGCAGATGGCTGCTTTGGTGTAATCGGAGCAGTTCATCAAGCGGTCTTGAAGAAGGAAGGCTGTGCCGTGGGCAAGTAGAGAATCGCGTTCCATCTCTCCGACACGGATACCACCTCCCTTGCTTCTTCCCTTGATGGGCTGTCCTGTCGTGGATACCACGGGACCAGTAGTTCTGGCTTGGAACTTGTCGTTGACCACTGCGTAATTGTTAGTGGCAGTCTGAATTATAACCAGAAGAAGAACTTACTGTGTCGTAGACGTTGGTAGTAAACGACGCCAATGTAGATGTCTGCGTGCAATTCCTGTCCAGTGATACCCGAGTACATAGGCTCGTTGCCGTAGTAATTGTAACCCGCTTTCGATAGCTGATGACCGAAGTAGTCGACAGCCGTGTTCTGCTCATCAAAGCGGAAGGGCGTCGAATCCTGTGCCATGCCGTGAAGCGCTCCAGACTTTCCAGCTAGCGACTCGACGAACATGCCGATTGTCATTCGCGAGGGGAAAGCGTGAGGGTTGATAATGACGTCGGGCTGCATACCACTTTCGGAGAATGGCATGTCTGGCGTGGGGAATTTTTGACTGACGACACCCTTCTGTCCATGTCTGGACGAGAACTTGTCACCAACAACAGGAGATCGAGGAATGCGTAGTTTGATACTGAGTTTCTGGCAAGGCTGTGCTCCATCCTCGGCGCCGATGATGCGGACTTCTTCGACGAAAGCGAGTTCATCGTCCTTGTATTTGAAGTACTGTGTCTGACCGTCTCGGTTGACGTAGTCGCCGGTAGCCGGGTCATACGAAACGGTGTGCCATGCAGCAATGACATCGCCAGATCGCAGCATCGTTCCAATACGAGGGAGACCATCTTCATCAAGAGTTTCCTTGGATGCGGCCTTGACTAAACCCTCAGGAGCAAAGCCGAACAGCTTGGTCACTGTCCTGCTTGATCGATTCCTTCGGCTACCTTCCTCGAGGTCGCAGATCTTTGTCTTGTAGACAGTTCCGTGGCCGAAGCCGCGCTCGTGTGATGACTTGTTCAAGATCATAGCGTCGTCCATGTCGTATCCAGTGTAGGAGATGACAGCTACAACGGCGTTCATTCCGTTCGGGAAGTTGTCCATACCGTACTCGTTGTGCAATGGAGGCCGGGCGATCGGGGTTTGGCCGGTCTGTAGGCGGTAGGTTTTGTTGTCGGTTCGGTATGCAGTAGCAGTTCCTGGTGTACCCATCGATTGTTTACCCATTTGGCACTGTAATTGAGAAGATTCAAAGTCAGTACATGTCTCACATGCATTTCGTACAGTCACAACTTACCTGGTACATATTACGCGGCGACTGGTTGAAATCCGAGAAGGGTGTTTGATTGGCAATGATGCTGAAGATGTTCGTGGGCTCAATCTCGACATGCGTCGAATCACCAGATACAATCTCGGCATCTGTGCATGCAATCGACATGTATGGTTGTTCGAACGGTCCCACGTAGTCTGTCTTGCCGAGAGGCAGGTACTTGACAGGTCTGTACATTCGCGAACTTTGCGAGAACATGTAGACACCTGGGTACTGACCTCCGTTAGATCCGGGGATGTAGCCAATCTCCATCTCCAATGGCACGTTATGCGAGCCTTCGACCTTCCAGTAACGAAGCGTATCCGCGATGACCTTGGCTTGCTTGGGCGAGCAGAATCCCAGGACCCGACCATCCAGTTGCACGACCACACTCGCTTCTAGAGAGGCGGATGATTTGCTCGATACACCCAGTTGTGCAACAAGATTGGGAATTGCCGAGACATCGAGGTTGGAAGTTGCTAACTTGCACTTGTGCGCGAAGTGGTTGAGAAGTCCGCAGGGACTACCGTCAGGAGTATGCACAGGGCACATGAATCCCCACGACTCAGGAAGCAGCTTTCGGACAGTTGTTGTCTTGAGCTGAGCGAAGAAGGCACCTCTATGTACCATTCGGAAATGTGAGATGAATCGAGGGAAATTCAATTTCTCGGCAACCACGACGTATCCAGATGTTTGCTGCAAGTCGAGACCTGTCGGACTGATAAGGTTGCCCGTACTGAGGAAATACTCCATAGCTTGACCGAGATTAGATTGTGTCCGTCGAAGAATCCTAGAGTTCCAATCCTTTGTGAATTCTTGAGACGTGAAGGGCTTGTATTCTGTCTTCCTGCACCACTCCCTCAGGACGAGCTGGAAGCTGTTTAGCCACTCCTCCAACTTCTCCTTCAAGATCATGCCGTAGAGCTGTCCACCTAGTAGGATTTCCTGGTTCTGGACCGCATCCGGGTTGTCGACAGCGCAATCGCCTTCGACCAAAGCGTAGAGCTTCCTAGCCATGAATAACAGCATCCTGAACTTGTCGGCGTCCTGGCTCGGTGTAACATTTACGCAGCCTAGATGGGGTAGAACGATCTTGCGAAGGAATTCAGTACCAGCCTCCTCGTCGGTGACGTCGGCGGGCAGACCAAGTACAACCTTGAACTTTCCACCAAGATAGGCGCGAGTCTTGGCTTTTGTGTGCAACCCGTAGACCTTGTATGTACGGAGTAGCAGCTCTACTCGGTCGGTAACGAATTGCTTCTCTTCAAGACCTTCTGAGCCAGCTGCACCAACCAGACCCTCGAAAATCTCGCGATCGTTGGTCTCGACCAAAGCCTTCATCACCATGACGATGGGGACCAGGTATTCCGCCTTGCGCCATGAGAAACGGAAGTTTACGTTGCCGTCGCTGAGGTAGTGCAGGGCATTGGTTTGCGAAGTTTGGTCGGGTCGCATCGATCTGAGCTGGATACCGAACTGGGTGTAACCGGGACCACGATTGGTGAAGGCGCCACGCTTGATGGCCATGGGGTAGTTGCGACGATTGACCTGGAGGAGACGGATAATCTTCTCAATGCCGTTGACGATGAAGTAGCCACCTAGCTCGTCGGACTCTTCTTTCGCCTTTACTAATGCCGCTGGCGACATGCCTTCGAGCTGGCAGCGGTTTGATCTCAGCATGACGGGTACACCGCCGAGATCAACGACGTCCTCCTGCCAATCTCCGTTGTTGACCCTCCACTCGAGTCGTGCGCGCATCTTGCCGCGGTAGGAAGCATGTCGTTCTCGGGCCTCGGCGGGATAAATGTTTCGGTTCTTGAGCGCAACCTTGTTGGTCGGCGGCAGGACTGGCTTGTCGAGGAAGACATCTTGGATGCGCAACGAGAGACGATTTCTCTGGCCTGCGTCTTCAGGTGCTGCGTATGGGTCGCCGTCGAGGAAGATCTTGGTGCCAATGTCTCGTATGCCCTGGGCTAGTTGACCGCCGGGAGTGAAGATGGTGTTGAACGAGTTGATGTGGGGGTCTACGGCGGCAGCGAGCATGGGATATGCCGTCTTGTCCGTTGGGGGGTTGCGGAACAGGTCATGCCGCCTGAGGGTATCAAACTGGAGTAGCTATTAGACGTGGTATGAATATGTCAGAAAAGTAGTCTCTTGCCTTGGTCGACCATTCCTGAGGGCTGTCGGCCCTTGCGGCAGGCGCCATGATTTCCTGGGCTATGTTTGCACTTTGAATCGGGAACAAAAAGCGCTACTTGCAACGGTATGCGCTGTATTATCCCAGCGTATTTGGGTTGTCGCGTTGGCAAGCTGCAGCGCGATTGTGAAGATGCGACGCCAATCTCGAACTTTTTTACTAGACTAGTCCGATAGGCCACCCCTGCCTAGCGCGTTGGCCAAAGTCACACGCCGCGGCGGCTCCATCACTGTGCTGCAGCGTGAACCACTCCGGGCTTTCGTTAGGGCGGCACAGCTCTGCTTCTCTACTTCCTCACAGCATTGCCTGCGCTCTTTGCATCCGCTTACAACTCTGGACAAGTCGTCCATTTGCCTGTTGTTGCTGCTAAGACTACGGCGATCACGCCTACTACATGCCCCGCAGCAAGGATCAAGGTTCCCAGACTTCCCTCCATCGCCCGTACATCACCACTCCTCCCGACCAGACCACTCCAGCACCGAGTCAGAACTCGCCCTGATAACCGCCATGGCGAACCTGTTCCGTCGCATCTATGACTGGCTGCTCCGCCTGTTCTGGTATGCCTACCTGTCCTTTTCTACTTGATCAACTCTGCACGCGTCGATGCCTGATGCGCTATTTGATACTCCGCCAACTGCTCAGCTTCCGTCCACACAAAAAAGCAAAGTCACGGGCGACGATAACATGAGTCGGCTGATGACCACTGACACCATTCAGGGCGACTGAGATGGACATCACCATGATCGGGTTGCAAAACGCTGGCAAGACTTCGCTGTTGAGAGTTCTGGCGGTGAGTCTCTTCCTGATGCGGAAAGCCCCCCCTGTGTCGACATCATCAATTGTGATGAATGCGAGCTGACCCATCGTCGTATAGGGAGGAGAGTTTACTGTCGAGTAGGTCTACATCCGTCCCGAGTTGCGCAAGCCGGCGGTGACGTTGTTTCATCCGTATCCCGAAGCTACTGCTTTGCGCAACCATGAGCGCCACCGTAGCTGGGCCATGCGCTGACTGGTCCTAGCTCCATCCCGACTGTTGGCTTCAATATGAAGCGCGTCCAGAAAGGTCATGTAACCTTGAAGTGGTGAGTGCTTCCCGTGTCTCCCTGGTCACGCATGTCCGGCTCTTGCAGCGCCAAGCCCAGCCTTGCGGGGTGCAGGACAATCTACTAGTCGGGAGGCGCATCTGCTGACCAGCGGCAACAGTTGGGATCTCGGAGGCCAACCTAGGTTTCGTTCCATGTGGGAGCGGTACTGCCGCGGTGTGAATGCCATTGTGTACGTCTCTTCTGCATGTGATAGCATCCTGTCGCTCATCGTAATAGGTTCATCGTCGACTCGGCTGATAAGGAGGCTCTGCCGGTCGCTGGCGAAGAGCTGAAGCTCCTGTTAGAGAAGCCCGCTCTAGAAGGCATTCCTCTTCTTGTCCTGGGCAACAAGTCCGACTTGCCCAACAAGCTCTCGGTAGATGAGCTGATCGAAGCGCTTGACTTGAAGTCAGTGTCGCACCGAGAGGTGAGCTGCTACGGCATCAGCGCAAAGGAGGAGACCAACCTCGACGCTGTTCTCCAGTGGTTGATTGCGCGAGCCAGCAAGTGAGGTATTATGTTGTTCGTATTCCACCGACGTAACGTGACCGCGTTGGTCAGGTGCCGTTCGCAACGCATTCGACTGGGTTTGGTGTTTTCGCAACTTCACGATGACGACGTGCCTACGTTCTCATGAATTACGGTCGTCAGCTTTACATGACATCTTTAATGATTCTTACGACTTGATGGAAGAAAAGACGGGCAGATCGCTCTGCAGGCTAGCGATGGCCATTCCAGTTCCCCAGCTCGACACATTTACTTCTTTCATATCATTATGACGGCGACTGCTCCTTCCTCATCATGTACTGTCCTCTTTGTTTCCTATTCCAGCGAACATGTAGCGGCTAAGAAAAGGCGGAAGATTTTGCTCCAGGTATGAATGACATGTACGGTTGTGCATGCTTCGTCTCTTGTTCGACTCCATACGGAGTGACCTGAGTTTACAGCGATATAATGATATCTTCATCTCTGTCGTGTGTCGACCGTCGGCTAGTGCTGTCCTGACCCTCGTGACTCTTGTGTGCCTGGTCTGCAGATGCGCGACATTCGGCTTCGTACTGACAAGTTGTCCGGATGGGTGTTTGTCGAGGATTGCAGTGCAATTGCATGCGCAGGCGCTCGTCGTGACTCTTTCTCAAGCGGGCCTCCTCGCGTTCTGGTGCGCAAATTCCCGTGTTGCACATGGCTCAATGACTCCAGTACTTTGTAGCGCCGCGGAAGCAGCAATTTGCGCCAAACATTGCAACAAAAACGAACAACGCCACCAGGCAAGAGGGGTGAAAGAGGACAGAATCAATGCACGAGAGGAAAGCAAACAACTATTGTTTCGCATAACTCACACCCGCTCGCAGGAAAACGGGGTGGGACCTAAGCAAAATCCATGCCATCAACAATTGAACAACTCATCCTGCATTAGCGCCTCCCAGGAAATCTTGAGCAGAGGCTATATGATTGGTCGAATCGTGTTTGAGCAATGCGAGCCCCTGTCTCTTGTTTGCGAGGAATGGGATGCTTGGATGGGCAGCCGACGAGCTGGAGGGGGAAGACGGGGAAGTGGGTAGATATTCGCGATGGCGATGGGGAGAGATGGGTTGAGGGTTTGTGGCGTGGGTGGGTTTGGATGGGTGTGGCGCGGTGAGAGTATGGGGTGGGGTGCATGTAGGCGGATGTAGATGTACACAAGGGAGGGTATGGTACGTCAGTCGTTCGAATATCGCTCTACGAATGATTACATGTTAAAGCACCTTGCAGGATTCCTGTGGTCGTTGGTGTTTTCTTCTGCACTCGAAAGACTTGCGCGACAGCCATGCCCATCGCCAGATTTGCAACTTGGGACCTTTCTAACCAAGACAGCCTTGGTCCCACAAAGAACACCCGACAAAGTATCATGAGCCACGTGTGGTGTGACCATCTCACGCCGTCGGCAGCCAAGTGAACACGCAACGCAAAACCTCATGCGCACCGCTGACACGATCCAACGCGGATGTCTCGCAACTGAGACGTTGAGGTACGTACAGTTAGCCTAGACTAAGCATACATTACGAAAGCACCAGGCGCAGCAACTTCAAGGGTTCCCCAAGAGACATAGTCCAACGACCGAGTCCCTCCGGTCATCCTCATCGAGGCCGGCCAGATGAGCAGCATGGCACATTCTTTCGCCACACAATCCCCCTCCAGTCTTCGAGAATAGGCTAGGAACAACGTTGCCCCATCTTCTATCGTAACTGCGCCTCCGCAGCTGGCAGGAACAATCAGCAGTTCGAAAAAGCCCTTCCCGCCAACCAATAACGTAGCAGTAAGCATAGTAATCGTCACCGAACTTCCCTCGCCATCTCCGCTTTACCCGTTTGGAGCGGGCGCGCCGGCATTGCAGAACTAGGGCCTAGGGCCATCTTGGCTTGTGGCTGAGCACCGGGAGACACATCTTTCCCCTCTCGAGCGTATATCGTCATAAGAGCAGTTCGGGAACCCTGCTCTTCAGATTCTCTCTATTCTACTCTTCATCGTAGCTCTTGGTCTCTCTTACTCACCTTCAGCTCAAATTCCTACTGGCAATACATATATATCCTTTGCCCTAACAAAGCAACAATTAATTTACGCTTACGACGATGCATCTACAAAGTAGACAAGTATACTATGGACCTGATTACGGCGACGAGTAAGTTGTGCGCGATTCATCGTCATTCTTCCTACCCCATCGTTTGTTGCAAGTGGCGGTGCCAACAATTTAGTTGCGCATCACAAGCGGCGCAGTAGCACTATTATTCTGGGGAAAGCGAGCTTGGTGGATCAACGGATCGGCTTGGTCCTGGCTGGTGTGTCTGCGACAGACGACGTCACAACGTCGTTGCGCCCAGCCTGCCGCCGCATATCACGGCAACTTCACTATCGATGCGTGCCCTACAACAATACGTCGTTTCCTCTCTTTCTCTCTTGTCTTCGTCATACAACGTTTGCTACCAACATTTTGCGCTTTTCTCCTCCACACTTGCGCATCTCGATTAATCAATATTCGCGACACCACATACAAACATCGGATTCTAATACGCAATGGCCTATAGGACTTGCTATAGCAACGGACGCGCCTACCGCTGCAGGAGCTCAGCATGGAATAACTGGGTACGCTGGGTTGTCCTGGTAGTAGTCGTCTTGGGCTTCTTACTCCTCTTCGTACTATGCTCGTAAGTCCTCTCTCTCTCTCTCCATCCATCTAACTTGCCTGCCCACCCAAGACACATTCTAACCCTCAATCTTTAGTTGCCTAACAGCCCGCCGCCGCCGCAAAGCCGGTCGCCAACCCTTCTACGGCACAGGCTGGGCAGCGCGTCCCGGCGCCTACAACAACAATCAAACCGCCGCACCCTACTACAATAACCAACAACAACCCGCCCCACCATACTCCGCTGCCACAAACAACAACAACAACGGATACTACGGTGGCGGAGGCGCCAACCAAGGTTACTACGGCCAGCAGAACGGCGTTGAGCTCCAGAGTCCCCAGCCTACATACGGTGGAGGGTATGCGCCGCCGCCTGGTCCACCACCCCACAAGGGTTGATGCGTTTGTATGGTAGATACCAAGGGGACGGAAATCGAACGATAGTTTCGTCATCAAGCTGTTATGATGGCGCGAAAGGAGATGCGTTCGATGGGCGTTTTGGACTTTGGAATCTTGCTGGATTTATGGAATGGTACCGACTAGGAGACTTTTCTCTTAGTGGACTGCGCGCGCTCGATACCTCTTATGCTGCAATGCCTTTCTCTTGTACATCTTCTCCAAGGTGTAGTGTACAATCTCAAGTAATGCTAGAATTTTAAACATGAACATATACATCTGTTAAGACTTCCATTCCAGGCTGTGAGAGTTTGTTTACGTGGAGAAACAACACCCAGTCAATTGAACAGTGCATCTCGTTATGACATTTTGATCTCTCTGTTCTCAAAGTCTAAAGCTGCATATATTCCATCAATTCACGTTACCAGCCACCCTCCCATTTTCAGTAGTCCGTTCAACTGGCAACACCAGATGTCGTAAAAGAGCATAACACGCTAAGCATACACCTCCAAACGATCCAGCAATGCTACCCTCAAGCTCCCCTCCCAAATATCTCTTCCTTCAATCCCTAGCCCACCAACCTCAGACCACTAGCCGGCGCACCAATCTGAGTGATGCCATCGATCCTGCACACAGTACCCTTGTACCTTGCGTGGTACTTGGCACCGCTATACGGACTGGTAACAGATGGCATACCACTGTAGATAGGTGTGAAGCTAGCAGCGCAGATGTCAAAGTCGGCAAATTGGTCAAAGTCAATCTCGATGACGTCGCTGGGGTTCCTTTCGGCAACAGTCTTGACACGCTTAGCCGCCTCCTTCATCTTTGCGTTGCCGGTGCGGTCGAGCAATGCATTGGCAAAGTTTAGTGCCGTGTTGAGCTGCTTGTTCTTGTGAGCAAAGTTCATAGCTGCCGAAAGCGGGATCGAATTGTGAGGACCCTCGAGCTCGGGGATGGTGAAATAGGCGGAGAGTTCGAGAGCGCGTTTCTTGTCGGCGTCAGATAGGGCTGAGATGTCGGTAGCGCCGTTCAGAAGTTTACGGCGTTCCAGCTCGATGGACATGGCAAGTATGTATTGCGTGGCCGTATTAATTGCCTTCTTAGCCTAGAAAATGTTAATGTACGACGTCTAGGTGGGCAATGGGGAAACTTACATCGGATAACTCTGCCTGCGATGAGACGACGTTAACCATGATAAGCTGTAGTAGCTTCCTGAAAGCCACAACGCCCTCCTCCAACTTGTTCTTTTGTAAAGCCTGCTTGCCTGCGGTCAGGTCGGTCGATAATATCGACTCCAGATCACGCGGGATGATGGGCAAGATCTTGCGCGAATCTGTTTCGTCCACCGTTCTCCGTACATAGTTGACGAGCGAGGGCATATTTGGCGTGGCTGGCAAGAATGTTCGTGTCGCTTGGTAGATCTCCTGGAAGCGCTCCTCGAGAGGGGCGAAGTTGACAGCACCGACCTGCCGATTCAGTAACTGCATAGCGGTATCGAAGGAACCAGCGGCAATGTGGTCCGCTGCCAAAGGCGAGTTGCGTGCCCAGAAGTCTGCTTCGCTGCTTCCAGCACCGGCTTCAGCACCCTCAACTTCGACAAAGTCATCTTCAGCCTCAACGTCGCCATCGTCACCCATGTCCCACCCACCAACATCGTCGTCTTCGTCACCTCCAAGGTCAGCCACAGCACTGGTAGGCTCAGCATCGCCCAGAAGATCTTCGTCACCGAAGCCGTTCGCTGTTGGCTCGTCGGATCCAGTGCCCTCGACCTCGCCCTGAAGAGCCCTCTCGAACACAGTCGAAGAAGCTGCACGCGTTGGCCAGTTTGTCTTGTGCGTAGGTACAATGGGCTTGGGGGGCGCAAGAGGAGCACCTATCGAAGGAAGGTTGATTTGCTCTTCCGAAACCCCAGCGGCTTCCAGTATCGACTGTGCTTGTTCGTCAAGGCCTTGGGCTTTGGCAGTGGCGTACGCAAGGGGATATAGATCAAGCTCTTGGAACATTTCTATCCGGTTCTGAACGTCTCCCAAGTAGAGGGCATTCTGGAATCGTGCCGTCATGTCACCACGGTGCTCCGCGATCTTAGCCATACGCTTCAACTTGTCCTGGTCTCCAGTGGTGAGGTATAGGAAGGATAGCTTGTCAAAGTTTCGCAGCTTTTGGTAGGTCATCTCCACAGTCTGGTGATTACCATGTGCTAGAGCTTCGGTGCTCAACCGCTGCCAGAGCTTTGGTCGGTCAAGCTGCTTGGCCATCTCAACTGCGACCTCTAGGTTACCGCATTCGATAGCGAGCTCGAACCGTGTCTGAGGATCTTGCACGAACTGAAGAGCAATCTCGGGGTAACCCTTCTTCTGCAGGTAGGAGATGATGCTCTGTCCGACCAAACTTGAAGTCTTGATGATGTTGAGCATCTCATCGTAGTTGCGCTTGACCAGGGCGAGCTTGAATCGATACTCCGTTGGATCAATCTGAAGAATCTTGGGTTTCGCAGCACGATCCAGACAGTATACGTTGCGGCCCTTTACCCTCACTAGGTACACGGTTTGCTCCAACGTGCGTACAATCCCGTTGTCGCCGTTCATCAAACTGTATTTGATGTGGTTTAGCGTAGAGTAGAGAAGGACGCCGGTGTCGTCGAAGATTGCACTCTTGATTCGGATAGTCTCGTGCAGAGTGCTGACTTGGTCCAAATTCTTTGTCGCAATGGTAACGTTGTGTTTGCTCAGCAATGCGACGTGCAGTCCATCAGACGACCATACGACGTACTTGACGCCATTGACAGAGAGCTCAGCAAGGTTCTTCTTGGCCTGAATGTCGTATAGTACTACCGAGGTAGGGGTGATCAAGAGTAGATTGCCAGTGCCACCAAAGTAGATATCAGTGGTTCCGTGCGGGGGCTTAATGGTCTTGGTAGTCGAGTTGCTGAGGTCCTTGATGTCAATCTGTTGGTTCGACTGGTTGAAGACGGCAAATCGATTCCTAGCCACGAACACAGCGGAGTTACCGGAGCCGCGCTTGGTGTCCGTCGGTTCCACTGCTCCTGAAGCGTCGCGCGGGAGGCTGATCAGCTCGTAGGTTCCGCTATCGGCTGGTGACGTGACCAAGATCGAGCGTTCGGCAGGGTTGTAAGATAGTGTCCGTGGCGGTACCCAAGCGCTTCCTAGCTTCTTGAGAGACAGCATCGATGGGGACTCGATGTTCTTCTGGAAGTCATAAGACCGCACATGCTTCTCCTTGGTAATGTAGAAAAGATTGTTCTGGTAGACAGCGGATGCGGGTCGCTCGCGTTCCAGCTTGAACACCATGACACCGTTGTCATGACCGGCAGCGAACAGGTTGATCTCGGGATGCGCTGCGATAACCCAGAAGCGGTCGTTCTCCCGCTTGAAAGACTGAACCGATGTTCGCCTGTTGAGATCCCATACACGAATCGTCTTATCCTCTCCAACAGACAGTATCAAATCTTGATGCGGGTGGAACAGACACGCAGACGCGTTCTGGAAGTGTCCTCGGCAGGTATCAACTTCCCATGCCTTCGTCTCTGACATCCTCCACAGCTTCACGAGGCGATCGTCACCAGCGGAAACGATCAAGGGTAGTGTAGGGTGGAATGCGACCCAGTTCACACCTCGGTCGTGACCTTCGAGAACAAACTTGACAACCGCATCCGTGTTGCCAAACATGTCCGCCTGATTCTGGTTTGCGCGTGCCATCTGATCCTCAAAGGACATGGCCTGGGGTGCAGAATGCTTCTTTCTCAGCCCAGAGATGTCCCAGACACGAACCGACTGATCGAGCGAGGCGGAAACGATGAGGTCCTCTTTCGGGTGGAATTGCGCGCACATGGTGTAATGGTTGTGACCCGTCATAGTACATACTTGGGAGAGTTAGGTGTGTTTCCGCGAGGGGTTGCGATGGGACTTACTCAATGAACCTGTGGGTATTAGCATCGTTCCAAGTGAGCAGTGAAGAGTAGTACTTACGGTTCTGCCAATTCCATATACGAATGGTCTCTGTTTCGTGTTAGCCATTGTACTGCTGACCCACGGTATGCGCTTACGGTCGTCGGAGCTGCTCACTATCCACGGAAGCTCGTGGTGGAAGAAGACGGTCCGGACATAGTCCAAGTGGCCGTTCAATGTGAAGAGACATCGCCGAGTCTGGTATGACCAGACCTTGATCTTGTAGTCGTCACCGCCAGATACAAATCTGCCCAGTCTTAGTATGTTGCCGACCCTCGCCAAATTGTCTCAGAAATGCTCACAATGGCTGTGTCTTGTGGAAGTCAACGCCGCGGACCGGCCCGTCGTGTTCTTCGAAGCGGTCTATGAGAGTGCCCATGCGGTAGTCCCATAGTTGAATCGTCGACGAGTGTAGCGACACCAGGATCCATGGCCTGGAAGCGGTCAGTGGAGAAGGGAGCAACCTGGAGCGGGTGAAGGTACCTCTTGGGATGGAAGGCAATGCCCTTGGCACGCGAGGACTTGGATTCAAACTGCGCTGGGTTAGCCAGCTATACGGTCGCATGGGCTGGGAGCTGCTTGCCTTGGTCAACATTGAGGGAGAAGAAGACATGGCGGAATTGGAGATGAAGCCGCAGCTTCACTGTTGTCTATGTTGACCTCAATGCACGAGACAGCAAGCGCGGAGGGATACGGGTATAAGTAGAAGAGAAAGAAACACGGTGTTGACTATTATGTTTGGTACTGCTGCCTCCTTGAGCTGCTCTTGCTAATGTTCGATATGCCACGCAACATTCCGAGCAACCGTCTAACTGGGTTGGTCCCTAGCGTGATTTCCCCACCAAGGTCACGTGAGATCTACCAGACATCGCTCCAACTCGGGCTGAAGTCGTCGGGTCCATGTTTCAATTTCAAGCGAACCTCGAGTTCCCACACTAGCTGCCGCAAGCAGAGCCTCATTCTTTCACGTTGCTTCATCTCAAATTCGCCTCCGCTGCGTGGCTCGGCTCCCCTGGTCTGGCGTCCTGCAACGATGCCCCGCAGAACTCACCAATGCGACTCCGTGTGCCAGCTGGCATCGTAGTGCCAACACTACCTACCCGCCCTGTGCAGGACAATTTTGCTCGCTGACCTCATTGGGCATCCATCCAGCCTGACGCAAGGTAGATTGCCCGAGTCTTTGTTGCGACAAATCGTTCGCGCCCACATATCGTGGCCAGCATCGGAGTCATGGAGGCAAAGCGATGCTGTACATGGAAAGGGCAGCAATGCTGCAGACCCGCTCCGTGGCCGGCCAGCTCATTGCTGAAACGCAGGTGATAATTGGCGACAGCCGCACACATTTCTCACTCTGCAGGGAATTCATACCTCCTCCAGTACTCTTGCTCTTCTTTTACGCTCCCATTCGATCATCACAGACGCGTCGCACCCGAACTGACCTGCACTTTGTGGCTTTTACCGATCTGCGAGCTACATTTCCTGCATTGCTGCCTATAGTACTCCAATTCTGCCTGCACGATAAGCCAAGGCGTTGCAGGGTTCGTCTTGTCAAAACTCTCCACCTCTCTGCTCGAGCTCGCCGCTCAGATATCCAAGTAAAACACTCCCGGGCCACCTCCAGAATGATACAGTCGACGCAACTCCTCTTTCGTATTTCAAAGATTAGACACGTCTGTCGGACTTTGATTCCTTAAGAAATCAGCATAAACACTAGACGAGATCATCGATACGTACGCGTTCGCAATTGGCTGCAGGCAAGCCTGACGCAACATTTCCCGTCAAACCACCACAACGCCCTCCTAGCAATGGCAACGCATCACGAATCGCCAGCCGCCGCGCTCAACGGTCATCTGCAATCGCCGCCCATGACGCCTACTCCTAATACACATAGCCGCTTCCCTCCCCCAACATACAAGACCTCTCCAGTACACAGGCGCATGGGCAACTTCGTCCAGACACCTCCGCTGGAGTACATCGAACCGACCGGAGAAGATCATCACTTCAGCTTCACTCGCCCGCAATCATGCGAGCCATCTTCTCGTCTATCGTCAGATTCCGACCGTGCTTACGGGGCAACAACTCGCGAGGGATCTGACACTGAGAGCGAATCTGAAGAGGAGAATGAGTCGGATGAAGAATGTGAACAAGAAGAGGAAAGGCCAATGCGTCGGGTAGAGAGAGCTCAGTTCGTACTCGAAGAACTGGACAGCGATCCAGGCTACGACTGTGACGTAGAGGTTGTGCGACCGGATCATTGCGAAGACGCAAAGAGCGATAGGAGCGGCACAAAAGCAGAAATATTTGCCAGAATGAACGAGTTGCAACTCGAAGAAGATACTTCAGATGACGAGGAAAGGGAGCGCATATATCTGAAGAAGAAGAAACGATGGAGTGCAGGCATCTTCAAGCGCAGCCACAGCCAAAGCGTCGAAGGAGATAGCAGCTACTCCGATAACGACCCTCTCGATGATATGGACCAAAACTCCCGCCGACTGCGACGCCGCGTCCGAGGGCCTAGAAGAGGCTCACTCATCTTCGAGGATCGGGGTGTCTCAAACACCAATAACATCCTAGAGGTCGAAGAACCTGACGAAGGAACGGTGCCACACTGGAAGGGACCGCCGTCCATTCCCAGTGATGACGCCTTTACGCTTGATGAGCTCCCGTTTTGGAAGGAGCAGAACATGATGGATATCGAGTTCGAATCCGAATAAGTCTCAGCATCACGATTTACGCAATCTCGAGCCCATCTTGATGACCTTATGTTTTTTTACTTTTGGTTCATGGCGTTTATGAGCGACAAGCTTGGTGTCAAATGTTGGATTTAGCGTAGCGAACTATTTTTTGAATATATTCTGTTTATACTTGCACATTGCTCAGAATCCAAAAAAAAAGGAAAGTATCGTCTGGGCGCTATCGCGAAATTTGATTGCTCCTGCGTCCAGCATTTGCTGACGTTTGTTTGTTCCTAGAGCAATTTGATATCGCGAGTCAGTCCAGGGTTAATTTTAGACATCCTTAAGTAACCGGAAGGCCTGGCGTCAACAACGGAAGCTTACCACCACCCGCCCGCGACTGACCTCACGCACCGCCGCATTGTTCAAAGAATGCGGATACTCACGTTTCCGTTATTTGCGTCAAGGCGCATGCCCTCACAGTTGCGCAACATTGTTCATTCTGCGCGAGGTCATCAGCCTCATTATCTCGAAGTCCATGTGTAGATTGAACAAGCATCATCACTGCTTTGCACGATCAATTTCATCTCTGGACATCTCAGTTTCATCAGCATATGCAAGTATCGAGAAGTAATTTCCGCAATTTGGACGGTCTTTCCGTGCAAGCAGGACTTAAAAGTCACACCGCCCCCAGAAGGTCCACGCCCCGTCAGCGCTCCCGCTGTCAGGCTGACGGACCAGAAGACGTAGTCGAACCAACTTTGGATCTTAACCAATGGATATTCTTGACCCCGCGATGTCTAAGCATACCAGCTCCCCCTCCGAATTAAGCACGCGATTAGTGGGCAAGTAACAACACCGTGCTGTACAGCCACCCTGCTGTCGACGGATCTGTGGCTTCCGTTCAGGAAAGCTGACCCTACCACTAAGACAAACAGTAACCACATAGGTATAAGTAAGGTATCATAGACCGCCAGTAAAAGAATCATCTCCTTACTCACAACCAAGAAACCATACTACAGTCCTATCTTTTTCTCTTTATTTTCCGATATCTCCTTGTTTCTTTACTGTCTATCCAAGCCTTCGCTTCTTAATCAGTAATCATGTTCACCATCACTAAAATCTTCGTCGCTTCGCTCGCTCTCGGTGCCGTTCAGGCTCTTCCTCAGCGTCTTGGGGCAAGGCAAGATATGATCGCCAGTTCCACGTCTGCCGCCCCGGCAGCGCCTTCTTCGACGCCTGTCGACTTCGGCGGCCTCCTGACAGCTCCTACAGCTATCAAGCGTTTCCAACAGCTTCTGACCCAAGGAGAAGGTGATGACAGAGAGCTCGTCAATGCGAAGGATCTCCGAAAAATGACCGTCTTCACCTTCGACAACAAAACCGTGCCGCCCAAGAACTCGCTTGGTGGTGTTGCGGTTGCAGCTGTAAGCCTAATCATTCCCTTAAGTCACAAATGCTGTATTGATACCTCCCCCAGAACATCGAAACATTCCCTATCCTTACCGGCCTTGGTATCAGCACCACTGTCGGCTTCCTTAAGCCCTGCGGCATCAACTCTCCTCACGTGCATCCACGGGCCACCGAGTTCCTCACCTTGGTCGAAGGTGACAATCTTGAATTTGGCTACGTTCTAGAGAATGCTCTTGTGGGACCCATGAAGAACCCAGAAATCGCAGGCGCCCTCAAGAAGTTCGACGGCACTGTCTTCCCCCAAGGTTCCATCCACTACCAGTTCAACAACAACTGCCAAGATGCGACATTTGTGGCGACTCTCAACTCAGAGGACCCTGGTACCAGTCAGATTGCGCAGAACTTCTTTGCGCTCAACCCTCAGGTTGTTAACGCTGCCCTTAACGCCACAGTAAGTCCTATCTATCCTGAAGGTTGAGACAATGCTAACGCAAACCAAAGCAAATCAACGGCAAGGACATTGATAAGTTCGCTAAGACCCTCCCGGTAAACCTCGTCCAGGATGTCAAGGTCTGCTTGGCCAAGTGCGGGTACTAAATAGGTCGTGGAATACAGGATACATTTGAGCGAAACATGGTGGGCGATAATATGAGAGTGCGGCATCATTAATTCAGCATACATAGCGACGGCGCGGTTTAGATTATTTGAGCGATTGGTGGCATTGATTACTGGTTTTACTTCTTTGTGGATTTCCCTTAGATTTGTCTGCTTCTTGTCTATACACTCCTTACATATGCGAACAGAAAACATTTGTTTACCGAAAAGAACTGCCTTTTGCTGTGCCTGAGCGTTTGAGGTCTTATTGCGCCTGGGCTTGGGATCAGCTCTGACAGAAGTCAGCTCCCGCTTGAATCGAACATGACAGCAAATTACGCGCTGGGCGCGTAGTAGACGTAGAGCTGAAGATTGGCGCCTTAAGTGACTTGGCGTAAGGAAGAATTGTAGCCGAATCTATTATCGTAAGCTATCGTGGAGAGTTCACCCGAGCTTACTTGAAGGAAGGTGCGGCCAGCCACATGGCTGTGGCACGGCAGGTACTGGACCCTGGAAATGTTATTTTGGTGTGACTGTTTCCGGCCCCCGCAGCGACTCATTCAGCTGGGCGCAAGACTCACCAACAACTCATACGCTTCAGCTGAGGTTTAGTACAACAGCCTTATATCGCTGTTTTCGCTCAAACATCTTCTTGTGACATTTGCACTTCTTTTCCTTCCTCTGCCTCGAGTCAATTGGCACAACAGTTGCCCCTCGTACCCCACCACGGCCAACACAATGGCAGACCCCGTGGCGATCCAACAGGAGATCGCTGATCTTGAGAAGAGAATTGAAGAAACACAAGCACAACTCAAGGATGCAAAGTCAAGATTACAAAAAGCTCAAGAGGCTTCGTTCGTCAACCCTGGTGCGAACATGTCCGAGGAAGAGAAGATGGCGCTCATCAAGGTCAACCTGGCGGAGGTGCTGAACCCAGAAATCATGGACGAGGCACTGAAGAAGCAAGGGCACTTGAAGGTGTACTGGGGTACTGCGACAACGGGAAGACCACATTGCGGTTATGTATGTTCACATTGCGAGATCAGTCGGGTGCACTGTTAATGACCTATGTTGTAGTTCGTACCTATCCTCAAGCTTGCGCAATTCCTTGCTGCAGGCTGCCATGTTAAGATCCTCCTCGCCGATATCCACGGATTCCTCGACAACCTGAAAGCCCCGATCGAGCTCGTCAAATTCCGCGCAGAGTACTACCGCTACACCATCACCGCACTGCTCAAGGCAGTCAAGGTACCAATCGATAAGCTGGAGTTCGTGCTGGGTTCAAGCTACGAGTTGAACTCGGACTACACCATGGATCTGCTGAGACTAGCGAGTATAACAAGCGAGGCGGCGGCGAAGAAGGCAGGCGCAGAGGTTGTCAAGCAAACTGAGAATGCGCCTCTAAGTGGACTCATCTACCCACTTATGCAGGCCCTCGACGAGCAGTACCTGGACGTAGACGTCCAATTCGGAGGTGTAGACCAACGCAAGATTTTCGCGCTCGCAAAAGACGTCCTTCCTAAGATCGGCTACAAGGAGCGCGCGCATTTGATGAACCCCATGGTCCCCGGTCTACAAGGTGGAAAGATGAGCTCCTCCGACCCCGACTCCAAGATCGACGTACTAGACGACGCAGACGTAGTGAAGCGTAAGCTCAAGAAAGCCCACGCTGCACCCAAGGTCGTTGAAGACAACGGTGTACTCAGCTTCGTCGAGTACGTCCTCCTTCCCGCCGGTCACCTCATCTACGGCGAGCCCAAGTTCGTCGTCAAGCGCCGCGACGCCGAGCCCCTCACCTACACAGACATCAAGAAGATGCAAGAAGACTACTCAAACGACATCCTTACACCCCAAGATCTCAAGCCCGCCGTCACTGAAGCACTCATCACGCTTCTTGAGCCAGTGCAGAAGGAGTTCCAGGGTAACCAGGCGTGGAAGGATATTGAACAGAAGGCTTACCCACCGCCACCAGTGGTCAAGAAGGAGAAGAAGGTAAAGAACAAAGGTACCTTCCACCCAAAACGGAACGTAGAGGCGAAGCCAGATGGACATGTTGAGGGTGAGGATAAGGCCAAGGTTGATGTTGGAACTGAGGGCGGAGAGAAGGCTATCGAGGGCCTGACTCTAGAGGAGAAGAAGTAGACGAATCAGATGTAAGTAAGCATCTAGTAACGTCGCGTAGATAAATCATACCAGTTGCATCCGCCACCTGCGATGGTTGCAGTATACTTGAGACTTGTAAGTCATGTAGGATGTTGTGACTGGATATATCTTGCATCTTGCAGGAAGCCTAGACAAATCTACCACCATGTAGCTGGCAAGGTTTCCGGTCAAACACAATTATTGTCTTGATCTTGTTATGTCGCCAAGGTAACCAGCCTGTCCCTGAGCGGTTGCCTTCGAGCCACTCAAACCACTTTGATGAGTTTGTGTACATAAGGATTGATCTACTTCTTTCAAGAGTACAACTCAGCCTCATCCACCCGCCTCATGTCCGGCATACCGCCCATCTCGCCATGCCCAGCATGCTCCGGTCTTTTGAGCGCAGTGCCCTCCTTCAAGTAGAGTATCAACCTAAACGCTGCATTACCATTCAGGTAATATCTATGCAACCGTTTACTCCTAATGAACCCCAGCCTCTCATACAACTTCAAGCTCGCAGTATTCGACACCTCGGTCTCCAATACTATTTCATCGGCGTCGCGCGCGGTCATGGCATCAATGGCCAGTCGGACGAGTTGCGTGGCTATGCCTCGGCCGCGGTATTCTTCTTGTGTTGCGAGCATGGCGATGTAGCCGCGGTAGGTGCCGCTGCGGTGTGGTTCGAGCTTGCATGTGATTACGCCGATTAAGGTGTTGGTGGGGGAGAGAGCCTAGTGTGATGAAGTTAGCATTTAGATGTTTGGAGAAGAGCCGAGGACAGATAAGTACCATGTAGCACAGGTCACCCCATTGGTATAAAAAGTACCGGTACACATAGATACTATATGGCTCGGAAAGGTCCTTGGAAATTAGTTGGCGGATTGCGGGGAGATATTGCTCTTCTTTCGAGGGTTCGTATTGAACATATTGGAGATCTGATTTGCTCAGCTCTTTAGTCTCGGTCGCCTTTGCCGCCTCGATTGTGACGTCGCCATCTTCATTGTCGGCCATGGCGCGTGGGAAATGAGAGCGAAGCGCGGCATGTGGAGGGGCTATGATAGCGGAGGCTCTCCGGCTTGGCAGCATCAGGAACGTGCTTCTCCTGCATCCCTGTGTCGATCACTCCGTCACATGTCGGAGGTCTCGGTCATTGGGAAGATAACCAAAAATACCTCGTGGCAGGCGCCCACGTTCCCTCGTGCAACCCCGTGTAGATATTTCGACTCTGTGTAGATGTCTTTCCTGAGACGCCGCTTCGGCGGTGGCGGCGCTGACGATAGCGATATCTCAACACCCGAACTGTCCCGCGAACCTTCCCCAGGTCGGGACGGCAAACGACCCGCGAATCTACGCCTGATCACCGCCGAGCAGCTCCAGACGCTCAAGCAGAAGGGAAAACATAAGAAGAGAAGAAATGTGTGGGTGTTTGGACTTGGAGGCCTATTTGGGCTGCTACTTGCGGGCTTCTTTGCGAGCAGTAACGACATGATAGACCTGACAAGTCTGGAGGGCGTCAATCTGGAGAGCATCATGGAAGCGCTACCAGACAACTTCGTCAGAAGCGCGCAGCAGTTGCAGGTACGCGGGGTTTCCGCTTCATATGCCAAAGGGCTCGACAATAGGACATACAAGTCGAGAGGAATCGAGGCTGACTTCCCCAACCCAGTAGAAAACAGAACGAGACGCCGTGAACTACGATTCTTTCGCCGTCGGTCTCCACGCGCAGAAACAAGGCATAAAAGCCAAACACCCCGTTATAATGATTCCCGGCGTCATCTCCACGGGTCTTGAATCTTGGGGTACGGAAGAAGGCTCACGACAATACTTTCGCAAGAGGCTATGGGGTTCATGGACAATGATGCGCGCACTGGTCCTGGATAAGGCTCAGTGGAAACGACACATCATGCTCGACAAAGATACTGGTCTTGATCCACCAGGCGTGAAGCTACGAGCAGCTCAGGGCTTTGACGCGGCCGACTTCTTCATAACGGGGTACTGGATATGGAATAAGATCCTCGAGAACCTCGCTACGATAGGTTACGATCCCGGAAATGCCTTCACGGCAGCCTACGATTGGCGCATGTCCTACATGAACTACGAAATCCGCGATCAATACTTCACCCGTCTGAAGTCCCATATCGAAGTCGCCGTGCGCGTGTCAGATAAAAAGGTTGTCCTCCTCTCACACTCTATGGGCTCACAAGTGCTATACTACTTCTTGCACTGGGTGGAAGCAGAAGGATACGGCAATGGCGGTCCAGGTTGGGTAGATGCCTATATTGACAGTTGGATTAACATCAGCGGATGTATGCTCGGCGCATTGAAAGACATGCCCGCCGTTCTCTCCGGCGAGATGAAAGATACAGCCCAACTCAACGCCTTCGCAGTGTACGGCCTCGAACGCTTCCTCTCACGATACGAACGCGCCGAGATATTCCGCGCAATGCCTGGCCTCTCCTCCATGCTCCCCTTAGGCGGAAACGCCGTCTGGGGTGACGAGAATGGCGCCCCCGACGATGCGCCGGGCCAAAACGTCACCTACGGCCCTTTCATCCGTTTCCGCAACTCAAACTCCACCTTGACGCAAAAGAACATCACAGTCGACGACAGCCTCCCCTTCCTCTTCCGCAACACCGAACCCTGGTTTAAGAAAATGATTCAAACTTCCTACTCCCACGGTGTAGCACACACCACCAAGCACGTCGAAGACAATCAATTCCTCCCCGCCAAATGGGTTAACCCCCTCGAAACGCGACTGCCGCTCGCTCCAAACCTCAAGATATATTGCTTCTATGGTATAGGCAAGGATACGGAGCGTGCATACTATTACCGCAGTGATGATGATCCTTTGTCGGGGTTGAATGTCACGCTCGATACGATGTTTACCCAGGATAATGTCGACCATGGTGTTGTCATGGGTGAAGGGGATGGAACGGTTAACCTGCTTAGTTCGGGCTATATGTGCACGAAAGGATGGAAGATGAAGAGGTATAATCCCGCGGGGGTTAAGGTTACAACGTTCGAAATGAAACATGAACCTGATCGGTTTAGTCCTAGGGGAGGTCCTAATACTGGTATGTTATTCCCCCTCTCCATTATCTCTATGTACTTTCTGCTAACGACGATGTGAATAGCGGATCATGTGGACATTCTGGGGAGAATGTCGTTGAATGATTTGATTTTGCAGGTTGCGGGTGGTAGGGGCGAGTTGATTCAAGAGACTATTCACTCTAATATCAGGGAGTATGCTGAAAAGGTTAAGATATATGAGGAGGAATAGTGAGGTTCTGAGGTGACAGAGATGTTTGAAATGACGGGCTTGTATATATGGCTGGGCTAAGCTACGACGCAGGATCACGACCATGATGATGAGGACGACGAGTGTGGTTGTGGCACTTGTGGGATAGGGGTGGGACTGACTGAACTTGGAATGATACCATAGACTAACGCTTATTTTGATCCCCTCCTTCTTCCTGTTCATCGCCACTTTCACACAAAAGGCAATACAACGTGACTCGCCCACTCCCCACCAACATGCACTTGATGCACACCCTTGTTCCTTTCTTCCAACTCCACCTTCTTCCTCGGCCCAAACTCCTGCACAAGCGGATACTCGCCACTAACCTGCACACTAATCCCCTCTCCAGCCTCGAAATCTACGCCCATGGCCCATAACCCAATTTCTAGCTTGACCACCTCTCCCGGCGTAATCTTCTGCACCTCGTCGTGGGCGTGGAAGGGATACTGCGGGTGAATAGATTTCGAAGGGTCGGTCTTACGGTGCGACGCTCGGAGGACGCCTGTGGGTCCGTAGTAAATCATTAGATTACTGTAGTCTGATTCGGGGATGTCGGCGGCGCGGGAGTAAGGGGCGGCGGACCAGGGGATGTTGATAGCGATCATGGGGCTGCCCTGTTTGTCTAGCTTGCGTATCAAGACGTAGACAATCATGTCGTTGAAGTCTGGACAAGACATGTAGAGCACAGCTTTAGGTAGGCCCATGAGGCGGGTTGGTTGATCGAACTTTAGGGTGAATGCTGCGTGGGAGACGGGCGAAGTGTTGCTTTCCGAATTGTAGGATAGAGTGCTGGTGTTTGTCGGTGCGCTTTTTTGAAGGGTATTGTTGTCATTGAGGTAGAGGGTGCGGTAGTCTGTACGTGGTATAGGGAAATCTTCTTCGACGATAGGGTAGATGGCTTCTTTGTCGCCGTAGTTGAGTGACGCCATGCGTACGCGTGGTGTGTTTTCCCAGTCGTTCTTCTCGCCCTTAAGATAGCGATCGAAGAAGGAAGCGAGTTCATCGATGGATTCCTGGACAGACCAGAGATCGTACCATTCTTGGTAAGGATCCCAACGCAACCACTTGTCCTTGGTGTTGACTTGCATCCAACCACGTATCGAGCCCATGGTGTGGACGAAACTCGAGTATGACGCGACGATGTAGGTAGGAATATTGATGCTTGCGATATCTGCTCGTTTATCTTCCCAATAAGGGTTCATGGTAGATGAACGCCGGTACATTTCTTTGAAATCTTCAAGGCCGTTCTTCCCCCGGATAACGTGTTCAGTTATGAAGTCGAATAGTCCATTATCCCAAGCACCTCCGCGTACGAACTGCTCTCGGTAGAGGTCACCACAAGCTTCCCAGGGCGCGATGGCTTTGAGTGATGGAGGTTGTGTTGCCGCGATGAACCATTGTACGATGCCGAGGTGTGAGTTTCCAGCCAGTCCAATCGAGCCGTTACACCTGTTAAGTAATTAGACTCATATCATTTTGTGGACTGATGCAATTCTCACCAATCCATTTTCGCCAGCTCTTCGATTACGTCATGCCCATCTTCGCCTTCTTGCTTCCCCATAATGACAATATCTCCGTCAGAGTCACCCGCACCTCTTGCGTCGACGTTGACGATGGCATACCCGCGAGGGCAGTATTCCGCTGGGTCTGGTCCTTCGAATCGCTCGAGACCACTAAGGCAGCCCTTGGGCACACCGCAACCCCATTTAACCTGGGTTGCGTTAGCACTTACTCACATTCAGAGATTAATTGATAAGAGGGTAACGAACCTTTGACATCATGTCAATTCCAGTATGTTTCTTGCCGAACGGACTCCAGGCCACAATCGCAGGCACCTTGACATCACCCTTCCCACTACTCACGGGTCGATAGATGTCGCAGTATAGAGTGCAGCCATCTCTGACTTTGACAGCAACATCGTGTTCAGCGATCATATCTTCAGAGAGTGCCCTTGCTCCATCTCGGCTTTGGTACCCTTTAGGAAGTGTCTCTTTGTGCGGATTGAAGCCTTGGTAGCCATTCTCACCCACCTTGGGCGGTTTGACGGCGAGATTGGCGACCTGAAATGCAAGAGGCATGATTGGGGAAATAGAGAGGAGGACGAGGATATTGTTGCGAGTGGCGTGCAGCAATAGCAGAAGGAGGGTCCATCTTGGTTTTGAAGGAGCTGGTCGTCTGTCGTAGACCCAGTCGTGATCACTCGAGTACTGCCCGACCGTTCTCGGCCGCGATATCTCTGCCGATACACCGTGTATTGGAATCTACGAACGGTTTTGCATGTTTAGCATCGGCATGTGGAGAGTTTCGAGGTGCGAACGTACGCTAAATCTCGCCCGACCTCGACCGTAATGTACCACGCGGCAGGGTCCACCCCACACCAAAGCTTGTCTCTACCCCCGCAACGAGCGGCCGTGGACGGGCGAGCCGGGGTAATAGCCCCGAATAGAAGCATAGTACTGTGAAGTATATCAGTGAGCGACTGCTAGGTAACATCAATTCTGTATTCACAACATCACTTAAGTCAACATCCTAATACGTTTCAACCATGGCACCTTACCTCGACAAAAACGAGAGTGTGAGCACTCAGCAGAAGTATGGAGATTGGCGTGACGAGTTTTACGAGAAGGGCTATGTAGTCCTCAAAGGCGTAGTCCCCAAAGAGCGAGCTTTGAAGTACCGCAACAAGATGATGGACTGGCTTGGTACCTTCCCCAACGACTTCGACATTAAGAACCCAGAGACATGGACCAAAGAGAATCTTCCCCAAAGCTTCAAGAACGGAATGTACTTGAACTACTGTGCTGCGCATGAGAAGTATGTTTGGGAGGCTAGACAGTGAGTACACCCCACCACGAGAGATGCATCGATCATGGTAGCTGACTCTTTTGCGAATAGGGAGCCAGGCGTTCTAGAGGCCTTTGGAAAAATATGGAATACAAACGATCTCATCGTTTCCTACGACACTATCAATCTGACACTGCCGAATGCATCGAAGATGGCTGGTACCAAGCCTTGGCCGCATGTAGATCAGGCACCCGAGCGACAAGGCCTGTCTTGTGTACAGGGCATAATCAACCGTGTGTTAAAATTCCCTCTCTTGCATGCTCTTGAAGCATTCTACTGACACTGTTGCTAGTTTCCGAGGCTGGACCCAAAGATGGTGGGCTTGTCGTAATGGAGGGCAGTGCCAAGCTCTTCGACAAGTTCTTCAAGCAGCACCCACCCGACCGAACCAAGGGTCCCTTGGCTGCTCTTCACTACGACTTCTACCCATTCCAGGACTCTGATGTGAAGTGGTACGAGGATCAAGGCTGTAAGATGGTCAAGGTCTGCGCCGAGCCCGGGGATCTGATCTTGTGGGATTCGCGACAGATGCACTATGCTGTGTATCCAGAGACCGACAATATCCGCACAATCATCTATGCTTGCTACACCCCAGCGGCTATGGCATCCAAGGAGGATTTGGAGAAGAAGAAGAAGATCTTTGAAAAGTGGGAGGCGACGACACATTGGCCACACATCAATATCCACTCTCAAGGGAAAGCCAAGGTGGATGGCAAACTCGATCCGTGGGAGCGGACAGAGCCACTGGAGAAACCAGAGCTGACTGATAAGCTGCTCAAGCTGGCGGGTGTGAAGCCGTATTGAAAGGCGTAGTATTTCAATTGTCCGCGTAGAGGCGAGATTTTATAGCGTTGTATAGCAAACTCCTCACATTTGTGCAAACACTTCGTCCCAGTCATCGAAACCATATGCTGCTTGCGGCATGTGGCCAATTCCATCGAACATATCGATGTTCTCGTAATTGCCGTGGTGAGCGAAGCCGTCCATTGCAGGTACCGAGTTCGTGGTGGTGGTATGATCGCTCATTGACAACTGCTGCAATAGTTCATGGATCGTACGTGTCGCTCCAGGAAGCTCAGTATCGTGTCGTTCCAGAACAGGCAAGAGACCTTCAAGTACAACAGAGCCTTTTGCAGCGTGGACAGCAACCGCTGAATGCTTTCTCAGTTCCATGAACGCCATTCTTAGAAGATTTATAATTCTAAGCTTGGCCTCGCCTCGGTAATCATGGGGATTTGCAAGTATGTCTAAGGAAACATATATAGCAGCCGCGACCGTTGAAGCAGATATGACCCAAACTAGTCTGTACACCCTAGGTACAGGCGCCGCGTAGTACTTCAGAATCCGGTTGGCCGACTGGAGAGCAAGATGTCTAGAGTTCGTTGGGTCGTCCCCTGCTTCCTTTGGGATTAGCACGCGAGCTATGGTCAGCAATATGAAATCAAGAACATAGTGGATCTGATAGCGCTGAAAAGGTATCCAGGGGTGATCGAGTTCCCATATCCTATCATCTTCGTTGGCTGGAAAGTTCGGTGATAGATGCAGAGGTAAATCTCGCCGGACAGCCTGGACCTCTTCGATAGCTTTCATAAATTTCAGGTCCGTCTGATGTGTATTTGCTTTGATATACAAGTAAACGATGTAAGAGATACGGCACATGATCGAGTGATAATGGGCTGGTGAAGGGGTAGCCAGAGTGTTCGATTCGTACGACTCAGGACTACCAGCCATGGGACTCCTGGGTAGTATGTAATCATCTTGCCTGCTGATGGTCGAAACATGGCAACAGAAGCTGGCGGGGGAAATTGATGGTGGTCGCGACCAACTTGCAAGCCTATAGAGGTCCAGTTACATCAGATATACTGAGAAATACGCGGGCTGCAGGGCAGGTACGTACCAGTCCCGAATGACACAAGCCCACCACAACCGACGCCCTAGCTCTCTTTGAGACGGGGTAGACCACTCCGGTCTTCGGCAGAGATCCTTGGAAATGTTTACTTCGTTCCCAAGCTTGTGCATATCAAGACACCTTGCCATGTTGGTTGCAAAGCCAGTGATCAGCCACTCTCGCTGGTGTTCTCCAAAATTGGAATGGCATAGGGTCAGTACCGAAAGCGCCTGAACTACAGGGAGCGACGGTGAACCCGCGAACCCATACCGCTCCAGCTCTTTTAGCGCAGCCTCATACCAGAGACGAGACGTATGGACTGCGATAGAGACAGGATTAGCTAAAGACATCCCAAGCTGGGGCAGTTGGGTGACATCCGGGATTTCCTCTGGGTCGGAATAGAGTATGCCCACAGCCAGAACTGCGAGATAGACCACTAGCCATGGTCTTCGTTCGCGTTCGATGCCACCACCAAGGTGCATACTCTGCCAGAAGTCTTCGTGCTCCCCGAAGAACACATCCGCGTCAACAGCGCAGTGCAACCAGCCCAGTCTTTGAAGAGAAAAGGTAACGAGTTGTATACTAGCGTCTTTACTAGGAAGAAGCAGATAGATCGGATCCGCTGCAGGTTCGTATATGTTATCTATGAGCTCTTTCTCGCCACCTTCTCGTGCGGCACTGGTCGTGATACCGATATCGAATTGCTCAAAGGCCGGAACCAAGTCCTCGAGAGACGCCGACGGTGCCGAATAATCGGTGGATTCGCTTGTACGGCTGTGTGCGCAAGGCTTGGACAATGCAAGGGCAGTCTCCAGCTCAGCAATTTGTGCTCGTAAAGCGCCTCGTTCGCGCAGCAAGTCCTCGAGTTGGACGTCTTCTGCGCTTGCGGCATCTGAATCGGCGTAGACAGTGAGCTGTCCCCTGACACGGACGATCGGCCGTCGGCAGGAATTTCCGGCATTTCGGCGCACGCAAGGAGCGCAGGGGCTCTTCTTGTCGCAACGAATTTTCCGACGGCTACACTCGACGCACGATCGCGACACGCGCTGCGATGTCTTGATGCCCGTTTCGCTCATGGTGTGTGACGTACGTGGTGTGGTTGATTTGCCGCGGAACTTGAGGCTCAAAATCCTCCAGGCCTGTAAGTACCCCGCATGTCTCCTCCCCCATGTCTTCCCCCTGTCTGGACCGGGCGATATCCCCACAGCTCTGTTCGGCTTAGCCCGCGTCCTCCACAATCCGTTCGCATACTTATTGGACTGGACGGCCCAGAGCGGGCGAGGTCCGGGTGAGCACTGAGTTGGTATGCGTGTTCCAAGTCGCGAAGGGGATGCCACTGCCCTAGTAGCTGCGTCCACTTCGGACCTTCAGCTGCTACAAATTCTCCATGATGCCACTCTGTTCACCAGCATCAGTGACTGCACATCATGGCGCCTCACGATACCAAAAACGAGACGAGCGCTCACATCGAGATAGTTGATGCGCACAAGAAAGCTGCGAGGCCAGTAGTTGGCACTATCAGACTGTACGACGAGGATGGCATCGTATTGATCCCAACACCGAGCAGAGATCCCAATGGTAAGCTACAAAATCAGCAAACCCAACCTAGCTAATTAGCAAAGATCCTCTGAACCTTCCGAAATGGCAGAAGTATATCATTCTGATCATTGTCGGTCTCTACGCAGCCACTGGAAATCTGATGGCGAGCGGCATCACCGCTATTCTCCCCATTGTGCAGACCTCCTACGGTGGAGACCCAAAGACTAGCGACCTCGCAACTTGGCCAGCATTCTACATGGGTGTCGGCAACCTCCTCGCGATTCCTGTGGCCCATGCTATCGGTCGCCGGCCCGTATACCTTTTGTCTACGATCGTATTATCATTCGGATGTCTCTGGTGTGCCTACAGTGGTAGCTTAGCATCGCATATCGCAGGCAGAGATGTCATGTCGATTGCTGCCGGACAGGCCGAGGCGCTGTGCCCGATCATCGTGCAGGAGATCTTCTACCTGCACGAAAGAGGACATGTAATTGCCTGGTTCTGCGCGCTCCAGACGCTTGGCACCGCAGCACTAATCGTAGCAAGTTCCTACCTCGCCAACGATCTAGGCTGGAGGTGGTGGTATGGCGTTTTTGGTTGTTTGAGCGGGGCCATAGCCGTTCTTAGCATCATCATTGTCGCTGAGACCAAGTACGAGCGCACGCTGGAGGCACTAAACGGCCAAGGTATCGACGAAGATGGCACACTGGTACCAGTCACGACCAACACCAAGCGCGAGCTCGATACCGTCAACTACGCACCACGTAGCTTCGTCAAAGACATGCTTCCTTGGAAAGGCCATGCGCACTGGTCCGAGGCAATCGATTGCTGGAAGCAGATGTTCCAAATTATTTGGTTCCCCAACATCCTTTGGTTGATTTTGATCAACTCTGCGGCTTTGGGCATCTACGTACTCATGTCAGCGCTGTTCGCCGGTGTCCTCGTCCAGCCGCCTTATCTCTGGAACTTTGACATGCTCGGATACGTCTTTGCAGGACAAGTTGCCACCGCAGTTGCAGTCCCGTTCTTTTGCGGTTATTTGAGCGACCTGATTGTTAAGACGATGAGTAAGAAGAATGATGGTGTCAGCCAGCCCGAATACCGTCTTCTCGCTTTGATCATTCCATTGGTCTCCATCCTCATCTCGACAATCATCTACGGCATGACTGCTCAGAACCCCACAAACTGGAGCTGGGCCGGTATCGCAGTGACGCTCAATGTCGAATACTTTGGCTTCGTTGGCATTGTCGTATCAAGTTTCGTTTACTGCATGGATGCTTACCCCCAACGCATCGATGCCGCTCTTGTTCTCATATGCTCACTAAGAGGTTTCATCGGCTTCGGCATTTCTTTCGGGTCGATTGCTTTTGTGGAGAAGGCTGGATATGAGGGTGCGTTCAACATTTGTGCAGGCATTGTTGCAGCACTGATGGCTTTGGGTATCTTTGTGTATCTTTTTGGTGAGAAGATTCGTAAAATGACGCAGAAATGTGCTCAAGATGAGTAAATGATGTCGAAGAGGCTGGGGCGCAAATTGTGACTGGACACAACTTACCTCATAGGTATGGTATATTTCATAGGTGAATACCACCAAGGGCCTTTAATATGAGACACGAGAATGAAATGGTAACACAAATTATCGTATCCCGAACCTAATTTGACAGCCAGTCACACTGTTTTGTGCAAAGAAGTATATTTTTCACATGTCATTGACACTGTGGAAGGGTATCGCAATAACTCATTGAGCCGCCGCTCCATAAATGGCCAAGAACTCCTGTAGTATGCCCATGCCGTTGTGCGCCTTCCATGCTATTACTCGTACGTCGTCATTGTGTGGTCGTAATTGGTGACCTTAGTTTTCTGCAAAGTCTTCTCTCATGTCCTCGTCCACTTCGCTCTCCTCGTAAGCTTTCGTAAGAAAGGGGTGCTCGAGCGCTTCAGCTGCCGTGATGCGCTTTGCAGGATTGCATTCCAGCAATCGGTACAGGAACTGTACAGCATCCTTCTCATCTTCATCTAGCTCCTTCTTCGGCTGTGTCTTATCGCCGGTGCGGCCTGTGCACCAAAGAATGATCTTCTCCAAACTGTGTCCGCCCTCACTGTAGCTGGGTACGTTTGTCTCGAACACCTGCCCGTGCAGAAGGGCAGTCTCCCTCATCTTCTTTCGTCCGAAGATGGTTGTGATCTCAAGTAGCGCATCGATGTCATCTGCACTGTGGAAGAAGGGGAAGCGCTTCGAAAGCATGGTCAACAGGATGACACCGACACTCCAGACGTCGATGGAACAAGTCTGCTGGGTGCACTTGAGCAGTACTTCAGGCGCACGGAAACCACGTGTGCCTGCGCGATTGGCGCGACGGCTGTTCCGTGTATCGTTCTTCGGGTAGGCAGAAGTGGTGTGGCCTGCTGACTGAGTCTGCGCATAGACACTGTGCGTAATTTTATATCGGCGCTCTTCTTCTGCCAGATGGCAAGCGCAGTTGTGCCAGTCTGTACCTTCCCGCTCGGCAAGGCCAAAGTCGACAAGAACTCCACGGGACTGCGAGGTGTTGTAGAGGAAGTTGGTGGGTTTGACATCGCGATGAATAATGCCCTTCTGGTGCACGGCCGCTAGGGCAGTGAACAGACTCTTGAAGTAGCAGCGCATATGAGAAATGTCCATGTCGCGATAGTAATCGCGGAAATCGCGATGCTGGAAGTAGGGCAACACAGCAACAACCTGGTCCTGATGGCGAAAGGCGGTAATCAGCGGACATACTGAGTCTGAATCTCTCAGATCATAAAGCAATTCTAGTTCATTGAAGATACGTATCGGGCTGCTCGTGACGTAAATCTTCTTGATGGCGACGTAGTGGGGCTTTCGGGCGGATTGCCTCTTGTGTGCCAGGGGCATCGACTTGGTTTTCTCCCGCTCGTCGATGTCCCAGTTGTTGTTGTACTTTGTGTATTCCAGATCCTCAGCTTTGTACACTGTGGAGAAGGTTCCTGTAAGAAAGTGTGAGTCTAGCCCACTACCCTGCACACTGCAAGCCAATAATGCACGACATACCCTCTCCGATGCGGTTGATTAGTCGGAACCGCTTGTTGATACCGGCGAATGATTCTTCAAAGCGCGCCATGTCTTCCTGAACGGAATCTTCGACTTCCTCGTCGCTGCTGTCGGCGGTACGTCCGCTTTCGTCGAGCGGGTTCATACTTTCGTCCTGTGTCACTTCGGCCTCGTCCTCTCTCATGTCGTCCTCATGGACGTCGATGGCCTCTGCATGACGCAGTGATGTGCGTGCCTTTGCCATTGTGAAGGTGGCTTGTGAAGTTGTGTCGGACGATGCGCGAATCTTCTTCGCGGTGTGGACGGCAGACGCGTTGGACCCTGTTTTGCTAAGCCGAAAGGGGTAGACTGATGACAAGACGCACGGGCCCACAAACATCTGCCACGCGCTTTTGGGGCAGGTGCGACGGTTGCGGCCGCATCTTTGCTTCCACCGCGCAAACAACCCCGCCCCGCCCCGACGCTCATTCCGTCGCTCCTTGTTTCTGATCTTTGATTCCCCCAAGCGACTCTGGACATCATGGACGACCGGGTGGAGTTTGACATCAATGAGGCGGTCAAGCTGTTCGACAGCGATCCTTCAACGATTCCCACTCCCGAGGCCCCGCAAGCGCTGCAAGACTGCGAAGATGAGCCAGAATCGCTGTCGTCGCCCGGATTGATCAACAGCGAGCTAAATCCTGTGGTCGATGCTGTGGCGGAGAGTCCAGATGCGATCACTCGCAGCTCTGTATTTGACACACTGCAATTTCTCTTGAAGTGCGTCCCCGTGTATCCAAAAGATACAAAAACATATGAGACAGAGCCTAACTGTAACTTGTTCCGACTATCTAGGCACTCATCGCAAATACCACCAGCCATCCTCAGCAAGATACTCGACCTTATATCCTCAGCATTATCCACGCAGGCCGACATCATACACGCAGACCTCGAGGCCGAAGACCAAGATGCGATACCACACCACAAGAACCTACTGGAGATGTACGGTTTCCTTCTCAGGTGGACCATCTCCGCCGTGGAGACAAGGGCGCTCGAGAAGTCAGCATCTGCACCAGTGGCGAGGGGGCGGGGTAAGGCTGCAAAGACGAAGTCCGGCGGCGGCAAGGAGGTCACTTGGGACGCCTCAGCACAACTCGAGACGGCTCTCGACCGGATGAGCAAGGTACTGAGGCTCAAGCTGGGCCGCATCTTTGTCACCACATCAGAGCGGGACACCTTCATCGGCCTCTTTACTAAGCCAGTATACCACATCCTCGAGAATGAGGCAAGAGTCAAAAACAATGCGATACGGAATCACTGCTTCAGAGTTCTGTGCTTTGCTGTCAAGTCCCACGGACATGCTTACAGTAGGTACAAGAAGCCTCTAGCGGGCGCCTATGCTAACACTTGTGGTAGCTGCCCAGACATCCATCAACCAGAGCTTGACATACTTCGAGCACCTGTCAGAGCCCATGGCTGAGTTTCTTTTCACGCTTGCCGACGCTTTCGACTACCCGCAACTCACCGAAGACGTCCTCAAGGACATCAGCAGCAAGGAGTTCAGCTCTACCGATCTGAAGGGACCGAAATCCATCTCGACCTTCCTTACTAAGATCTCTGAGTTGACCCCGCATCTTGTCATTCGCCAGATGACACTACTTGCAAACCTGCTCGATAGCGAGTCATATACTCTTCGCTGCGCCCTCATCGAAGTATGCGGAAATCTGATTATCATGCTCAGCAAGCTGAGCCAGGACGACCGTAGCGAAAACCATAAAGCACAGATCCGCATCTTCTTTGACGTGCTTGAGGACCGGTTCCTGGATATCAACCCCTACTGCCGGGCCCGAGTAATGCAGGTCTACATCAGGCTTTGCGATCTAGATCAGAAATATACCAAGCGCAGGCAAAAGGTTGCTGAGCTTGCTGCACGTAGTCTTGAAGACAAGAGCAGTAATGTACGTCGTAACGCAGTCAAGCTGCTGGCAAAGCTTATCTCAACTCACCCGTTCACCACCTTCGATGGTGGATTGCTATCGACCAAGGATTGGACACGAAGATTGGATGATGTCGACGCTCAGATCAACGCTCTACAACCCCCAGAAGAGCTACGAGAACGTGCGCCGGGTGACCAGACTGTAGACGAGACTCTACTGCAAGATGCGACACAGGCCGACAACGGAGAGGATGAAGGTCCGAAACATCCTTCCGAGATGTCCGAAGAAGAGAAGGCTGCTGCAATCGAAAAGGCTCAGAGGGACGCTGCGACTGCGCAAGAGCTTGAGAAATTTCAGGCAGTTCGCAAGTACCTTTTGGAAGCGCTCAAGTTTATCGAAGTCATCAACGACGCCGCCGAGGTGGTCACTCAACTGCTGTCATCCAAGAACAAGAGCGAAGTCATCGAGGCCATGGATTTCTTTGTGACCATCGACGCATACAAGATCGCGAATGCGAAGCTCGGTATACGGAGAATGCTACGCCTTATCTGGACCAAGGGCAATAGTGACGAAGGCAAGGGTGTTCAGACGCATTTGCTGGAGTGTTACAAGGGCCTTTTCTTCGACGCGCCTCCTGGATTTGACGCCAATGCAGTTGCTAACTACATTTCGAAAAACATGATCAGTCTTACATTCGGCACAACTCCCGCTGAACTCACGTCTCTCGAGCAGCTTCTCAGTACCATGAAGAAGCAGGGGTTAGTCAACGAATTGGTCATTCAGAAACTTTGGCAGATATATGGATATCAGAAGAAAGACATCTCCAAGAACCAGCGTCGTGGAGCAATCATTGTTCTTGGCATGTTGGCACTCTCATCTCCAGATATCATCCAACAAGAGATGGAAGCATGTCTACGCATCGGCCTTGGGGAGCTGGGTCGACGGGACTTGGGACTCGCTCGATACACCTGCATAGCGTTGCGTCGCATGAGTCCTCCGCCAGGAAAGCAGGCCTCTAACGAGGCGCCGATACAGACTGTCAAGCTTCCAAACGACCACGCAGTTCTCGCCAGATTAGCCGCCATTACTGAGATGACGTCAGATAGCAATGAGTGGTATGGGGTTGCAGAACAAGCTATCGGTGCCATCTATGTTCTTTCGAAACACCCTGACGTTCTGTGCTCCGAAATCATTCGCAAGGTCACAAAGCGTGTTTTTGGAGGACAGGTCAAAGCTCAGTCGCGACCCACGTCGAGTTCCAGTGCCGCGGAACCAATGGACGTCGATGAAGAGATGCCTGACGCGCCTGCTGTTGACGAACCACAGCCAAAGAAGCAGAACTCCGCACTTGCATTGTCACAGCTACTTTTCGTTGTCGGACACATCGCCATTAAACAAATCGTCCACTTGGAACTTTGTGAGCTTGAGTTCAAGCGCCGTAAAGCTGAAAAGGACAAGAAGATAGCACCGACACCTCGAAAATCCATGGCTTCATCAGAGCCAACACCACTCAAGAAGGGTCGGAAGAGGGGGGCAACCAAAGAACCAACACCGGCGCCTGAGGAAGCAGATGAGCTGGATCTTATGGCGGGAACGACTGAGGATGATTTCACAGAAGCCATTGCACACGTTCGTGAACGCGAACTCCTCTATGGCCCTCATTCCCTCCTTGCAAACTTTGGACCCCTTGTAGCAGACATTTGCGCCAACAACACGTCGTATAATCATCCGACACTACAAGCACAAGCTGCATTGTGCTTGGCAAAGCTCATGTGTGTGAGCTCAGAGTATTGTGAGACTAACCTTGGTCTGCTACTCACCATCCTCGAACGAAGCCAAGATGCAGTTGTGCGTAGTAACCTAGTTGTTGCACTCGGTGACATGGCCGTTTGCTTCAACCACCTCATCGACGAAAATACCGACTTCCTTTACCGCCGTCTGAACGATGGCGACCCAAGCGTCAAGCGAACATGTCTCATGACTCTCACCTTCTTGATTTTAGCCGGACAAGTCAAGGTCAAGGGTCAGCTAGGTGAGATGGCCAAGTGTCTGGAAGATAGCGACAAGAAGATTGCGGACATGGCACGCATGTTCTTCACTGAGTTGTCAACCAAGGACAACGCTGTGTACAACCAGTTCATCGATATGTTCAGTGTACTTAGTGCGGATTCAGCGCTGAGCGAGGATGCACTGAAGAGGATTGTTAAGTTTCTGGCTGGATTCATCGAGAAGGTATGCTCACTCTCCCACACGAAGCTTTTACTTATATACTGACTTCGACTAGGATAAACACGCCAAGCAGCTATCTGCGAAGCTCGCCTCCAGGCTGCCAAGGGCAGAGAACGAGAGGCAGTGGAACGATGTCGCATATGCACTGGGCCAGCTTCAGCACAAGGACGAGGAGATCCAGAAGATGGTCTCGGAAGGCTTCAAGGTTGTTCAAGCAAATGCTTGAGCTACGTCTTCACATTTCATGTTCAATTCGTTATGACTGTATGAACGCGATGATACCCTGGGTTGGGTTGGATCGTGGTTGATAAGCTTTGGCGTTCGGGTTTGCATAGGGTACATTGATGTATATGACATATGACGCGGTGTCTCCGTTTCTCTAGCACAAGCGAAATGTACTGCTCAAGCCATGAAGTCTGTCCTGCTTACTTTTCTCACCCCATTTCAACATGCAAATTATGTTGACGTCACAGCATCACACCTGATTAGATGTACCCGCCTCGCATCCTTCGTTATGATATTATATCGGGATAAGTCAAATCTCCAGCAAACGCCTATCAAGCAGCCAATGTCGGCTGTAGTGGTGCTATATATAAAGTGCGGTTACATGTGTTTAGGAGGAGGAGTACTAAAAAGTTTACCGGTGACGCTCAGAGGCCAAGCGCAGAGGCTGGGAGGGGTAACAGGACGGTCGGCTGTATGTATGCCAAGAGTCTTGGTCGCGTGGCGGGAAACAGAACTGCTGGGGACTTTTCTATCTTTGGTGTATCAACTTCACATCGTCCACTTAGGTCCGACATACCCGTCTCGCGTATGATGATCTTCACTCTGTAGTCTGCACGTGTACTGTTGTAGTGAAATGGAACGGGTACTCGGCAAACGCCTTTTAGTCAAGCCAAGATTAGTCGCGATAGTTCTATATAAGTAAGCCTATATCCGTACAAGAAGAATGACGCCAGAACAATATACCAATCGTGATGGAGACCCATCATACTACCCAGAAGCGGAGTCCAAATGAAGTGTTCAAAGCGGACGGGAAAAGGAAATTTGTGGCAGTAAGGCGTCCTACCGACTACTGCTCCTTTTCTGAATACTGACTGAGCTTTCCGGTCTTGATGAGTTGGTTGGTGTGGTTCGCTTTTCTGCTGTTTGGTTTTTATATGGGCTGGATGTTGCAGAGTTGTGGATGGCGCAGACTCATTAAACTTTGGGCAAACGGGTGTTCTGGTGTGTATCCTTGTCGCATACCACCTCCGGACTGTACCTGAGTATGGGCACTGGGAGAAGTACGTCTATACAACATGTAAGCAACTTTTGGATCTGTACAACGGTTTGCCATGCAAAGGGTTTCTGTAGATTGATGACGACGCAGCACAACAAAGGCGAGGGGTGAACATGAGAGCCGCCTGTCGAACATAGCCGAAGGCAAGCTCTGTATGTGTCTGATTTGTGCACAATATGTTTTACAATTCCACCTCGTTAACTACCTCACTCATGCGGTCTGCTTCCTCGCATCTTTGACTTTGCTCTCCGCCTTGACTTCTGCCTTCGTCTTCTTGCCTTGCTCCAATCTCCTCTCCTTCGCCGTCTTCTGCTGTCCAGCCTGTCCACCATGCGCCTCAGCTCGTGCCTTTTCTGCCTCAGTATGTATCCTCATACCCTCCATGGCTTCCTCCAAGGTTGGTATTCTTAGGCCTTGCTTCCTTGCCTGCGCCAATCTTTGGATACTGGTCTGCCTGCCCCGCTCCGCTGACCTTACGTCCTTCAATAACCGCTCTTTGATGCGTTGTTCATCTAGTTGTGCTTGGGAGAGGACTGGTGGTCGGTTTTCTACGGGTTCACCAAAGGGCGCGACGATGGATGTTACAACGTGGTGAATGACTTTGGAGGTGCGGTGTCCGGATGTTATGCGCACAATGTCTCCCTCCACGACAGAGTTGTTCGGGTCGCGGGCTATGTATGTTTTTGGGGCTGGGAAGTGCTGTTTCAGTCGTCAGCGCTGGCATGTTTAAACGTGTGACCGTCAAGTTAACACACTTTTCTGAACTTCTTATTCCATTCCTGTTCTGCGACGCGCACTCTTACTGCTTTCGACATCTTGCCTGCCGAAACTACGACGCCAACTTTCTGACTTGTGAAGCATTGTGGGACAATTGGTTTGCCGGCAACTGCTTTGGTCGCTATCGACGCCATGGTGGGTGGGTGCGTGGGTATGTAGTCGGGTTAGGGTGGTGTGTGGTGATTGCGGAGGTCTTGCGGAGGTTTCCTAGCGCGAAATGCGCACGTAAAAGTTTATCTGGATGGACGTATAGTAAGACGGCAACTCAATGCGTCCTTGTAGGGTATCCGATCGCGTGTCTGAGGCGTAGGTGGTGATGCAGCCTCAATTGACTGTTGTCGCGCTGGAATTGCTACGCATGAAAAGTGAAGTCGGCAATGCCAAGGCTTAACTCCGATTGGTCGCATAATCTACGTTACTGCTATCGTGTCCCATTCGCAACTTCCACAGTCCAGGTCACCTTTCCGTCTACATATATTCGATTCCTTCTTTTCGGCGTCGCTTGCCCTTGCCCCATGTCTGCAAACTTCATGTAGACATCTGCTCTTGCAATTATATCGGATAATTATATTCCGTCCACTCTCTTTCGCAAGTTCGACATCGCCGTTGGCGCGATTCATAGTACAAGATGCTCCTACGGATAGCGCTGTTCTTTGTGGTCGCCTGTTTAGCACTAATAGTTGTCGGCGCAGAGGATTACTACAAGGTATGTAGAGGCCACATCTGAATTCACCTTCATCTTCGCCTCAGTTCCAAGTTGAAGCATAGTGGCTAACAAAGATATGGTAGCTACTCGGTCTCAAGAAAGATGCCTCGGAGCGCGAAATCAAGAAAGCATATCGAACTCTCAGCAAGAAGTACCACCCGGACAAGAATCCGTACGTTCGCAAATCGAATATTTGGGCTCAAGTTTCTAACGGGGTTTCAGTGGCGACGATGAAGCGGGCAAGAAGTTCGTGGAAGTAGCGGAAGCCTACGAGGTCCTCATTGAGAAGGAGACACGCAAGATTTACGACCAATACGGCCACGATGGCATTCAACAGCACAAGCAAGGTAGCGGTCCACGCCAACACGATCCCTTCGACCTCTTCTCGCGTTTCTTCGGTGGCTCAGGGCACTTTGGACATCAAGGCGGGGAGCGCAGAGGGCCAAACATGGAAGTGCGAGTTGCATTGCCTCTTCGCGACTTCTACAATGGCCGAAAGACGGAATTCACAATCGAGAAGCAAGCGATATGCTCGGCCTGTGAGGGCTCAGGCTCGGAAGACGGCCATGTAGAAACATGTAGCACATGCGGTGGACGGGGTGTCCGGATACAACGACAGCAACTCGCACCCGGCCTGTTCCAGCAAGTACAGATGCATTGCGACCAATGCCACGGCAAAGGAAAGACGATCAAGCACCCGTGCCCCGTCTGCAGCGGTAGTAGAGTTATCCGCGAAGCCGAATCACATATTCTCGAAATCGAGAAGGGCATGCCGAAGGGCGTACGCATCACCTACGAGAACGAAGCCGACGAGAGCCCTGATTACGTTGCCGGCGACCTCATTGTGCACCTCACTGAGGCGGAGCCTGCTATGGGAGAACAAGAGCACGAGCGCACGGACGGAACCTTCTTCAGGAGACGGGGTAAGGACCTCTTCTGGCGCGAAGTCCTCTCCCTTCGCGAGGCATGGATGGGCGGCTGGACACGTAACATAACCCACCTAGACGGCCACATCGTCCAACTTTCGCGCAAACGCGGCGAAGTTGTACAACCCAATCTCGTTGAGATTGTCAAAGAGGAGGGCATGCCGATATGGCACCAACACCTCGAAAACAACGAGGGTCTGCAGTACGGTGACCTGCACGTCGAGTACGTAGTTGTACTCCCGGATCAAATGGAGAAGAGCATGGAGAAGGAGTTCTGGAGCGTGTGGGAGAAGTATCGCGCGAAGAAGGGCGTTAGCATCGACGCCGAACTTGGCAGGCCGCAGGAGCCTATCAAGATGCCAGAGCCAGATGCGCACGACGAGTTATAGGACAAACTTCAGAAGTGGATGCCTCCGGCTTATTCACAGCGCATGGGAGACACATGGAAGAGGATGCTGGGATGAGCGATGTATTCAGTGCTTATGTAAACTGAGTGTGGTATACCCGGTGATGACGTGGAGTTGAGGAGTCGGTTGCGGCATCAAGCCTGATGATTTGGCATATAGACCGCTTTTTGGTACGTTAGAACAATGGAAATATATTCATACATAAGTATGTGTTTAGTTTCATGGGAGTTGAGACCTATACCATCAGAGTAATCCGAGCTAAGGCGTTCTGGTGGAGGGCAGTGTTTGGTCGACTGAGCGGCACTTTCGAATGTCTTGGTCTTCCTGCGTGTAGTCTTTGCCAGCCCACAACGTGGCCGTCTCGGTTTCTTCCTTTGCGATTTTCAAGATACCCAAACTCTCAGACATGGTCGGCCTCGTCAGCCTTTTTTCTAGACTTCTAGTCATGCGAAGGCTATTTCTCCAAAACCTCATCACGTAAGCGTTTCGAGAGAGACAATGACATGCTCTCAGTGTTGCAACTTTTTCAAGCTGCTGAGAAGGGTCTGGTAAAAGTAATAGTGAAAGACTGCAGGAAATATGGGTAGGTGTTGTAGATTTTTGGAAGTCCGATGAACAGGTGCTGAAGTGCCAGAGGATATTTTCCAGTTGTCTTATTTCTGGAATTTGACAACTTCGCGATCAGATTTCAAGTTCTTATGTTTTGAGAAAATTGAGACAGAGGAGTATGGAGGACGCTGAAGATGAACTATATACTTGGTGGAAGGAGACTGACGGCTTGTTGCAGTCAACAGCGATGAAGGCTGGTCGCGTTCATCTCCCTACGATCGCGCGGTGTCGACTGGCTCTAGCCGCTGCGGTCCATGAAGTGTTCGATTTGGGCTTTGAAATCAAACGGAAGTAAGCCACAATACTTTCTAGGGTGACGAAGCGCATCTACAACAGTTATGGGGCATACATTAACGTCTTTCGCAGCAAATGGGGCATGCTTTTCGGCCCATAGTAGGCAAGTGGTGTTATGAGATAGAGTTGAACAAGTCATTTGCTGAGGCTGGAGAGTTTTGTGGCTGTTGTGATGCTAGCAATGTATGTGATGAAACGAAGAAAGACGCGTCGCACAAATAATTCACCGGGTTCCAGATGCAGGTACATCTCTGCTAGACGAACGATGTCATGAGCTAAGCCATGCTCTACTAAGATCGTTTCCTTAGTCTTGTGCTCTTTACAAACGGAAAAGTTGTAAACAAGAACGGGATTAGCCACTGGCTAAGCTGTGATATTAGACACTAATGTAAAGTCTAGATCAGATCGCCCGTATAGGCGCCTTCATTGCGATAGAGAGTGCTGGACGCGTAGTCGAGACCCTATGGGCTGCGAGGGGTGAAGGTCAGACCAAGCATTAGCGGGGAGGCCCGCTCCCTCTCTAGCGCGTTCTACGATTGGCTCAATAGGGATCTTAGCTGCGATGTTGTCTCAGCGTGCAGCTTCCCGTCACACAAACATTCCACATTCGCGCCATACTTCAGCTCGTTCCCGTGTATAGATGTCTGCATGAGACAAGTCCGATGCCTGATGATGGCACTTGATGATCGTTCGCCACCACTATAGTCTGACTACATTCCTTTAAGTACCTATGGATGGCGTCCTTCGGGAGGGATCTGAGGATTAAAGCCTGCTTTTAGCCACTCCCTCTAGAAACGACTCACATGGTGCGGGATTTAAGGTACTGCGACATTTTCCCCAGGGCTTTGCGGCATCGAAAGGCAAGCTCTGCGAGTTACATTCCCCGCGCGCCGACGCTCAAAGAAAATGCCGCAGTGCTGCGCCTTCCTGCCTAAACAATAACCCAGCTAACTGCACGTGGGCGATTTGCTCTCACGATAAGCACAAGGCCAAGAGCCAACCAAAGCTTTGCGCCAGCAGTAGGAGCTTGTTACCAGATGAGATTGTGAGACAGCCACAGCCTTAGCAAGATAACGGGATAGTATAAGTCTTGCGAGAGTGCTTTAGTGTCTTTGCGTACGACTCCAACAGCCTAATATGGATACCTCGATCCATTTTGCAGATGCAGACGTGCATCCAGTTCGGTCGCAGTCCGTGGGTGGTGTGTATCCTATGCGCTCACGCACGAAATCGCATGTGAATAGGTCTTCTGTAGATGCTAAGATTAGCGAACTGGAAGACGCGGAAGACGAGGATGCTGGCCTGCGTGATGAGCGCGATTTTAAACGCAGCCAGGTAAGGGGGTACATGACTGGTACGAAATCAGCCTACTAACAGGACGCAGGTCTTCAGTCTCACACAGATCCTCGTCCTCGCATACCAATCCACCGGTGTCATCTACGGCGACATTGGAACATCTCCACTTTATGTTTACTCCTCGACGTTTACTGAGGCTCCCACTCGGATCAATCTACTTGGGGCTTTGTCGCTCATACTATGGTCTGTCACCTTGATGGTTACCGTCAAATACGTCTTGATTATCCTACGCGCCGACAACGATGGAGAGGGCGGTACCTTCAGCACATACTCTCTTCTTTCCAAATATGTATGCTAGTTAAACCCACGTAGGATCTTCGGTCGCTAATGCATGCAGGCGAACATTGCCAATCGAGATCCTCGCGAAGCTACCCTGATACGTAATTAAGCTTTCTGCCCTAATTGTCTATCCGTACTGACCATCCGGCAGGCATGGAGAGACACAATACGATCGACCTGGGTCGGTCCACAAGAAATATTCGCTCAACGATCGAGAAGTCCAAGTTCTTTCGCGGCTTACTGCAGATCATTGGTGTACTTGCCGTGTCGATGGTCATGGCTGATGGCGTGTTAACTCCCGCTCAATCCGTCTTGGGTGCTGTACAAGGCCTCAACGTCGTAAAGCCCGACATCGAGAAATCAACCATCATCGGTGTCACTTGCGCTATTCTTGTTCTACTGTTCGGTAAGTGTCCCTGTACGAACTGCATGTGAGACATAGACTGACTTCGTACACCTACGTTTAGTGGTGCAACCACTCGGCATCACAAGATTGACGTTCATCTTCTCGCCCATTGTCATTATCTGGTTAGCTCTTAACGCTGGGTTCGGCATATACAACCTGGCCAAGTATGTAGCCTCGCTGCATCGTGTATGCCCTTAGCTAACAACTCTAGGTACGACTATGCAATCCTGAAAGCTTTCAACCCTTTCTATGCGTTTGACTACCTGGTAAGGAACAAGTATGAAGGCTGGAGGAGTCTCGGCGGTATATTGCTCGCCTTTACAGGTGTCGAGGCTTTGTTTGCAGATATCGGAGCTTTTAGTCGCCGTGCTGTTCAAATCAGTTGGCTCGGATACGCCTACCCATGCCTTCTGCTGGCCTATAGTGGCCAAGCTGCCTACATCAGCGTACACCCAGACGCTTACTCCAATCCTTTCTACAACTGCGCGCCGCCAGGATGGCTCATCTTCTCGCTCATTGTAGCCATCGCTGCTGCTATCGTCGCGTCCCAAGCCATGATTACCGCGACGTTCCAGCTCCTTACCCAGATCATGAAGCTTTCGTACTTCCCGCAGATCAAGGTCGTTCATACTTCGACAACGTACCACGGACAGCTGTATATTCCCAGCATCAACTGGCTACTCATGATTGGAACTGTACTTGTTGCTGCTATCTACAACAACACAACGTCCTTGGGTAATGCTTACGGTGTATGCGTCATGTTCGTTACGTTTTTCGACACATGTATGGTTACACTCGTCGCGATCTTAGTGTGGCGCATCAAGCCATACTTTGTACTTCTTCCGTGGCTCACCATCGCTTGTCTGGATGGCGCCTACCTGTCTTCAGCACTAACCAAAGTACCAGACGGCGCCTGGTTCACCATTCTTCTCTCCTGCCTCCTCGGATCCATATTCATTCTTTGGCGTTTTGGCAAAGAGCAACAATGGGGTGCTGAAGCTAGCGATCGCTTCCCAACGACACACTTCGTCAAGACACTACCGGATGGCCGTATGGAACTGACCGAGATGTTCGGCAGCAAGTCTGTTGGTACCATGGAGGGTTTTGGTATCTTCTTCGACAAAGCTGGCGAGACGACCCCTATTGTCTTCAGTCAGTTCATTCGAAAGCTAGTCACAATCCCTGAAGTTATCGTGTTCTTCCATCTTCGGCCGCTAGAGGTACCTTTCGTTGCCCCGGATAATCGATACAGCGTTTCCCGACTAGCTATTCCCAACTGCTACCGCTTAGTAGTGCGCCATGGGTACATGGACGAAGTCATTACACCGGACTTAGCCTCCCTCATCTATGAGAAAGTCCGCAACCATATTGTCGCACGAGCCCTTGAACGCGAGGGTGAGATATCTACAAAGACCACAGGCGTTCAGACAGAAAAGAACACTGCTACTGAGACTGTCGCTGGAAGTGGAATGTCTACTCCAACACGCAGCTCGACGACTTCGGCGCGCCTGGAAGCGCTTGAACGCGCATACAACCACGAGGTGCTGTACATCATCGGTAAAGAGGCGATGAAGGTCAAGATCGGCACAAACATCATCCGAAGGTTCTTCCTGAAGGCTTTCTTGTTCATTCGTGAGAACTCGAGGGCGAAGATTGCGAGTTTAAGTGTTCCAATGGATAAAGTTATCGAGGTTGGTTTTGTGAAGGATGTGTAAATGAGGTAGTTCGTAATTGTTGTTGAGTGGTAACGGAGCCAGAACACTCAATCGCATATCGACACGTTTACACCAAAGTTCATATAAATTCCTGACCTTTCAACACCTTGAGGTACCCGTTATTGTGTCCTAGTTGACAGTGCTAACGTATCAAAATGGTGTACCTTCCCAGACGTCATCTGACCCCTCTTCAGATTAGCCGCACATCACTAGTCCGATTCGGATCTACTTAAACGCCTTCACGCTTGGCCTTACTCTGTCCAATTTCTCGCAGCTCCTAGTATTCTCATACAGGTTGCATGCATGCACAATCTCACGAAAGCAGTATCGTTTGTGCGCATCAACATTGCCAAGGCGGAGGAACCGTTCCATAACCTGTCATGTTGTTGCGGCTGTAGCCGCTGTCCTCAGCCCCTTCGCGTCCCGAGAACGCGCACTACCCGAGTTTACCACTCGTAGTGGCTTGAGATCAGCCCCTGCATTGCCAGGAACGGGGGAGGAAACATGTGGCCCTGCAAGGCCCAAGTTTAATTGTGCCGCATGCCGTATCGTGGCGCGCATCCCCGTCGCGCCAGGCAAATCAGCGCGACAGATAAGGCGAGATAGTATTCTTTTGTTTTTGCTTTGCATGGCAGCTTTCTTGTGCATCGCGTAAGGTGAAGGCTTGGTACTGGATGCGGGTGTACCTGAGTTGAGTCCCCTTCGCTTCCACTTTGTGGAGTGGTCGTTTATTCACTCTACTCCTCTGGTACTGGATTCAGAGTCTGTTGTCTCAGCATGGCGACAGATCTTTTTGTGTGGGCGTATGTTGTCGCTTACACCACGTTCGTTATTGGCTTGTTATCGTCTTTTGCGCGTTTTTACTCTCGCGGACTGGTTTTGAGATCATGGGGTTGGGATGATACAGCTTCGTGTGTTGTGCTGGTACACTATGGTCGACCCTTCGAAGTCTCCACGAGTGCTTACTGTGCCAGGTCGTCAGCATTGTCCACCAAGTTGTCCTACAGTTATTTCTAAACCTAGGATGCGGCAAGTAAGTTCGAGTATGGCATACTAAGGCTTCACGAAGACTTACCATTCGCCTCAAACAGGCCAGGCAATATGAACTGCAGTTTCCAGTCCCTCGATCTTCTTCGGGTAAATCCTCTACAAAGCGTCCTCACACGAAATGGAAGAACTAAGTGAGCACACAGACGGCGTTCATCGAAGAAATAGTAATTTATGGCGCACATTCCGTCATAAAGATCACATTCCTTCTGTTCTATCTACGGCTCTCCGTTGACCTGATGTTTCGCAGCCTTGTCTACCTTGGGTTTGCGCTTGCGTTTTCCGTCTTCCTATCCAGCCTGTAAGTTATACGACGTCCACTATTCACAGCGCCGCAAACTGATAGCATCTAGGCTTATGACGGTCTTGCAATGCGTGCCTTTTGAGAAGATTCTTAATCCCATGTTACATCCCGAGGTCACTTGCATTGATATGCGTATTATCATGCTCACTCCACCTATTCTTGTACGTATTGACGGCCTACAGCGTACCTCTACACTTCGCTGTCTCCACATGCTGCGTACATACTGACCTGTAGTGCTTCTAGAACATTTTAATGGACTTCTATATCATCTGCCTCCCGATACCCTCCGTTCTGTCGCTCCGAATGAATTTACGTCGCAAAGTCACCGTCATCTCCGTTCTTGCCTTTGGCATAGTCTCTGTCACGGTCGCAATTCTCCGCCTACCAGTTCTCATATCGGTGTCCTCGATGAAGACAGATGCCTCAATAGACGTAGGGAAGATGATAATCGTTGCATCGTTCGAGGTACAATTTGCGATCGTTGCGGCCAACCTACCTGCGATGAAAGCACTTTGGACCAAGGTCAGAGGCAAATACAGCTCAGCCGGCAGTGGTGAGCCGTCGTTGGAAAAACCATATCATCTCTCATTCATGCGTCGAGGCAAGCGAGGCGACCGGAACAAACACTCTTCGATGGGATCCATTACAAGGCTGGAAAATGGTCTGACAAGTAATGAGTCACAACAGGAGCTCGTTGAAGGGACGAACGAGCGACCAAAGTCAGCAACGGTTGGAATCCAGGAGTTGCGTCCCGCAGACGCAAAATATTCAGGGGGACAAGCGATCGTCGTCACGACAGACGTAGATGTGCAGCGTTCGCCTAAAATGTCGCTACAGCAAGCGATACGCCCTGAGAGTTTTCAATAGACTCGGGTCAAGAATGAATGTCATACTGTTATGGCGATTAGAGTTGCTCGTTAGGGAAGCCTGTAGGATCCCGTCTCTTGCCCGCGCTAACGAATCGCAATCTATGCCAACTGCAATCCCATGTCGCTAAAACCCCAATTGGACTAAAGCTGCATCTCGCTACTCCAGAATGATCCAAGTTTCGAATCCAAGACTCTCACCCCACCCATGCGTGCCGCAGTACATCTTCTTGCTGCCCGCAATCAGCGACAAGAGGTTTTACACAAGTTCAAGTGGCGATCGGTCATTTGAGCTGCATCAGAATGGATTGGCTATTAATTGCTCCTATTGCAAGCATTAGTCTCTTGAGTTTACTCATATGGCGTCGGTACTTCTCAGTGATCAGCGACATCCCTGGACCCTTTGCTGCTTCTTTCACTCGCCTTTGGCATATGCACCGCATTCTCAAGGGTGATCAAAATCTCGAGCTGATCCGATTACACGAACAACACGGTAGGTTCATACGACACATAAGAATGTGTATCATTGTCCTTCCGCTCACATGTCTTCTAGGTCACTTCGTTCGTATATCCTATGACGAAGTAAGCGTTAGTCATCCAGATGCCATCGCAAAGATCCTTTTAGCTCCCCTTCACAAGGTACTATGTCAAAAGGAAAGCCGATCGAATGAATCACTAACATGATCACTAGGCGAATTGGTACAAGATTCATGCTCTGCCAGACTACCGCTTCCAATCACCCATGAGCACCACGGACCCCAAGAAGAAGATTGAGAAGTCGAAATACATCGCCGCGGCATATACCGTCTCTAACCTGCTTCGCTCGGAGGAGCATATCGACCGCACCTTCGAATCTTTCCTTGACTGGATGGACAAATATGCAACAGACAAGAAACTGATGGATCTCAACACTTTCATTTCGTACGCGACATTTGACGTCATTGGCGAAGTCGTCTTTTCCAAGTCCTTCGGGTTTTTAGAACAGGGCAAAGACATTGGTGACTCAATCAGAAACTCCCTAGCTCTAAACGCATACATTGCAGTAGCCGGCTATTTCCGCTGGATCAACATCGCCCTTCTAGCCAACCCAATAATGACCTGGCTTGCCATACTACCAATGGGCCATCTATTTGACACCGTCAAGTCCGTGTTGGCGGATCGGGAAAAGAATGACAACGTCCGTTATGATGCAGTTCAATATTGGTTCAAGCAGCACGAGCGACATCCGGACAAGTTTACCATACGAGAAATCAATACACAGGCGCTTGCTGCTGTGGGTGCGGGGTCTGATACCGTTGCTGCGGGTATACAGTCGTTTGTATATCATATGGTTCGTCATGCTGGTGCGTGGGAGCGCGCTCATGACGAGGTTGTCGAAGCAGTTAAGAAGGGGTTGTGTAGGGATCGAGTGGTATCTTATGCCGATGCACAGCAACTCAGGTAAGAAAACCATCTTCAAACCTCGTTCATGAAGCTGTTTCAGACTGACGATGAATAGCTTTGTACAGGCTTGTGTCAAAGAGGCTCTGCGCATTTTCGGTCCCGTACCTATGGGTCTACCACGTATAGCACCCAAGGGAGGTTTGACTATTGGCGATCGTACTATACCTGAGGGTACTATTGTCTCGATTAACCGTGAGTCGATGAACCTTGAGAGCTTTGTTTTGGGGTTGAACTGACTTTGTATCTCAAACTGCAGCATGGGTAATGCACTACTCGAAGGAGATATGGGGTACCGATGCGCATGTGTTCAACCCAGACCGATGGTTGGAAGAAGATAGCGCTGCGAAAGAGAAGTATTGGATACCTGTGAGTAGCATCTTACATTCAGTACTGAATGAGCACCCGGGGCTGTGTACGTACGCTGACTGATCTGCGTAGTTTGGAGCAGGTTATGGCGGTTGTCCAGGACAGAATATTGCAAAGATTGAACTTGCGAAGATTGCGGCGACGTTGGTTAGGGACTATAAGATTAAACAGGTGAACGCGACACAAGATTGGCAGTGGAAAGCATACTTCACAGTTGTTCCACATTCGTGGCCTGTGTACGTCGAGAAGAGGTGATGAGATGGAGGGTGTGGATGTAAAGACATATACTAGTATTAACGTTGAGCCGCGTGGGCACGTTTCGGTATGATGGGGTATATAAACATGATGAAAGCCAAACTCCAAAACCAAAACCTAGCATTTAAACCCCGTTTCGCCTTTGAACAAGAAAACTACACCTTACAACCATCGATCCATAGTTCCAAAAGGCGGATACTTCAATCCACTCGGTCTTCTCTTCCTCGTCCACCTCCCACTAGCGCTCGCTCTACTACTCCCTACTGTACTACTCACGCAATCCCAATCCCACGGTACTTGTTTTCCCAACACTTCATAACCGGCTACTCTACGTAAGGCACCTCGCGTTCGCTCTTGTTGGACACTGCGCAGGGCTGCGCGGGTAGTTTCTCGAACTGTCGTTGTATTTGTGGTTGGTTGAACGATTTGGGTGCGATAAATAGGCTCGCGAGGGCGGGAAAGTGGTGGGCAGCGGGATGGCTCACGGGTTGGTGGCGGTGGACAGGGAGATGAAATAGTGCGTTTTCTGCCTGGACCTCGGAGGCGAACTTCTGTGATGTCGGACACGTCAAGACCGTGGTGGTGATGATGGCCGTGAATCGGATGCATGTGCAGTGGATGCAGATGTGGATGTCTGTGGTGGTGATTCAGGTGCGCGTCGAAGTGCGCGTGATGGTGCCCACCCTTGTCTTCCACTTCGACGCTTATATTCGGGACTTTCACGCGGACATCAGTGAAGCGTGGCGATGCTGGGCTATGATGGACGCGAACGAGTTCCTCGACACATGAAGAGTCTGTAGAAGGGCGATGTTCCTTTTTCCCTTTGGCTGGTGTGAGGGTGAACCAGCACATGTCTGCTGCGCGGCGAGGATATGTCGACGCCGGAATCGATGCGCGTGGGCAAAGGGTGAAGCCGTGTCGGTGGTGCAAGACGATGGTAACCGGTGTAAGAAAATGCTGGAGTATAGCTTGAAGGCGGTCTTGAAGGGTGATAGTACGAATAAGGTGTTGTGTCGTAACGGGGCATTCAGGAGACTTGAAAGAAGAAGAAACAATGGAAGCAGGCGGTACTTTAACCTACAACTGACACACAGTGTACATATGATCAAATCCTTTCCTAATTTTTCTTCATGAGGCGTGTTTCTATGTATATAGCATTGCTCTCGACAATCACTCGGTACCATCACGCACGCAGCGCCGGACCTGCACGCGGGCCGCACATCTGCACGTAATGAAGGGAACAAATGAGACAGAGTGGATAAGAACGGTGCCTGCATGATTGTTGATGGTGCCTGCATATAGGCAATGCAAACATGTGTTCAGGTCCGCTGGGCGAGTGAGAGATGCTGATGATGGTGGGAGATGAGCGCGTGGGTCGGCGCGATGTCTTGCCTGACCTCAGGTCTCAACGGGCGGCATGTGACACTTGAGCCCCAACGCCTGTTCGTGCCTTGCGCAACGAGAGAACTTACCGGGTTTGATGACGTATGTAAAAAGTGTAACATGGCCACGCAGAAGTCCTTCCTACAGCATATCCCTCTTTCGAGATGTGCCTGCGCCACCTCGGTCCGTTGGTGCGCGCAATGCAGTAGACTGTAAGTGTTTGCGCCCTTTGGAAGACTTCGCGTCTGACATGGAACACTACGCTCATCCCTTCTCTTTATGTTTAAGGAAGTAAATACTATTGCGATAGGTAATGACGTCGCACGCCGAACGCACGATGTTCATTATCGCTGCTCCTGTGCAAGTGGCGGTATCTGCGAGGTTCATAGGCAAGAGGAAGAGATGTGTGTGATACAGACCATAGCATCGCCTGGAGCTCTTTGAGTCTGACAAGGCCTACGCGCAAAGGCCGTTGGAGAGTGGCAAAGTGTGGTGTAGATGACAGTGTCCGGGATGCAACTGCCCAGGTGGTGAAGGCAACAGCTAGGACGCGGCTACGTCTTGGCATTACCGACAACGCCGGAGCTTCGAGCTCACATCACCACTTCAAGCAATCAAACAAGCCCACCTCAACTACTCGATCACACTTCTGATACCCTCCGATCTCCGCCAATACACATCGTCGCAATCATGGACTCATTAGTGTCGCAGTACAGCCGACCGGCGTATACAGAGGAAGGCCCATCAGAGGAAGAGCAGCTGCAGCTCTACAGCGGCACCCCAGAGCTGTCCCTCAAGTTTGCCCTGCCACCAGTAGCTCAGGTGCGCCCTACGATATCCGCATATTAGAGGGCATGGTATACTAACAACATCATAGTCAGCATCATGGCTCCGCGCAATGACGGACGACTACTCCAACCCCAACTGCCCCATCAAGATCGCCCACGGTACCACAACCCTCGCCTTCCGCTTCAAGGGCGGCATCATCGTAGCCACCGACTCGCGTGCAACAGCTGGGAACTGGATAGCCAGTCAGACGGTCAAGAAGGTCATTGAGATCAACAACTGCTTACTGGGAACAATGGCTGGTGGCGCTGCTGTACGTACAATCACAACCACGAGCAGGAAACGGAGGGCAGCCTGAGTATTGACATATGATAGGACTGCCAATACTGGCTCGCATATCTGGGCATGCAATGTCGCCTCCACGAACTCCGACACAAGCGCCGCATCTCGGTCGCCGCAGCATCCAAGATCCTAGCCAACCTTGTTTACTCATACAAGGGAATGGGTCTGAGTATGGTGCGTCTTTCCCGTTCCTCATCAACCTTGTTTGCGTCCCCAATCTAACAAACTTCACTCAGGGAACCATGTGCGCCGGCGTAACCCCACAAGAAGGCCCCGCCCTCTACTACATCGACAGTGACGGCACCCGTCTAGCTGGCAATCTCTTCTGTGTCGGCTCCGGTCAGACATTCGCATATGGTGTGCTCGATGCACAGTACAAGTACGACCTTGAGGACGACGAGGCGCTCGAGTTGGGCCGAAGGAGTATTCTTGCTGCTACCCACAGGGATGCGTACTCTGGTGGTTTCATCAATTTGTACCACGTCAAGGAGGATGGATGGGTCAAGCATGGCTTCAACGACACCAATCCTATCTTCTGGGAGACCAAGCTTAAGAAGGGCGAGTTCTCAAACGTTACTAGTGCGTTGGAGTAGGTTGGCTAGAAGTAGGGATGAAGTACTGATGCTTCTGAGGCATGTAGTATCGCTGATGGCATCTAGGTGTCGGTGGCAGCTCATGAATGCTGCAGTGTAGCAGTTTATATCAATCACGACTAGACATGTCCAATGAAATGACGCAACATCACAAGACTTCTTTACCCCTGCTGAGACATAAACAGTGTCCTCTTTCGTTCGAACATGTTTCCATTTCCATGATAGATCGATTAGTTCCCATCGTCTTTGATACCATACATGCAAACCCGCTACAGCTAACAACAAGAAAGCACAGCCCATGCTGGCTGCCAAACGCCTACTTCCCCTCCTTTAACGAAAAACGAAAAAAAAAGTGCAGTACACTATCCCAGTGTCAAGTAGTTGGGGTATAAGCAAAAACGCCGCGCAAGTCCCTTATCCCGTTGCGGAGATGTGTTGTGAACGCCGGTTTCTCCAAATCAATGCAGAACAAGGAAAGTGACAATGTGAAGAAGAAGAAAAAAACTAAAGAAAAGAGACATCTTCAATGATAGTGGCTTACGAGACAAAAGAGATGAAGGATCAACGGCTCCGTCTCCGCAGTCCCAAATCCTCCTGTTGCAATTGCTTGATGAGATCAAAGCTCGCTTGATCGAGGTTGGGATCAATCATGTTGAGCATACTCCCCATATTCATACCACCATTCATGCCTACGCTGATACCCATGCCCGTCCCCATACTCAGGCCATGCTCGAGTTTGATGCCGCCAGTGCCGTTGTCTTGTCGTTTGCTGGGCGTTGATTTAGGCGTCTTGCTGTTGCGCCCAGCGCGCGACGGTGTATGACTAGGTTTGCGGCCTGACGAGTGCTGTGTGCGAGCTTTGTACGAGTTGTTGAGCGTGGGTGTGATCGGTGGGGGAGGGAAATCTGAGTTTGTAGTGAAATTGTTGTAAGTGTTTGTCGGGGGAGAGGTTATGTAGGGGCTATAGGTGTGGTGGTGGCTGTTGTGGTTGTTATTTGTCGAGGGGGATGCTGCGGAGACGTGTCTGGGTGACACAGGTGATGAGGGGTGGCGGACGGCATGGTGTTCTGGTCCAGACTTTGACGTAAAGCCGTTTGTTTGCACGTGCGAGGAGGTATCGTTGTGGGGTGGCGGACCAGGTGTGAGCGGCTCTACGCTGGGACCGTGTACTTCACCACTATGGCCTGTGAGCTCCATTCCGTCCATAAGCATCGGGTCGATCGGTTGATACTCGACTGACGACATGACAGTATCGCCATTGGTGTGGTATGAGTTCGTCATGTCCATGTGGTTGTAGTCGCCGTTGGTGTACGATTGGAGGGCAGGATCAACAGGCGCCAGATCATCATTTTCAGGGCTTTGGTCTAGTGCTTGCTGCGCAGAATAGGCCATCTCCTGGAGGAAGGACGAACCACTACTGAACTGATTCGGCAGGGAATGTCGTGCGTGCATGTCTCCATTCATGTATTCGTCGTCGTATGAAGACTCGTGTCTCATCCGTTTCGCTGTTGAAGCCGAGTCCTCATCACTGACCCTTCGCTTCTTTGACGCAGAACCCCGCGGAATGGGAATCTCGTTGGCCTTGACGGGATCAACATTGCCGTATTCGTCATGTATGCAGCGACGCTTGCTCTTTCTACAGTCAGCACATGCCTTGACTCTGCCAGATTTGAGGGCGTAAGGATCGCCGTTCACGTCAGCCATGATTGGGCCCCCGTTCACTGGCCCATTGGCGGCATTTGACAGACTATCTGCGACGGAGTGGTCACTAAGCCGACGTTTGACAGATATGCCATACGAGCCTGAGAGATCGATGGTGTGCATGCCCGGCTTCGATGTGTCGATCAGCTCATCTTTGTGTTTGCATCTGATTCGGCGTTTCCTACACGCATCGCACGCAACACGTTTTGGTCCCAGCTGAGATGTCTTCGGTGTGGTGATGTGCGGATTGTTTGCCGACGGTCGTAGAAAACCAGTCAATGGACCGGACGTGACGGGAACCATATCGAAGTTGTTGTAGTTCTCCAGTTCGACAGGAGGGGAAGGCTCGGGGACCACGTCGGAGGCTTTTATACGGGCTGAAGATCTCTCTGCCGTTGCCCTCAAGGCTTCGTGAAGCGTCTCGCGCTCCAGCCTCTTAACTTGAGCAGCACTCAGCTTCTTTTCCGTAGTCTCCATTACTTCGGGAAGAACAGCATCAGAGAAAGCCCAAGGTGGTATAGTCTCGTTCCCGCGCTTCCATGCAATCCACATCGCAAAGCGTCGCGCCAGCACGAGCGGCTCGCCATGGCCCTTGGGGATTGACTTATTAACAGCGCTTCGGGTCTTTTGTGGCACATCGATCTTCCCTTCGGTGATTAGAACCGTTCTCCAAATGTAGCTTAGCAGATCGCTCAGTCCTTCAAGCTCGTGTTTGGAGTAGTATCGTTTGTTATAGTTCTGTGCGCCGAGGTGTGAGTTGTGACCGAATCTGTCTGGCTCGCAGTAGATAGGCGTTGACCGTTTGAACTGCTCGCCGCTCTGCAGGAGCTCCTGAACTGGACCAGGCACAGGATCCTCTTCTAGATATTTGATGGCAGTCAACCACATAATCTTCTGGAAGAAAGGATACCGAAACTGAAGAGCCACCTTGGTGTTCTTCTCGATTTCTAATATCTTTATTTGCATGCCGTAGTGTATGCGGGTGAGGAAGTTACCTCCGATGACAAGGCTGTCCTCTGGAGTCCAGACCGCGTGAATCCAGCCGGAAGGAATCAGCATAGTATCTCCGGGATACAGGTCCACTCGGTAGCACTCCTTGACTTGTTTGCCAAGCCAGTCATGCCCTTGATTCGGTGAGAGACACCAATCTTCGTACTTCTTGAGGTTTTGCTTTGTCGGTGGGATAAAGAAGAAGACCTTCTTTCCCTTTACAATGTGATAGTACACAGATGAACCGCCGAAGTCGATGTGGAAGTCGGTGAAGCAGTCTGCGACAGACATCAGACAGTAGAACTGCACTGGTGGAGGCGCAGACTTGTCGTCCTCCCGCCATACGGCGTCCTGTAGATCCATATCTCGAACAGCTTTGGGTCGTCTAATGAGCTTCCCTAGCCTACTTCGAGATACCTCCAGACTGATGACGTTCCGCACTGGCTTCTCTCCTTGTTGCTCGTAGTAGTCTGCCCACTTCCCCATAGTCCACTTCTTGCCTTCGCCTTCTTGTGCTTTGACGTCAATCACCGGTACGGGTTCGTTTGGACCGTACAATTCCGCTACACGGCGAACCGTTAGGCCTTTGGGTATAACCATGTCGAGACTGTCTTGACCGTCGTCGGCGACTGTCTCGTACTCGTATCGTAGTTTCGGCTCATCTACCTGCCCATCGATGTCCTCCATAGCAACATCCTCCTCAGTTATCGCTGCGGGAGTGTTCATATCGCCAGGTATGACGATCGGCTCCTTGAACCCATTCATCTTCTCGAGAAAGTCACCGGTGATGAGCTGCGCCGGCATACGCGCGAACGTCTCCGGGGTGAATTCGATGTCGCCATTCTTGAAAGCTGCGATGTAGTGGTGTTCCGGGTTGTCGTCGGATGTTTTGAGAACACCCTCGTTTAGACCGGCGTAGTCAACAGTTGTGTGGGCTCTGACGGATTTACGAACCTCTGGACCATGTTAGAACTATAAGCCCAATGTGCGTCGGTAGACCTACTCGTTGTTTCACCAAACTTGGGTCTACACGGTTCGCAGTAGAATTTGTTTACCTCCCGTACCTCCCGTTCGCTGTTGAAGCCAGCGCAAGGGTAGTGATACCACTCTTTGCAGCCATCGCACCCGATCCATTGCTCGCCGTCGCCGATTTTGGTAGGTGATTCAGACGATTTGCAATGGGCGCATATGAGTTCTGGTTCGACCGGAGCGGGTGCGGGTTGAGCGACTGTTTCGACAGGGACAGGGACAGGGACGACTGTCTGCGCGCCGAGGGGTAGCGATTTCGCACGCGAGGATGTCGAGAGAGGTTGGTCGTTTGGCAATGCTGGAGCCGACGTTGAGAAGGAATGGCGACGGGCTTGTGAGGGTGAGGTTTGCGCTGGTTCAGCTAGAGATACGGTAGGAACGGAGCTGTCCGCTGGGATTGCAGCAGACTGATCGGCGGGCAGGCTCAGTGGCGATTGAAGCTGATCTGGAGCTCCAGAAGTACCTGTAGACGTCGCACTCTTCGGTTTGGGTGTCGACTTCTTCCGTTTGCTACTTGCCGAGGGGGTGCTACGGGATGCGCGCCCCTTCCCTTTCGGCAAGCCCTGGCCCTTTTTTGCCTTTGGCTCTTCTGTGGGAACGGCATCTTGCATCTCGGGTTGTGTAACGGTAATTGGAGCTTCCTCAGGCGGTGTATGTGTTTGCGCAGCCGAAGCGGTCTGGGCTACGTCGGAGGGTGCCTCTAAAGGGTGTTTCAGGTCGACGGGCACCTGCGTAGGCTGGCTGTAGTGGTTGGAAGGAGGCAGCGGTGGCGCTACGTAAGGATTTTCAGGCTCTTGCTTGTGTTGTATCTGCTGTGACAGTTGCTCGGCCGGGGCTGACTGTGAGACGGTTAACCGCTTTGCTGTCGAGGGCGGGGAGTGCGCGGTTTGTGTAGAGACTTTGAAGAAATCCAACAGCAGCTGGGCTTCAACAAGTCGGTCATCTGGTACGCTACCGTTCTGGTGCATGCGATTGCCGCCGTCTACCATGTGCTCGATGCTGTAGGACCAGCCCGAGTTATGACTCGTAGCGGGTCTCGACTGAGACTGCCCATACTGCGGAGACCCATACACCTCTGAGCGCGCTCTCTTCGCAGGTCGCTCATCAAAAGGATATGAAGGGTCTCTGGAGGGAGCGTGTGCCGGGGCGCGTTCGCCGATCGGGTAGGGGACGGTTGTGGGCGACGCCGCCGAGTGTGAAGCATGGCGCGAAAAGTCAACATAGGCCCGGCTCGTATGCTGCCTTGTCACGGCGACATCTGCGAGAGCCTCAATGGGCGATGCCTGCGCTAGAGAATACTGCGGCGGAGCAAGTGCGGAGCGCGACGAGTGCCCATACGTCACCGCCGGCGACGACTGCTCCCCAGACGCGCGCGCGCCCTCTCTGAGAACGGGTTCAACGTTCAGAGTGTCATTGATATGCCTTGTGCTTGATAGCGACGCGGTTGGGATATTCGCATGGCCGGCGGGGTGCGCTATTGAGGGCTCAGTCGGCGGCAGTATGGGCGACAGCGGCTCGTAGACAGGCGGCGGAGGTGTAGGGGCACGCGCCGAAGCTCGCCTGTACTGTTCCTTGAAGGATGAGATTCGTCTCATGGTGGTTGTGTGTGCGGACGTGGGTGGATTGGGGCTTCGGAGGTGCGAGGTACTCGTCGGTTGGCGTCTCAGACAGATGCGCGGCTATGGAGCAGCGGCACTATAAGCTGAGAGACGGGCGAAAGAACAGTCGAGCATGGGCATGTCCTGCGTCGAAGCGACAGTTGGCGCGGTCGCGGGTGAACGAGTGTAGGGGGTGGTTTGGTAGTAGAATGATGGTGGTGGAGAAGTCGGCGGGGATTGTATTGGGAATGTTGCGACCAGACAATCGCTGAACCAGACTCGGCCACACCAGCGCCGACAACACCGTCAGAGCGCAGTATGTCGAGGAAGATGGAGCGGCTTGATGCACAGCTCTAAGCGCATGTGTTTGTAGTATGCGAATGGTTGGATGGCTGTGGGAGCTCTAGGAGTGGACAAGCCGCTTCATTCGCTGCAAGTCCGCGTCTCCGATTCGAGCGCTCAATTATTTGGCACCAGGTGCTACAGATGCGAAGCTCCTTTACTTGGAGGCTGTTGGCTCTACTGTATTTCCAGAATCACTATCACTATACAGCCGCATACTGTGTAAACAACGACTCCCTTGCAGTCCATTCCCAGCATCATCTCGGCGTTGCATGAGTCGCTCCTTCCTTCCGATCATATGCGTTCGCCACGTGATGCGGCCTTGCTGGCGCTCGGACGTGCACGCCATCCATGATTGATCCCGCATGTTCACCAACTACACTTCCCACTACAACCTCCCCATCAGCCGCCCTCAATCACAAACTCAGTAGCCCGTCCTTTACCGTCCATCTCAGTCGCCAAAGTATGAGTCGAGGAGGAAAATTGGCACCGGAAGTTAACCGGTACGTCCGCCTTCTCCGCATCGCGTGCCAGTCCAGTCGCAAGGCTGGTGCGACCAACTCACACGACATCTGCGCTAACATGTCATGTCTACAGAGCTCTCTTCGTGAAGAACCTGAGGTTAGTCGGAGCCCAGGACATGTAATCTACCATGCGCTAATTCTTCCCAAGCTTCAACGTCACTCCAGAGGAACTCTTCGATCTCTTTGGCAAGTTCGGCCCAGTGCGGTACGTCGTCTCCCTCATGCGCTGGCGCATCCTGGTCTCTGCAGTCGCTCCAGGTTACTGACTCTAGCACAGCCAAATCCGCCAAGGAATCGCCAACAACACCAAGGGCACCGCCTTCGTCGTCTATGAAGATGTAATGGACGCAAAATCGGCTTGCGACAAGCTGAACGGCTTCAACTTCCAGAACCGATACCTCGTCGGTGCGTAGCAGGCGCTTTTCTAGCATAGCAATCACTGACAGTCGCAGTATTATATCACCAGCCAGATAAGATGCTCAAGGCCGCGAATGATCTCGCCGAGCGCCAAGAGAACTTAGAAAAGCTCAAAAAACAACACGGTATTGATTAGGGGTGCGAGAGGCCTCAGGAACAGGTGACATCGCGCGAGCGAAGTAAAGACAAGACTCCTGTGGGCCTCAAGACCGATAGCGTAATCTCTAGACGCTCTTCGAGCCGCGGCGGCGACACGCGCACCTCGACGACCAATTCGATTTTAGCGGAAAAGACCGGCGCTCCTTCCCCGACGACTACAACTACCGCCTGCCGCAGCTGCGACTGGCGTTCTGTCAAGCAATCGTTGAAGGGCTTATTTAAGTCGGCACACGGCGTTAAGAGGTCATGACACGTTCACGAACCATGACGGATTGCTGCATTTTCTTGGAGTGGGATCTTTACTTAGGATAGCTGGTGAAGCATAGGGCTATATCAGATTGCAACAGGCCTCGGCTTCCTCTACACCGGACAGTCGGCATGAATCCGACTAGGAATCAAGGAATTCTTGTTCCAACATTTGCACTCAATGGTGATTTTACTAGCATACTGAATTTGTGAAGCTGACTGCATGAGGTCCTCCGCACCTTCCACTTTCGGCTGCCATCTACAGAACCAACACAGCCACCGCCATCTACGGGACTAATACCGCCATTTGGCCGAGCTCGTGGTTTGCGCCAACCCAGTCGAATCCCTTTTCGAAATCTTCGAATTTGAACTCAGTCACTACATCGTGACCTCTCTGTTTTCCAAGCTTCAGCACTCCTGCTTCAGCCATCTTGACCATTTCCTTTACATCCTGTCCCCAGTACATGGCATGACCATGAACTGTAATGCTCTTGAACGTCAGTTCCATCATCGGAATCTCAACATGCTTCATGGCGCCGCCACCAAAGCCCATGATACATGCTCGTCCGTACTGCTTAAGTGCACCGAAAGCTGCACGAACATGCGTGCTCCCCTCAGCCCCCATGGGCGTCATCTCAAGGAACGCATCGACGGGGCCATACTGCTGTAGACTCTTGACATCGATGTCGACATCATTCGTCCGAGGAACGCTGGAAACGAGCCGAGGATGCGCAGATACAAGCCGTTCAAGCGCACGCTCATTCCGACCTGTCGCTAGAACAGTAGCACCCATCGCAACTGCCACTCCAACAGCTGCACCTGAGAAGATCCCCGTAGCAGGCGTAACGATAATCCTTTCCCCAGCCTTGAGCCCGATCCCCTTGAGTCCACTATACGCGACAACATCTATACATAACTGCACCAGTTCAGGAATAGTATATCCCAGCTCTTTACAAAGTCGATTCTCATTCAGCGCCCATGCCACTTCCAAAGGCGCCTTCGCATACTCTGCAAACGTGGCATATCGCCAGTTCTCAGCAAAAAGCTTCTTTGAACCTTCACTCATTCCTTCCATTGCGCCCCAGAAAATCCACGTATCTGGATCATCGCGAGCGCGGATAAATGGTTCGAGCAAGACAAGTTGACCAACATCCAAGGAGGTTGTGTCCGGCCCTGTGCCGACGATTCGACCTACGGCTCGGCCGCCGGGGATCATGGGCACGGGGTACGTAAAACCAGCTTCTCCGGCCAGGATGCCGGGAGTCTGGTGTTGAAGGAGGTTGGCGAGGATCTTGACGACAACGGAACCAGGTCCGGGATGGGGGGTTGGGACTTCCTTGAGGACGAGAGGTCCGTTTTTCGTCTCTTGAAGGAGGGCCTTCATGGTTGGGGGGATAGGAGTGGAAGACATGTCGGGATCTGGGTAATAGTGAATTTCCTGACGATTGAGAGATTTGGCTGAAGGAGTGATTTGAGAGTGAGATGTATTCAACGATTTCTCCATCCCCTCTGGTTGCACGGCAACCATACTTATATTTCTACGGCGCTCTTGCACAGTCCTTTCTACCAACCAACCCGTCCCGTTATAGTCCACCCTATCGATGTCCTTCCCGCAAGGTGACGTGCCACCTTTTCTCGGAGTTTACGAACTTTAGTCACTTTAGTTACTGTACACAAAACATAGGGTTTTACGATGAGATGTCCGATCACCTAGGTCGTCGCCGCTTGCTCCCTGTAGGACCAATCAGAGTAACGAGTCACTGCTGTTATACGAGCGCGGGTTAGACTGAACTCTTAGCGCGGAATCCAGTGGACCCCAAAGTGCAGCCTGCAGGGACCTCATACCTCATCGCTTACGCCCTGCTGCCACCGGTGATGAAGAAAGCTAAACTCCGATGCCCGTCGTATATAACATGCGATGCGACATGAATGACATGTAATTGTCTCTGCAAAATACGAACGTAGGTTAGACTCGTTCACCGTACCTCTGTGTTTCTAATCTTGCTCCGGTGCCATGCCCGCCCTCGTATCAAAACGTCGGACGACTGCAGAACGGAAGAGACGGGTCCATGTCAAATCTAGGGAAGGGTGTGAGAATTGCAAATTGAGACGAGTCAAGGTAAGTCTTTCTCTCATCCATCAGGGTTTGTGTGGATCGGACCGGGCTGAGCTGATGGTATGTGCGGTGGGGATAGTGTGATGAAACGAGGCCGCGATGCGTGAAGTGCATGACTTACGGTGTTGCTTGTGATTTCGGTGGCGAGAAGGGCGAGTTAGATGTACGTATGATGGGCGTGGGAAGGGTTGATTTCGAAGAGGCGGTCATAGACCTAAGGTCAGCCGATAACATGCCGTCAACTGTTCCGCCAAACTACTTGATGAGTAGTAATCTAGGTACAACATGGAGCGCTGTATCGATCAACAGTACCATAGCTTCTATGATTGAGGATTCTCTCCGATCTGGGTATTCAGATTCAGATGTGTGTTCGGGTACTGGTACGACGTCACGGAGTGCCAGTTCTTCTTGGAAATTCTCAGAGACTCATCTTGAGATTCTTACGAGGTTCCAAAGTAGGACGTCGTTGACTGTTGGAGGTATGAATCGAAGTCCCGCGTACGACAGAAACATTTTTCGGTGGACTGACCATATCTAGATGAGAGAATGGCCCCAGCATACAGAGACATAGTATGTCAACTCGCACTAAAAGTACCCCTCGCCTCCCTCTATATAGCACTGAAGTAGCACTAACCTCCCATAGCACCCTTTCCTAATGCATATGCTCCTCGGCCTAACACTAATGCATGACTCTTCCCTGTCTCTCCAGCACTCCCCTTCCCATTCCGCAACGCTCCAACGCCGCTCTCTTCACCACTGGGACCAGGCGACCACTCTTTACCACCGCATTCTCTCCAGCCCCATACCAATGTCTTACCGTGATGCTATCTGGGCCACCGGCGTTCACCTCGGCGCCGCATCGTTTTGGTACCTTGAATCCGACGACCCCTACTCCGCCTGGCCGTTGAAGCCCGAAGAACCTGGTGACCTAGCTTGGATGAAGATCGGAGAGGGGAAACGGCATCTTTGGCGGATTGCTGATCCTACGAGGGAGGACAGTGTGTTCAGGGCTGTTTTGACAAGGAAACATGGGCCGTGTCCTACGCCGCCGAAGTGGATGGAGGGCAACGACGTCAGCCTTGTTCCGGAGAAAGTAAAGACTGCTTTTGGCATCACTTCGCATTCTTCGCAAGAGAACAATGTCTATCACCTCCCTGTTCTTATCCTCTCGAGAATCCAGCATTTACGACTGTCGCATGGCAACGTGTTGGACTTTCTGTATTTCACGGCGTTCATCACGCCGGAGTTTATAGTGCTGCTGGAGAAGAAAGACCCGAAGGCAGTGTTTTTGTTGGGTTGGTGGTATACGATGTGTCAGGATGGCACGCTTTGGTGGATGACTAGACGGGCGAAGGTGGAAGGTGAGGCTTTCAGAATTTGGCTGGAGAGGGCGGATAAGAGGCTTAGTCAGTTGTTGGAGGAGTTGGGCAGGGGAAGAAAAGATTGGATGGAAAGGAGAACTTGGGTGTATGTGCAGGAGCGGGAGAAGGACAGATCTGGCTTGGAGGTCAATTGGGCGTTGGATTCTAGGGGGAGGATATTGACGGTAGCTTGAGCACTGCGATGATTGAGTTGTTTGATTTTCGGTAAGGGTTAGGTGGTGTATGGCAAACAGAGTGAGTATCGCGACTGCCGACAAACTTGTTAACAAGAGGAGTATGTAGCAGTGACTGTAGGTTGAATCGATATTGCTATAACATGCTGCACCTAGGGATTTAGTGATTACTCCGCGTCTTATCCATTCCGTATCTCGGAACCGCTCCTACAACGTGTAAATAAACTCTGGGTTCTCTCTGTCCGTAAGGTCAAGCCACCTACAAACGCAATTAGTACCCACAGACTACATCATGATTTTTTGAATGATAGAACTTACTCTTGGTTATCAAGCTTCACGTATTCAGGCGCCGCACGAATCTGCGCCTTCTTCTTGTTCTGCCAAACGCAATAGAAGTGGATGAACGCCAGGATACCCAGACAAACGCCCCAACAGACGATAATGGTGATCTCCGCGGACACGAAACGAGGCGCGTCCTGAGGGCGGAATGTTTGTGGACCTATATGAGACGGCCGTGTTAGTCCGAGCTACCTGATGCTAGGGAAGCATACAGGAGGTACGTACCGATGATGTTCCCAACACAATAACCAATCAGATACATAGCCGCTACAGTCGTCTTCTTAGTATACCCCGCCACGTTACTCGAAATGAGACTGAGCAAGGCGACGAATGGCGTAGGACTGGCTTGCGTCAAGTAGTAGCCAGCGAGACGGCCAGAGTTGCTGGATAGCGGAAGTGCGACGATGAGAATCATGCCTAACATAGCAGTGCAGAGACCGATCATGGATATGAGGATACGGTAGCCATATTTGTCACCTGCCCAGCCGCAGGCGATGAGGAAGACGACTTCGACTGCGCCGCCCGGTGTGCCGTAGAGAAGGGATTGTTCTGGTGTGTAGCCGAAACCGACGATGAGTTGGGAGAAGAAGTTTGATAAGCCGCCTGGAGGGCTTGTCAGCAATTGTGCTAGTGAGGTCTGTAGATAGTGTCTTACCGTTAGGTATATCGGCAATCAGCGCGTAGAAGAAAAACGCCCAACTCAACGGATCAAGTAGCGCCTCTTTCAGTTGGTACCACTTGAAGTGTTTGTTACCCACACCCTGTGCGTTGACCCTAATGCGTTCAATTGCCAAGATTCGATCCTCCTTACTCAGCCACCTACAATTCAACTGATTGTCGGGTACTATCCACAGAAACAAAATTCCCAAGCATGCAGTAAGTAGCCCAGTAACTAGGAAGATAATCTTCCATGGCTCCATAGTAGTACCCGACTTGCGACAGCCTACAGCGATGCCATAAGCTACGCATCCACCGAATATCTGCGCAAAGCCGTTAAAACTGAACCAAATACCTGTGCGTGAACCTTGTTCTTTCTTGGTGTACCATTGCGACGTGAAGAGGGCGAAGCCAGGTGTTACTGCTGATTCGAAGACGCCGAGGAAAAACCTGATGGCGATCGCTCCGGCATAGTTTTCGACTGCTGCGAAGCAGGATAGCACAAGGCCCCACATGATAATGTTGAACGCAGCTTTGGTTTGTCAGTTCCACGTCGTAGCATTGGGATCTTCGAGTAAGTAGAGTGGAGATGCGACATACAGTATTTGCCCAACGGCAGAACTTGAAGTAAACGCGTAGTAGGATATTCCCAAGCGATATACCCAAAGTAAAACATGCTACCCAACCACGAGTACTGATCTCCAACTAGACCAATACCAGATGCTAGTTTGTTGTCCGAGGGAGGGAGACGCAGGCCCATGATACTTGCGTAACTTAGTGTAGTCTTGTCGAGGTAGTTCAAGCCATATACAATACACATGATCTACAAAACTCATTAGTGCACGTTTAAACACCCTAAAGACACCGTAGAAAAGAAGAGTACTCACCGGCATCATATGCATATCAATCTTCCTCAATAGCGCCTTACTCTTCTCCTCCGTCAACTCCACAACCTGACCCTCCATGCCCTCGTACGCCTTCATCGCTGCGTCTGCATCGTGTGAATGTTTCAAAAGTTTCTCATCGATAGTTTTCTTGATGCCTGTGCTATTGTCTTCGACAATTGCTTCCTTCTCGACGTCCGTCGGCGCGGAATGCGGTGTTGATACCGCTTGTGGGAGTGGTTGATTAGTCGAAGACGCCATGGCGTGTTACCTCTGCTCCGTGGTTTGAAGACCGAACCAGGCTACAAGTCGTTTCAATCCAAGAGAAAAAGACGCACAATAGTCCGCTCACGAGGTTCGTTCTCTCGAAAGCTCATATACTGCTTCCTGTAAAGATTGCAAGATGTCAATAATGGCAAGCAAGCCGACCGCGACGATAACTAAGGTCCCAGCGCGCCGTTGACGTCTATTTCTAGTGATAAGCTACCCTTGGCTAAACGCGATACGCTCACATCTGCATGTGCCGTAACTACTGCGGGGTATCAAGTGCGTTGATCCGCGGGCCACTCGAGATAGGCCAGCCGTCAGCGAAAGCGCTACATGATAGACAAGGGACCTTCCACAACAGGAAGCTGCGTTAGGTGGTTAGTCCGAAAAATCGGAGATATTGGGTAATTGCCGTACTGAAGCTCAGAGGAGGCGCAAGACAAGGCATCGCAAGAGCTGAGCTTGGTACGATAGCGCGCTTGGCTATATGTTGAACGGGTGAAGGTTGACAGAGGGGGCTGGTGCGTGAGGGGGATGATGTCAGTGCTCAAAGCTTATCGCTAGCCGCAACTAGACATGTTAAGCATAAAGCAACTTTAAAACTCTAAAGTAGACTTCTGAACACGGGGAAAGCCACGATTTAGAAAAGGTGCACATGAAATTATAGCTTGAACGTTAAATTTGCAGAGAGTGAGCACATCATAGCTAGCATTGTACCCATAAACTTCGTGACGAACAAAGTTGTGACAACAAACAGTACACCGTAGAACTCCAGGCCCGATGATCGGCCGATGCTATGAACCGCGCATCCCATCATCCCTAGCCTCCGGCTTATCATGATTTGATGTAGCCGTGATACCCGAACGCCGCCCATATGCAGTTCGTAAATGCTTCATACGACCTCCCGTACTCAGAAAGAAAAAAAGTGAAAAGTACAGAATGAAAGTGTCGGAAAGAAGAAGAAAAAATGGTTGTTTTGCAGCGAAAGAAGAAGAAGAAGAAGAAGAAGAAGAAGAAGAAGAAGAAGAAGAAGAAGAAGAAGAAGAAGAAGAAGAAGAAGAAGAAGAAGAGAGAAGAAGAAGAAGAAGAAGAAGAAGAAGAAGAAGAAGACGTAGTTCTCGAAAAATTGCTATGATCGCACAAACACGCTGTTAAGCTTGTTCAATGCGCTGCTATCGGCAGCAGTGCTGTTCTTAGCAAGTCGTTCCGGTGCCAAGTCTCGCGGGAATCTTGTTGCAGTGTTAGGACTGCGACTACCGGAACGGCTGTTGTTCTGGTTCTCCTTATCCTGGTTCTCGCCGTTGAGGAGTGATCCCAGTGTAGGAAGCGGTCTCGATACTGCGGCTGTGGCTGTGCTATTTGACTCGGCTGCTCGGGACTCGGACTTATCGGAAGGCTCTGGAGTCGGTGGCTTATTCGCACCTGCAGAGACAGCGGCGGCACCATTAATAGCGGGAAGCTGTGGACCTTGCTCAGGAATCACTGGTGCGGGCGCAGGGGGAGGTGCAGGTGCACTGGAACGCTGAAGGTGTTGGTGTTGGTGTTGAGCCTGCTCAGCTGTGGAAGGATGGCGCATGGGTGGTGTCGCCATGTATTGCTGAGCAGTGTGTGCAGCATGCGCTGCGTAGGCGGGGTGCTGCATTAGCATGGGGTGGTGACCTTGGGGGGCGTGAGGATGGGCCATTGGTGGCGGTGGGCGGTCGAAGACGTGTTGCGGATGATATTGGGGCTGCGCGTAGATGACACCAGGGTAGAAGTACGGATGCTGGGAATAGTATAGCGGAGGCGTGCCATTTGGTGGCGTCGGAGGATATACTGGGACCGCGTACATTGGGGCGACAGGACCACCACGAGTGTATGGCGATGAAGGTGGCATGCTATGTCCGGGTGCGCTGTATGGTGAGCCAGGCATGGGCCCACGAGTTACAGCAGGCACGGTCTGGGTTTCGTTGACTGCCGACTCCGGGTACATGTTCTTGGGTGGGCGGATGTGTCGCAGTTGCGCATCGTTGGTGGGTTGTGGGAGGTTGTTGGAATTTGATCGCGAGTAGTAGCTGATGAGGTGCAGGTGTTGTCCGCTCTGGGTGGTGATGCTGAAGGACTGCTTCATGAGACCATCGGGCTTGTACCGATAGCCGTCTGGACCCTCACCTTCCGAGTCGCCAGAACCTGAGCCGTCTGGTGATTTCCCGCTCGCTCTCTTCGCTACTGGGGCTGTGGGTACTGCGCTGCCTCCTCGTTTGCCTTCCATCTCTCGGTATGTGAGGAAGCTGCCTGACACGCGACTCGCACTCCATGACTTTCCGTCAGTCCACCGCCTCATACCAGCCTCGCGCTCGTCCCATACAAATACCGAGCCTGACTTGATTTGCTGGCGTTCCTTCTCAGATAGGCGGCGCTGCACTCGCGGTAGTATACCGATGCGGCAGGCCTCAAACAAGATAATGGCATCGTTTGGCGTGCGAACGTGTCCGTGGTAGGTCTCCATGGTGAAGACGTTTGGGGGTCAGATGTGTCGATGGTCGTGTCGAGCAATCAAGATGGCATCGATTCTATTCGGCTCGCGTTAGTTCAGACTGAGGAACAAGTTGGTCGGATGCAAGGCAATGCGACAGCTGTAATAATGCTTAGATGCAGGGTTTCCGGCAAAGTCGGAAAAAGTGAGGGCGCGCATTAAAGTTGGAACATAGCAAACCAAAGGAACAGCAAATTGAAGACGGTGCAGGGGAAGCGGCAAGGAGACACGAAATATACAAAGATACTTACATCAGGATGTGTGTGACTGTGACAAGGCGTGTCTACAAAGCCGTCGCAACCACTATATGGGGCAGTGGGATGAGGTCAAGTGTGTCGGGGTCCGGTGACGTGAAACGGGCCGGCAATGAAACAGAGTCAGTGTATTACAGTAACAGGCGTGCGCGGCAGTGGTCCACTTGGTAGGGAAAGCGGCACTGAATGACGGAAGCTGGAGGAGATGGGTCGGAGAGCAAAACTTTTGGAAAGGCATCAGCAGTCATCAGCCCTCATGTACCCGCAGGCAGTGCGGGCTTGGGACCCAGCAATGTTCCTTTGGCGTCTTTGGCCCTTTCTGGGCGCTGGGGTCGTCGTCTTGATCGCCCGCCCAGACGTGGAGTGGCGTATGATAGCGAAATAAGGCGCGCGACAAGCTTTATTTGGAGCCTCGTTAGCTGCTCACTGGCCCTCCGTTCCCACGGAGCCACCCAGGAGCGTCAACCCACACACAGCCCCCAATATCGACCACGCCGCTGTGTACCACCAAGCAACGCCCTCCAAAGACATGCAGAAACGTTTGCAGCGAGTCGCAGTCTTAGCGGCTCGTACACGCCGAAGCCACCGTGTGCCCAGTCCAACCCAACGCCCAGCGGCGCTGGCCTCGATCAGCCAAGCTTTGGAAGCCGGATAACTCTAAACGAATCTTTATTTTCGACAAGCCTTCGATCCCTTGGCAGACCCACTTCGACCCCAGTGCTGACACCTCCCAAGACCTCGCGGTGTGGTCAATCAGTCCGTCAATCCGACTTGTCGTCCTTGGCCCCCGCTAGCAGCGATACACCAAGCACAGCCAAGGCGTTCCAAAAGTCCGTGTCGATCCAAAATCAACTCACTTTCGAGTCTACTTCAGATTGTGGCAGGCCATGGCATGCTTGGCCTCGGTCCTCTAAGAAATCCCCACCTGACGTGCTCTTGGCGCTCTTGGAACCGGACAAACATCTGACCTGCAGGAGAAAGGAGCGTCCTTAGTGTAGCGAAGGATTACTTACACGGTCCGTGTAAGGTATGGAAATTCTGTGCCGCCTGCCCTCCGAGGTACACCGTATTCGCCCTCGGTACACGCAAGCAAACGACCGCCATAGGCTTCACTCCGCTCTTAGACCAGGCATCCGCTCCGGTCCACAGTAACGGAATTCGGCGCTTGCTACTTCTCAGCTTATTCGCTTAAATGCTCGGCCAGCACTTTGATTAAGCCTGGTGCCTGCGGTTTAAGCTTACTACCGTGCGATGAGGATCCGACTTACCCACGCTGGCGGTAACACAGGGCCGTCGGACATCCGCTTCCAGAAAGAAGAGCTGTGTGCCCAAGTCATTGCGACTTCTCACCCTGGTACAGTCATCGTGGCAGTGCTTTGCAGTCACGATATCTAGCTTCCCGCGAGCTTCCGCAACATGGTCTACCAAGTTGGCTGCGGACCTTCTCCTAGTCGTCAAGACTCCCCCAAGACGATAGAGTGCGGACGAGTACTCGTGCAAAACGCCATGGAACCTAGCGTCTCAGCTGCCCGAGAGAGACAAAGGCCCGAGTTCAACCCATTGGCGCAGTCACACTCAAGCCTGCCAAGCTGCAAACAGGATTATTGTTTCGATGACTGGCCAAGGCCGCCTTCTCCACGTTCATGACAACGCTCGCTGCTTGTCTTATCAGCGCACTCATTCAAGAGCCGCGTCATCCGACTTGTCAAGCCTGCCCAGCGTTGGCTTCTCCACATGCCGGATGAATTCATCATAGGATCGGAATTGCTGCTACAACCTTCCAATCGTACCAAACACAAGTCGCAAACGAACTCATTCTGTTGCCTTGTGAGCAGAGTTCCTGATTTCAAAATTACCATGTGCGTGAGCAAACGGCGATCTGCGCGCTCAGTAATCGGTCGTTCCGCTTACATCTGCAAGGTTGCAGATAAGGTTGGCGCAGACTTAAGCATAATTTCCTTTCCGCTGCTATCCCCGGGGTTTGGCCCTCGCCAAAGGCATCCCTCACAAGCATGAGTCGCACCGCCCCGGTGAGCCATGATTTGCTCGTATTATCGACCCGCTTACATCAACTTCACATGCGCAACGTGTCCACTCGCAATCTTCGCATTTTGCTGCAACTGTTAGGTCGCTTTCAGCTCGCCACCTGCCAGATGCGATGGGATAGGGCGATAGCACACCCACGTGCTCTGAGCCGAAAGTCCAGAACTGCGCCATCGGAGCGTCGTACCGCAAGATGGCATCGCCTAGCACGCGATTTGACGGGGCGTCCGGAACCGGTGGAAAATTAAGGTAGGCCAAGCGTCCGATAGCGCCCGATTTTTCCCCAAAGTTCCCAAACCTTTCCTCGACGACCGGCGCTCAGACGGCCTGAATTTATCCGTCCAAGGCCGGCAAGCCTCAGAGCGCCTCATCGATGCGCGTCCCGTTCTCCTTGATGGATGGGAATCATTGCGAGACCCAGTACCCGGTCTCGCGGTGCGAATATGGAGGCTACTCAATCTATTGTTGGCTGTTGATTCGCTACGCCTGTACCACTGCGCCATACCAAGCTCTCAACGCGCCAAGGCGTGTAGAGTGTATCGATATTCGCACGCGGCATAGGATGGCGGTAATGCCTTTCTAGAAGACATTTTGTCCATTTTCGCATCCATACGACGCACGAGCAATTTGCGCATCACTCTAGCTTTGTTGGATGTTGTGCGAAGCTCGTAAGCAGCAGCATCGCTTCTGCATAGTACAATTCCGCTGTATAATACCATACATGCCTCACCTCACGCACATAGGCTTTGTGGTTCGGTCAGTCAGCTTGCACACGATAAGCCGTTACTTCGATGTGCGCTAACATGCAACGCCTGTTATCACAGTATCACAGTATCACAGTATCACAGTATCACAGTATCACAGTATCACAGTATCACAGCATCTTACCTTAAACGCTTATACGTTGTATCGACAGCTGGCTTTGATGCCCAGGCATATTAATCCTCAGACCCACCTCATAGGTGCTCGGTGCATACATGTCCCGGATCCTATTCCTCCACCATCGAATCCTCAACTCCAACAAGCCCTCTGAAACATACCGTGTTTGACTGGACGATGAGTATTGGAAGAGATCATCCACGAACCACGTTTAATAGTGCCGACTCTTCCGTGGTAGCAGGAAGGGTCACAGCCTAAGAATCTGTGGCGTTGCATCCTGCAGGCTTGGCCAAGGGCTTGGTGGCGTGGACCGAGATCAGGAAGTTGATCCACGCACCAGAATGGACGAATACAAGTTCCACTATCAAACCGTTAAGTTAAGCTGGCCCATGTTGGTAGGCCTCCACATGCCGAGCAACGGCCCCTTCCCATATTTCTCTGGAGATATCGATGCTTCGCTTTTCGCAGTAGTTTCTTCACTTTGTTCTTCGCTTGCGACTACACATCAACAACTGTTTGTTGAAGATGTTTGCATGCGGATTCATAGTCAACGTCCTCTCCCGCTTGTCATCCAAGGCTACCAATCCCTTTCTGTCTAACTTAGCGTTCCTCCACGTTGTGCCTTCCGTTCCAGACACTACTAACCACAGCTTAGTCCAAGAAACACACCTGTTCCAAGTATCGCAAGCTCAATACTATTTCACTACGGATATGTGAAACAGGAACGTTATGTTCGAGTCTGTTGTATAATTAATTGCTCTTGCATGTCGCAGTTTTCCAACAACTCGAAGTGATCCCTAATCAATGAGGGGACGTTAGGAACAAGACCTCCGTGATATTAGACAACCACTCCGCATGCCAAAAACAACATCAGGCAGTTTGCAGTGGCCTGCACATATAGCTGTTCAAGTGGAATCAGAACAAACGCTCGTGTTGTAGATACTGAACCTGTGAAGCACACTTGCGAGTACATCCTGAAAAGACATTCAGCTTTCATGAATCAGAAAAAGTGGCATGCTCACCACTTCATCGAGGACAGCAGAAAATTATCATCAGGAAGTTGACTAGTTCCAATAGCGGTATCTAAAGCGCGAATACAGTACGACATGGCGAGAAAAGTCTTCCAACGTCGAAGGGACAGTTAATAGCACCAGGCAAGTGAAGATACAGGTTGACCAAGCTGTATTTGTTCCTACATGCCGATATGTGGTAAGATGACAACAGAATACTACTACGTCAATTTCTTCGCACAAGTGCCGATGGTTTGAGGCGAAGAGGGTTCTGCGCCCGATGTCTCGACACAGCGGGCACGAACCGACTATCTCACCCGCGTCTAATGTCCGATGACTGCACTGTCAACAAATAGTCCGCTTTACGACATCACGTGCAGTATTTCAAGCTGTAAGCGAAGTACCACCAACATAGCGACAGCTGGTGTAAACGACGTGCTGCCAAGCAGTTAGCAATGGGATTATGAATAAATTAAATCGCTAGCTGAGTGTATATGTAGTGTCTGCAGACGAACTTGAGATCAGAACATATAAATACAGTTCTTGTCCTAATGATCACCATCGGATGTCAACGACTCGAGTTTCCTCATCGATTCTGTCCTTCAGTCTTTCTGCCCCTTATCACCGTGTCAGCGTCGAAGAATCGTGCCAGGATCTCTTAATGTCCATAGTATTTCGTCCACCTACAAAAGGGCACATGTGTATCCAACCTCTGTTGACGAATGTTACTTCCTCTTTATCTCGTCGATGCGTTGCCCGGAGAATTTATCCGACAGAAGTAAACCTC